CCCGAGAAAGTCCCCTTCTAAAGAGGCACAAAGCCCCGAGAAAGTTCTCTTCCAAAGAGGCACAAAGTCCCGAGAAAGCCCTCTTCTAAAGAGGCACAAATCCCTGAGAAAAGTCCTCTTCCAAGAGGCACCAAATCCCCGAAAAAAAAAGTCCTCTTTCGAGAGACACCAAGTTAAATCCTTGCCCACGAGGTAACGAGACCCTCCAAAAAAAAGAAGGTCCTCTTGTCGAGGTTCCAAGAAAAGTTTTATCCCATGAGGCAACCCACTGAGTCATATAGTTCTGAATCAGTCTCGTTCCCCGAGACAGACTCAAAACTAGGGGGCATGTGATGGATTAGGAATTTTTCCTAATCCAATAATATTTGAACAGTACAAGAAAGCCCAATTTTATCCGGCCCAAGATATAAATCAGATAAATTATTCAAGACAAAACCAGAGATATATGGATAGAAGAATATATTTGAAGTGATGTGGAGACATTTGGCGGGACCCGTGGAACACTATCACATGGAAACCACATGCCGCACATGGGCTTCACATGGACAATGTCCCCTTTGGTCTCCATCAATTATTCTCTCCCCCCCTTTAAATGCAAGCTACGAAGAGGAAGGAGGGGAGGCCAGATTCCTACAACTCCATACTACTATATTCTTCATTCTTTTTTTCCTTTATGCTTGGAGCTCCATTAATGGCTCCAAGCTCCTACAATGATGTATATGTAAATTCCCCCGAGATTAATAAAAGTTCCCCCCCTTTGGCATGGCACCGCCTAAAAAGGCCCGTGGTTTTCTCCCGACTTGGGTTTCCACGTATAAATACTTTCTCTCCGCTTTATTTATTAATTTAATTTCCGGATTTTGCTATTCGGTGCGGTGCTGACCCGGTACCAATTTCTTCGGGTCGGTGCCCCGAAAAAGCGGTTTCCATCAGGAATTGGTAGTGCAAAAGATGAATTGGAATTGGAGAATTCAATTCCATAGAATTTCAATTCAAATTCCTAGTACCAAACTGACTCTACATGTATAGAAAAAATAATGAAAAAAAAATGGCATTATACCCAGCTCTGACGGCGAGTGCGAGTGCAGCTCTCATCTTGGGCTTGGAATTGGATCGGACGTAGTAAGTGAGACCGTTGTCCAGACGGCCATAGTCGGCTCCGTGCGGCGTCTCCGACAGGGCGTCCTCCATGTTCACATTCACCGGTTTCACGGAACTGAATGGGTGCTTCTCCGGCAGCAGCACGGGGGATGATTCCGCCGGCGACGAACCCATTCCAAGTGTTTTCCCATTGAGTAGGTGGACTTGCTTTCAGACATCTTATGCGATTTTTGAATCGGGCTAAAACAGCGCAAACATAATTCCCCGCTATTTCCAACTCAAAGTCGGTTTGGGAGTTTCATCAAATCTTCTTTTTTAGGCTGTCCGTACCTAGTAGCGGGCTCCCAGTTTAGAATATTTCTTTACCATTGAAAAAAGAGTTCCTATTGGACAAAAGCTAGAAAAAACATACTCCCCGTCCCCAATTTGATTACAAATTGCGGGTTACGGAGTAAAATTTTCTACTTTTTGAAATCATTTTATTTACAAATTGATATATCAATAAGCTATAAATTTACATATTAAAAAACTACGTCAAAAGTTCTACAAAACAAGAGGTGACAAGAATATTTTATTTTATCAAATACTTGATGAAATCGCGTAAACAAACAAAAGTTATCGAGAGGAGAGAGAAAAAAGATTGTAATCTATTTAGGGACGGAGGGAGTAGAAAGAAAGAGAGAGAAATTAGAAAGAAATGGAAAAGAGGAAAGAATCAGGAAAAAATTGAAAAAATTACTTAAAAAAATTATAAACTTGAAAAAAGAGTTACTATTGGAAAAAACCTAGAAAAAACATAGAAAGGAATAGAGAGAAATAATTTTAGTTTTCATCTATCCCAAAAACGATTCAAGTTCCAATCAAAATCTCCCTTCATCTCTACTACGGAGTAATTATAAACTTGGAAAAACTACTCTGAATTATTTTTGATAATTTAATATTATATATCAAAAACTACTCTGAAAGTCAAAAGAAGAACTCTTTTGAGGAACGGAGGGAGTATCATATATCATCATATCATCATCATATAGTAATTCAAAACTTATGAAAATGGCACCGTATTTTTATCTCCAAAACAACACTAATAACTCACTATAATTTTATTTGGTGTTGCAAGTTTTTTTTGATCGATACTCTAAATTATTTTTGATAATTCAATATTATATTTTTCCAAAACAAGAATCAAAATTTGTAAATCCTTAGACAAATCTTTAACAAGAGTGTACTCTTATATATGTTTTTAAAAATATTAATTTTAAATTTAAAATTAAAGAAAGTAAAAAAGTAAAGTTGTCAAAAATAATCTCAACTTTCATTTATTTGTAAAAAACACGCATTTATAAAAATTATGTTAAGTGACCATTAGTTTTTTAATGGCGATCCGAAATACGCACGCATTTGGAAAAGTGGAATTATTTTCGGTGACCGTGAATTGATTTTTAAAAGAGCACAAGAATGTGAAATTATTTCAGATAATAATAATACATTAAAAAAATATTTTTTTGGAGTCATTATTTGGGAGTAACAAAATATTAAAGAAAATAGAAATAATTGGGAAACTTGAAAAAAACTAGAAAAGATTAGAAGAAATTTAAAAAAACTAATAGAAACTAGAAAAAATTAGAAAAAATTAAAAGAAAATAGAAGTTAAGAGGCCAGCTGGGAAATATGGCCAATTATCATGGGCTAATAGCTCTAAACCCCTCTGTGGTTTGGAAAATATGGAAAATAGGCACCAAAACCCCCCCTATTTTCAAAACTCACTCCTAAAATCCCTATGGTTTCTAAAAGATGCACACTCCCCCCCCCCCAAGCTATTTTCCGTCCAGTCACCGGTAAAAAATATTAAAAAGACATATATACCCCAATTCTTTTTCTCCTTTTAAATTTTGAAAGCCCACTTAATTAAAAAACCTCAAAGTAGACCAAGAGACCTTAATCTATCAATTATCTAAAAATTGAACGGAAAAGAAAGACAACTCTAAATCAACAGGGTGGGCGAAGCAACTCCGGCTAATTATCATAGGAGTAGTATTAGTGTTCCTAGGGGAGTAGTAGGAGTAGGAGTAGGACACCTTAATTCGATCCGATGACTTACTTACTCCGTACTTTATAAACCAAGAAGCCTTCAAATTCTGGCGGCATTGTTTCGGGTTCTATTTCCCAGAAGAGAGAACAACAGATCGATCGAGTAGTGTGGTGGCGAATTAATAGAGTAATTATTGATGGCGATCCAGTGGGTTCCACATCTTCTGTGTTTCCGTCCAGCAGGTGAAAACCAAGGAGGATCCGGATCCGGATCCGGATTTGATTTGATCTCAGATGATATCTTGATCGACATTCTGAGGCGGCTCCCGGCGGACGCCATTCTGCAGTGTCGCAAGGTGTGCAGGCACTGGAGGACTCTCACCTCATCCACCCACTTCATCAACCTCCAACACCAAACAGCCCCCTCCCTTCTTCTCGTCCAATGCCAACCACGCCTCGGTTTTCTCGCCACGAGAAGAGACTATTTCGTCTACGATGCGCCTGCCAAGAAGTTGGTCAAGATCCCCTTCCGGTCCAAGTTCGGCTTCAAGGGCCCCGACCCAGGAATAAGAACCGAATTCCTCTCTTTACACGACGCCTCCGGTCCCTTGCTTCACATTAGAGCTTCGGGACACCTCTTCGTCTGGGAAAGCAGCTTTGCTTTCAACCTCATTACCCGGCAAGTACAAGCTATACAAGACAGAACGATGTGCGACCGCGTGTACGGCATATTCTTTAACGAGGCTAGAAACGAGTACAACCATCTGAGCCTGTGCTGTCCTTCTCATCCTCTTCCTACTGATGCCATAATGCCTCGCCGGTTTTATTCCAGACATGCTCCACTCAGAGCGCAGTCGTCGCGAACCGGGCCGTGTTCCTGATGGCGGAGCGCGTTCATGAGCGGGGCATCAACCACTGCATGAACGCGGTACTGGTGTTTGAGATGGACTCTGGAAAGTTCCACACCAGGCCTCATCCGAGATTCGGGTTCCCCCATGTTACATGTCTCCATTTCAGCCCGTACTCGTACTTGTTCGTCCATGATGGCCGTTTGCGTTTCTGCCTTAGTGACAGGCACCGGGGGCTACTCTACATATGGACTTTGGTGGACTACGCAAAGTGGTCGTGGGTCCGGATGGGCCCCACAATTAGTCTCCTTCACCCGGGGAGACCTACGTATGGGGATCGTTTCGCAATCTGTAGCGTGCGGAAGGATGAGTTGTTGGTGTGTTGGGTTCCGTCGCTATTCCTCGTCAACTTGAAGGAGGGGAGCGTTGAAGAAATAGACGTGCCACACAAATGGCGGCGTTACAGTCTTTCTTTTCTTCCTTACCGGAGCACGCTCGCAGCTCCACATCTACGCGGGGACAAAGGGAAATCATCTACTCGCTTCTGTCTCTAAGAAGTGCCATAAACTCACACCTCAATGCTTCTAAGTACTCTGTATAAACCAAATTCAGAAGAAGGATTGTTAGTCTAATAGTGAATTATATATTATGAGTAGTACAACAATAATTTTTTTTTTACATGAGCATTAGTTTTGTTGCTGTCATGCATATAAGCTTTGAAATGTATAATGAAGTTTATATATGGGGCCAAGTAGTTCTGTATGTGTTCATTTCAAATTTATGTCAAAGATGCTAAGTAAGTTTCTTGGTTGGATGACTTGGGAATAAATGTGTGTTTGAGCTGAGTTTTTTATTAACGCATAATCTTGACTGGGACCAAAACAAAAAATAGAACCAAATAAACTTGGGCATAACAAACATTTATGAACATCATGATGCCCCCAGTGAAAAACCTAAGCACATTTATCAAAACAACAAATAATCAATGGTTCAAAAGAAATATTCAACCAACGTACCTATTTATCGAAGGGCAATGCTGGGTTTACAAGAATGAAGAAAGTGCAGTTTCCATAAGGTATGACTTAGAGGTTCTTTCTCAGACACACAAGAATGAAGAAAGTGCAGTTTCCACTTAGAATTTGCATAATCTCAATGAGTAACTAGACCCAAATCACAGAGCACTCACAATCCACCACAATTCAGTTTAGAGAATAGAGATTTCAAGAAGAAAAAAACCTACAATGCATGCCACTATGTTTCCAGAATATGCAACCACTGATGTATTGTGCACCTTGATGATTTGAGAGCAAAAAGCGGTAGCTACTTGTCATGAGTGTCACACTTGATCTATATGATGGTCCAGATTCCAGAATTATCTCATCGTTGATGTAATTTCGAATGCCGTTTCAAAATGGTTTCTTTATGAATCCAAATCAGTGCACATCCACTAACTTGCCTTGTACGAATACATGTAACTCCGAAGCTTTCTCACCTCTTCGGAGGAATCAGTGAGTAAAGCGTTCACGTACAGGCATATCGCAGCTACGCTGCAAAAGATGGGAGAATGAGATTCGAAGTTCTTTTGGAATTGGAAAATAAGAGTTTGCACAAACCAAAAACCAGAAACTAGAAATACCTTAGTGGCCCGAAGGGAAGCCATAAAATATCCCATCGAAACTTCGCCAATCTGCATCACAAATGACATTAAAGGTGACAAGCACACAACAGTAGTATCACTTTGCTCATAAACAGGAAGAAGCAATGGTATGGTAATAACGAATAATGCATGGTTTGATGGATCAGCCTTTATAACTAATGTTAAGTGTACCTCAGCATATGATGCAACCAGAATACTGCCAACAATGCGCCAGTGCAGCAGGAACCCCAAAGCCAATGCCTTTGGTACTTCGAATGATGCATTATACCCTTCATGGTCATTAGGCAAACCAAAATAGCAGTCCATTCTGCCATATATATAAACCACCTTATTTAGACTGTGATGATATATTGCAGTATGCAATGACCTGGTTGCATAGGGAATGCCAGTAAAACATTGGTATGCGATAAATATATCACTCTAAATGACAATTTTTAACAACCTACCTTGGTCCCAAAAAGAGTCATAGTGTCATGGGTCAAATATTGAGAACAATGTTGCAAATAAGACCGGAAGGAAATATTTTTTATTTTATCATTGCGAAGAAGAGTAAATTCTATAATTGGTCCTTGAAAACATGGGATTCTCCATATGTAGTCCTCTATTACCAAATACTACGTTTGTGGTCCTTCATTTATGAGTACCTTTTAATGGATAGTCCTTTCTTTGACACTGTTAGCCTTCGATTTCACACCAATATGACGGAAGGTCAAACAAAGAACTATCGGTGGAAAGGTACCTATAAACGAAGGAGCACAAAAGTAAATCTAGTAATAGAGGACTAAATATGGAAGTCCTCTCAATTTAAAGGACTAGTTATACGCTACTAAGAAATATTCTTTTTAAGGCTCAGAAGTATATTCCATATAATGTAGTAGTTGTTTGTTTTAATAAGCATATACCAATAAACAATTATGCTCATTCACCTTATTCAAGACATTTTCTTAAGAACTCATGATTTCTGTAGTTGAAAAATCAAAATGTTCACCGGTTAAAATGATCAAAAAAAGGGAATGGAACCATGAGAGAATATACAGTTAGATTACCATTAACAAAGCACATGTCATTATCGCTATGCAGATCATGTAGTAGCATCAAACAATCTGATATGCTAATACATTAAAGCACCATTTAACAGGGACAAACCTGCAGCAATGATGCTCCGGGGGTCAGCTTCATGCATAAAGTAAGCATGATATCGCTGTTCATTTGATCAGAAACAACAAACGTGAGCCCTCAATCTTTAAAACCACCCTATCAAATTCCACAGACAATGACATCTCAGCCTGAAGACCTTATGGCCTTTGAAAACCTTGTGCCCTGGTTTACTTCCATTCTTTGATTTGCCATTTTCAAATTCCAATTGTTCACATTCAAACACGTTCAGTCATCAGTTTCCCAAAATAGTTTACAAGATTCAAAACAGAGCAAACACGAACTTTAACACAAAATGACCACTTCAGCACCTCCTGTTGGGATTTTAAGCGCGTAAGATACCGAAAAATATTGAGAACACCAGAAAAATGAGAGAACAAACACAAGGAGAATATATGAGAGAAAAATTATATCTTCACTATTTCAGAACGATACACAAAAAACTCTCCCTGTTTACAAGTGCTAAATACCAGACACTTATAAACAGACTTTTCACACCCTACACCCGGATGTATTTTCCGAGTAACTAAAAACTAGTTACTCCCTACACTCACTCNTGTTGGGATTTTAAGCGCGTAAGATACCGAAAAATATTGAGAACACCAGAAAAATGAGAGAACAAACACAAGGAGAATATATGAGAGAAAAATTATATCTTCACTATTTCAGAACGATACACAAAAAACTCTCCCTGTTTACAAGTGCTAAATACCAGACACTTATAAACAGACTTTTCACACCCTACACCCGGATGTATTTTCCGAGTAACTAAAAACTAGTTACTCCCTACACTCACTCACACAATATTGGTGATATCTTGTGTAACACCTCTCTCTTTAACCTTCCTCTCCTTTTTTTCTCCCTACACTCTTTTTTCTCTCTTGGCCGTGTTTTTTAGTCCAAAGTTTGATTCCCTTCCATCAAAAAAATCCACATGCAATTTGATTTCTTTGATTTCTTTCTTTTCCTTTTTTTTTCTTTTTCCTTTTTTTTTTAATTAATCAATCCCAACAAACTCCACCTTGATTAATTAATCAAACCATGGTCCGGCTCCACCTCGCTCATTTCGGCGAGGTCACAATATCCACCAATCCGAGAAGCTTCAAACGTCACCCGCTTCTTCCATGCAAATGCTCCGCTTGTTGCACTTGTAATTCTTCCTTTTGACAGCTTCCGTGTCAAATCTTTTTCAACAAGTTTATACAAGCCATTTGATAAAACTCCTTTTGCTACCACCATTGCTCCCCTTGAAATTTTTAACACTCCACCTTGAGCAAAAATTCGGTAGCCTTCTGAGTCTAAAGCCCCCAATGAAATCAAATTTCCTTTTAGACCCGGTACATGTTTCACTCTAGTTAATGTTCTCACCACGCCATCAAACATGCGAACTTGCACTGTTCCGACCCCTGCAATTTTGCTCCGTGCACCATTTGCCATCTTCACAGCACCCCCATCACAAGTTTGATACGTATCAAACTTTTCCTTAACTGAACACATGTGAAATGAACAACCCGAATCTAATATCCAATCCGATTTACCTAGACTCTTTGTGGTTGCCAAAAACAAGTCTTCTTCACTTTCTTGGTTCGAACTTTCTGCAACCGCAGTCACGGGTGTTTTTCCGTCCTTCTTTTCTTTCCTCCTCTTTGGACAATCCCTTTTGAAATGACCCTCTTCATCGCAGTAGTAACACCGAAAGCTTTTACTACTCGATTTGAAGCGTTGGGACGCGCCGCCCCTCTCTTTAGACCGTCCTCGTTCCCGACCAGCTCCTTTTGTTACCAAAGCTTGACCGTCATTTGATACCCCGTTGCCACCTCGCCGAGTCTCGTTCATCAACAACGCAGCAACTACTTCATCAAATTTTAAGGTCTCTTTTCCAAACAAAAGCGTGGTCACGATGTTGTCAAAAGATGAAGGCAATGAAGCCAACAAAAGCAACGCCTTGTCCTCCTCTTCAATCTTCACATCAATGGATTCCAACTCTGTTGTAATCTTGTTGAATTCATCCAAGTGCCCATTAAAGTTAGCTTCCTCCGCCATTTGGAGACCAAATAATCGTTTCTTCAAGTATAGCCTACTTGTCAACGATTTCGACTTGTACCGGCTCTCCAGCTTGTCCCAAATATCCACTGGGTCCGTCAAACCGAGAACCTCCCGAAGAGTATTATTTGCAAGGCATAGGCATATTGTACTTGTTGCCATGTCCTTCAAATCCTCCCACTCTTCTTCCGACAATTTTTCCGGTTTGTCGTTCTTCCGGTGTTTGGCCCACTCAGCATCTGTCATTTTTTCTGTCCTCTGAACCTTCACCTTCAGAGCTTTGATTGTCCCTTCCCGAGTAAGAACACTTTTTACTCGTTGTTGCCACAGAGTAAAATCGCCACGTCCGTCGAAAGATTCGACGGAAACATTCGAACTTTTTACCGATGCCATTTTTCAAGTTCTCGACTTTCTTCTCTTACCGCTTAGAAATCCCTCCGCCCCAGATGTAACTTGGCTCTGATACCAATTGTTGGGATTTTAAGCGCGTAAGATACCGAAAAATATTGAGAACACCAGAAAAATGAGAGAACAAACACAAGGAGAATTATACTCTCTTTTTAATATAGAAGTGATAAAGTCTTGCTATGTGTTTTTTGAGAGGGACAAATGTTCACGATTTATGGTCTGTGAATATTTGTCTGAAAAGTGTGGGATGTGGGCCTACATTTTTCCGAGTAACTAAAAACCAGTTACTCCCTACACTCACTCACACAATATTGGTGATATCTTGTGTAACACCTCTCTCTTTAACCTTCCTCTCCTTTTTTTCTCCCTACACTCTTTTTTCTCTCTTGGCCGTGTTTTTTAGTCCAAAGTTTGATTCCCTTCCATCAAAAAAATCCACATGCAATTTGATTCCTTTGATTTTTTTCTTTTCCTTTTTTTTCTTTTTCCTTTTTTTTTTAATTAATCAATCCCAACACCTCCACAATCCACAACATAAATTTGTAAAAAGGAGAAATTTGGACAAAAGTTTTCAGAATGAGAATTGAGCATATTTTCCCGTTGGAATTCTATAGCTCCAATCTTCATAAATTTGATAACTCCTCTTGTTAATAACGGAAGAGAGATGTGATTTTCGGTTCCGAATTCCAAAACCCAATGCCTGTGATTTCGAACTTCACATATACAGGAATATTTTCTTAAGTAAGCATACACAAATTTCAAGAACCCAACTGAATAAGTACAGAATTCAAGCAAAGTAATACCAATTCCCATGGATAATACGCCTGCTGATAGATTGAGAAAATGAGGAACCCCACATAGCAGAACAGAAGCCCGGCAAAAACCCTCTACAAAAATTTAAAAAAAATAAAATAAAAATAAAAGGTGAGGCTGATGACCGCAATATATACCAACTTGTTATAAGGTACATCTAGGGTGAGTATTCATTTACTAGTAACTGAATGCTCATTTTCGAGCAATTGAATGTCCATTCTCGAGTAACTAATACTCATTGTTCTAAAATTCAATTATGGTCGAAAGTGAGTATTTAGTTACTGGTGAGTATTTATTAATGAGCAATTGAGTACTCATTTTTCGAGCAATTAAATGCTCAATTCTCGAATAACTGAATACTTATTCTTCTAAAATTCAATTATGGTCGAAAATGAGTATTTAGTTACTCTAAAATATGAGTATTCTATTACTCAAAAATGAGTCCTCCATTACTCGAAAAAAGCAAATTGAAATACCCTCCACATGAAAGATTGTTGAGCTTGAGCACTCTCTAACGTTCGAACCAATTCCTCTTGTTCTGCAAAACCCTAATTCATTCACTTCAATCTGAAAGTGGAGAATATATAAAAACAGCGGGGGAGCAATTGAATTGAAGCGAACCGTACCGTGAGAGTGCAGAGGTCGAGAATCGTCTCGAGTAGGGAGGGAGAATCTGTCGCCTTCTTCGTGAGGAGATTGCCGCCATTTTCTCGTAAGCTTCTGCATCATCGCCGTCGCACTCGATGAAAATCGCGTCGCCCTCTTCGCATTAATTCTTCCACAAGGTCGTAAAGTACCTCAGGAAGAATGGTCTTTCTTTTCATAATTAATCATTTGTTAAAATAAATAATTATATTATCTCTAGTTTTATTTTTAAAAAAATTAATGAAATTCTTTTCACTTTGGAATGAGTAAATAAATTTTATTCTAAAACTTAGAGAATATCCCATTATTTAAATAAATTATGAAGTATTGAAAATAAACTCATTCAAAACATTGGAGTATTTCAATTATCACTTTTATTGTTTTATAAATATGGACAATATATATAATCAAATCTTAAATTTTAGCACTCCAAAAAACTAATGACTCTAAACCATTAAGTACAATCAAATCATAAATGTGGCAAAAAAATTACAAATCTTAGTAACGAAAAAATAATGACAATATTTTTCAAAAATGATAATAAAACTCATATCATATGTGGAAGATTGATAAACCTTGAGCTATTATTGATAAAATTTGGGTACTTTGATTGTAGTAAGGCCTTATTAGCTGGTTTTTCTTGTACTCATATTTCTTTTATTCGTAGAGATGCAAATGTTAATGTTTATGCTTTGGCTAAGTTTGTGGAACCCAACGTATTGTGTGGGTCTCGACTCCACCTAAGTTTGTAATTTCTTTTTTGATGCATTAATGAATTTTGTTTTACCTAAAAAACTATTGACAATGTTAAAAATTAGAAATTTCCCTAAAAGACCATTTAACGTTGAATTTTTTATAAGATTTTTTTAACAAATGTGTTCACCGACATGCTTTGTACTTCAATTTACGGAGTATTAACTTAACATGAACAAAAAAATTACAACAATATAGGTATATTTAGTCACTTCATCCACACGCAAAAAAAAGTTAAAACGATGTAAGCCAAGGTCTCTATAAAATTGCACTCTGGGCCTTAATTAATTGTATAAAAAGCTATGGAGTAAAGAAGGTGATAGATTGAATTCAAGATATTAGTAAAGCAATTCGTGACATCATTCAAAAATGCAAGTTGTTGATCCACATGAGTTCGAATGTGCAAGTTATACATGTCAAAAGAGAGCAAATTTGTGTTTCTGATGGCTTAACAAAAATGACATTCAATCAGAATAGCACATGACTTACCTTTAGTTCTCCTCTGGAGGAAGTCAACGAGGTTTATCACGATGATAAGATTAGATAACTAAGCAACCAAAGGATATTTAGAACTTGTTAGAGACGTACCCTCATTGATATATATATATATATATATATATATACTCCCTCCGTCCCAGTGTATTTGTCCAATTTGACTTTTTCGAATCAAACTGGACAAACTTTAAGCTTTAATTAAATAAAAACCGTATTGTATTTTAACATAAAAATGACTTTATTAGATTTATCGTATTAAGAACTTTCAAAATTGTATTTCATTATGCTAATATATAATATAAATTGAGATTAATTGAAGTTCAAAGTTTGTCCAGTTTAACTCGAAAAAGTCAAACTGGACAAATACATAGGACGGAGGTAGTGTGTGTGTGTCTAAGAGCTATGAGTATATAAAAAAGAAAGAATAAATAGCACATCTTATATTAATAGGTTGCAATTTTAACAGCCTAAATGCAAGTCCCTGCAACTTCAACAACCTCTCATCTTCTACCCATTAAATTGCATTCAACAAATAAAGAAAAGAAACACAATTTTTCCTAAATAAACTGCAGTATGGGTATTGACGTCCATAAAAAAAGGCAGTGAAACAACCATGCTAATTAAGTGAAGTGGTATATTAGAAACTCAAAATAAATAAACTTTAGAATCCAAGAATCCCCTAACGATCACCCAAAGCATATGCATAACATTTTCAGAGATCAGCTCTTCCGGGATATCTGGGGAAGGGAATGACATCTCTGATGTTGTCAACCCCAGTGGCAAAAAGGATCATCCGTTCAAACCCCAAACCAAAACCGCTGTGTTTCACAGTACCATAGCGCCTTAGGTCAAGATACCACTCGTATGGCTCTAGCGGCAATCCCATCTCCAGTATCCTGCAGAGTTCGATGCCCCATTGTTAACGTCCATTTCCCAATGGATACCCAGCACCCACACACACACACTGTGTGAAAAAACTGAAAAAGGATATCGAAATGTATATAGGGATATAGTCGTTTGGTTTGGAGGATTTGTGAGGGGATGTGAGATATTTATTTTATTGATATGTTCTTTTGTTTAGATTTGTTGAAGGACAATGAAGATGAAAGGTTATCTAGAAGTACATGATTTAACTAAACATTTTGTTGGTTTAGCCTATGCCGAATGGGGAGGAGTGAAGGAGAGATTGGAAAACCACAATAATCTCCCAACCAAACAATGTCTTCCAGACTAAACACTCAACACACTAAATAATCAGTTCATCACATACCTTGACCTGAGGACCTCGTAATCCTCTTCCCTTTGACTTCCACCTATTAGTTCTCCCACCTTAAAATGCAAAAGGTCATTAGGGAGGAAGGAATTCATAGCTAAAACCAAAGAGCTTGAACTAGGTAAGCAAACAAATGACACCACTTATATTATAATGTGTGCATGGAGATATTTTTATGATCAGTCTCTTTTGCATCATTACATGGAATGTAATAAAAAAACCAATCTTGCATTCTTCGGCATGTTATGGCAAAAGAAGCAATGTGTGAATGAATCTGAAGTGGCAAGGGGAGGGCAGATTTACGGAACGAGTTTGAGCCTTGAGGGAAGTTAGGTTTTCCCTTTTTGGGGGGGTGGGGAGGGGGGTAGGGGGTAGCATTCAAGTTTGCAGAAGGCCATGGTGAACCACGTGAACAGTTCCATTTGACAATCACAGGTTCTATAGGATAAATGCTGAATGATTCTTTTAAACCAGTAGCAAAACAATTAAAAAGCTGTATTCAACAATGTCATGGAATTGACATTGACATTTAGCTTAAACCAATGCTAGCTGTTTTTCCATTATACTCCGTTTTAAATAAGCATTTAATATAACTAGAAAGAGCACAAAAATACCTTTGGCACAAGCAGGTCCATCGCAGCAACTGTCTTATTGTCTTCATTGACCTTCATGTAAAATGCTTTTATCCCTTTCGGGTAGTTGTACACAATAACAGGTGCCTTAAAATGATCTTCAGTCAAGTACCTGAAACATTGAACCACCATGAATAAGAGTAAACACAAAACACTTGAACAATGCAACAAAAATAAGGATGAGGTATTAACCTTTCATGTTCAGATGCCAGGTCAATCCCCCACTCTACTTTATTCTCAAATGTCTTGACTTTGACTGCTTCCTCAAGAATGGCAATGGCTTCTGTATAAGTAATCTTGATGAAATCGGATGAAGCAACTAACTTAAGCCTATCAATTGCACCCTTATCAATGGAGTTAACAATAAATTCCATGTCATCTAGGCAGTTGTCAAGTAACCACTGACACAGAAATCTCACATATGCCTCTGCACATTTCATATCATCCTGCAAAACATTTCAAACATTTAAATGAAATCAAACATTGCAGGTGAACATACAAAATCCTGAGGAAAGTAGAGTGAAAAGATGTAGGCAAACATTTCAAATATTTTAACACACTCGCTATGGATTAGCAACTCAGACCATCAAGGTTTGTTTTTTATTCGGGTTACATTAAAATCAAATATCCTTCAGTGATATGAAAACTTTCTAGCCTAGAAAGAAGAGTGAAAATATCTAGTGTATTTGGTAAAGGTTGGGGAACATGTTTGTTTGAAAGTTATAATTTACAGTATCTATTATCCAAATATTTGTATTTTGTTTGTTTATTTATTGCTAGAAATTGTAAATTGTAAATAAAAGTATCAATATAAAACTCTGAAAATGGCAATCGTGTAACAAAAAACAAAGGTTATAAACGGATAGCCTATGTTGGGGTTATCACATAGCTGGAGCAAAAGTTTTGTCCTGACCGTAGAGGTGCATATACAGACTACAGCAGAGCTCTGAGAAGATATGCGGTTTCTGAAACATGGGTCCTGGGTGGTCTGAGGAGCTGATGATTATGCTATGATAATGGCCTTAATGGGATAATTTACCAAGTCAACAGCTTCATAGCTTGGTATCTCGACACCAAAACTACTCACAAGCATATTGGATTGACGGTCAAACATTTATTACTTCATCAAAACTACTCCAAAACATGTGTGGTCCGACCTATCATGGTTGATTGGCTAGCTAATCTAGCCCTCTCCTCCCTGTTGAGGCGATAAATAAATCAAACATTTATTACTTCACCAAAATTTCCCTCCTTATAAATCACCCTTTCAATAATGCTCCTCTTGACAGTAAATTGGGAAAAGGAATCTAATGTACATATTTCAAAAATAGACAGATAAAAATAAACAAGGAAAAGTAGTGAAACTAGACAAATAAATAAGAAAGCCAAGGAGTATAACTTAAACAGATATGCCGCAAAACAACATTACCTAGATTTCTTGATGATATTTAAAGACCCAACATACCTTGATATCAGCAAAAGCTATTTCAGGCTCCACCATCCAGAATTCTGAAAGATGTCTAGATGTGTGGGAGTGCTCGGCTCGAAAAGTTGGACCAAATGTGTAAACACTAGAAAGTGCACATGCATAAGTTTCAACTTGCAACTGGCCAGAAACAGTCAAAAAAGCTTGACGGGCAAAAAAATCTGCACTGTAGTCAATTTTTCCACCCCTTTTAGGAATACCGGCAGAATGCTTACATCTCTCCCCCAAATTGAACCTTTCTTCCAACTTCGCGAGATTCTCCTTGGCCCTTTTCAGCTCACCAACCACAGCACTGATTTTTTTATTAATCTCGGCAACACCATCCCCATCTTTTCCTAGGCTTGCCTTCTCAGATTTGAGATGAGTAACAGTTTCTCCTTTCGCCTGAACAAGTTCCTCAGCCGCTTTGACATCAGATTCAGTAGGAGGTGGGTTATCTTTCAGCTCCTTTTCCAATTTTTCAGCCTCATTAATTAAAGTTGTGACTTGAAACATCTCCCCAGCACCCTCACAATCACTGGTGGTGATGATTGGAGTATGGACATATAAAAATCCATGCTTTTGGAAGAACGTATGAGTGGCATATGCCAGGGCATTGCGGATCCTAGCAAGTGCAGATATCTAGATGTATAAAAAAAATCATGATTTTAGTATGGGAACTCAAAAAATATCCATACCTTCCTAGGCCTTTTTCTAAGAACTCATGAAAATTTAAACCTTCAAGGCAACACTATGACAAAGGATTGATTAAGCCAGATATTTAAAAAAACGTATGCAATCAATCAATTATATAATCAATCTATTATGTGATGACTAACGAGATAGAAAACATCGTTCCCCACATGTACTCATAATATAAACGATTATCTATATAAAGGCATCAATTTTTCATAGTTAAGGAAGGAAAATATTGTCATTTCAAAAATAGAAATTTTCAGTTCACTCAGTTTGGATATTAACTGCAGATCAGATGAAACAAAGGCTTGTTTTGGAGAATAGAAGGATGCATAAAGCAGATAAAGCAAGTAAAATTCTGATTTGAGAAACACAAAGCTTACAAATTTACAAAACCACAGGATAGGGTACTAAACCCACAATTCAAATAATACATATGCAAATGTTCAGTTCCGCATCATATATATATAAACTACGTACATCAGAATAGCAAAGTGATAGCAAACTGCAATCATTAAACATTTGCAATTTTCTAACAAACAAAATGATCAGTACATGCCAAATCACAGTGTGAGCATAAATTACAGATATGCAAAAGTATGTTGAAAGAAAAATCACTAGCAAAAGAGTAAGAAGATTGAGAAAGTAAGAAATTATACCGTGTTTGTCCTGGAGCGGAGATGAATAACATCTCGTAGAAACTCAAGTGTTAGTCTAGTCTTAGGCAAAGGATATTTAGCAGCATCCACAGTTCCGACAGCCAGAACCTTCTGAACTGCAAGCTCGACCTTCTGCTCGACGCCTTCAGGCGGCAGCTTCAGCACTCCTTCGACGTGAACGGACGTGCCCGTGGCAACCAAATCACGGAGCTTGAAAACGGTCGCGTCCACCATGGCCTGGAGATTCGCAGGGCAAGATCCGTCATTCACTTCCAGGAAAGCAAACGCTCCCTTTCCCTGCTCTCTTCCTTTTTTAACCCACCCTCCGATTCTCACGACTCTCCCGGCAAGTCCGGCGCCACCGTCCGAGCGGCCGATAATAGACCGGATCGGGACTCGCTGGGAGAACTCCGCTTCTTCGACGACGTCGCTGAGGGAGAGCATCTCCACCGGCGGCGTGGAATCAACAGACATTTCTTACAAGACTTCCCGGCACCGTCGGGAGATATGAGGAGAGATCTTTTGAATTTCTGACAGCCGCCGGGTAGAAGTAGTGTAGCGGCCCTATAGGGTTTTAAGCCGATTTTACGTTACTGCGAATTTTGATTTTTTGCTGGTATATTTATACACTAATTAGAGTAATACTAATTACTCCATTCCTTGGCAATCCAGTAATCCAGTATAGATCACATATGAGTAAAAATAAATATTTTTTTACTATTAAAATAAATATTTATCTTTTTTTAATAAAATAATTTTTGTCAGAAAGTCGACAAAAAAAATATGCACCTAAGGTGCACCAAAAATCTCTCTTACAAAGCTAAGTACTCTTAATTTATTACCTAATGAAAATCACTCGGGACTAGGTTGATAGATTTATTACATATTTTTATCAAAATCAAACTAGATACAATCGAATCAGATCAAGTAAGATTAGATTTAATTAGATCAATTCATATCCAATCAAATCATGACAAAAATAATACTAATACTTTTTTAATGATTAAATAATAGTTATATTTGATTAAATCTCATTACTTTTTTTTAAAGCTTCACACATCTAAATATTAATTAATATTATAACTTTAGGCCGGTATGTTTTGTATTATTATTGATATTATAATTATTAATATTACTCTGTGTATTATTATACTCCCTCTGTCTCCAATTTGATTACAAATTGCGGGTTACGGAGTAAAAAATTTTACTATTTGAAATCATTTTATTTACAAATTGGTATATCAATAAGATATAAAATTACATATTAAAAAACTACGTCAAAAGTTCTACAAAAAAGAGGTGACAAAAATATTTTATTTTATCAAATACTTAATGAAATTGCGTTAACAAACAAAAGTTATCGAGGGGAGAGAAAAAAACTGTAATCTATTTAGGGACGGAGGACGTAAGACGGATGAAGTACTATTAATCTATTATTGTTAATTTTATTATTATTATTATTATTATTATTATTATTATTATTACTATTATTTTTATTATTACATCAACTACATACCATTATTACTTTTACTTACTTAGCTTCTAGATATGATGCATGAGAGCTTGTATTAATACTGAGTATTAATACATTCTCTTCACTATATAAAGAAAAATTGATTAATGTGTTTTCACAAAGAATTAAAAAGTAGTGATATTAAAAATATATTTAATATTTCAAATAAAATGTTGAAATATATTAATGATTTGTTATTGTATTTGATTTTCTTATTTTACTTTTTTCTATGCATATATGAATTGTAAGACTTTAAAATTGTTAAATTTCTTGTAATAATCATAAACTTAATTTACATCAAATATAAATTTAATTATAACAAATCAAATCGGATCTAATAAGATCAAATCAAATTAGTTCAAGAACTAATTAGATCGGATCAGATTCTATTAATTCAAATCAGATCTAATTAGATGGGGTCAAATTCTATCAGATCAGAACTACAAAATTTCAGATCAAATTCAATCAGATCAGGCCTATGAAACATTGCTTTAGGCCTATCAATGGGTCGGTATAGATCCAAACTCGACCCGTACTTGAACCCGTACCCATTATTTTAAAAAATAAAGGATCGAGTATAACACGAGTAGACCCGACCCGTTTAAAATCTGTAGAAGTTAAATAAATAAATAAAATTAAATATTGCAAAATCTTACCCCCCCCCCTTCTTCGATACTCTTCTTTTTTGTTAGTTGCGTGACTTCGAAATCTTTTTGTATTTATTTTACCATATTAGAGATCTGTACACGTTAGTTTTTACAATAATATGGACTATGGAATAAATTCTACACTGTCAAAAAGTGTATGACTGTTTTCATGTATGAATTTTACACTGTCCAAAAATGTATCTCTTTTTATGCATGAATTCCACATTGCCAAAAATATGTATAACTGTTTTATCTCATGTATGAATTTCACACTGCCTAAAAATATATCACTAATTTCATGAATAATCTATTACATCAAAACACACTAGCCAAACATGGGTGTTAAATATGGAATTTAATTTGATACGTACGAACTTGTTTAGCATTATACATTGGTAAACTGCGTAGGGAGAGGATCTCGCATAACTATGGTAAACGGCGTAGGATGACGTTCCCGCACGTATGAGACGCACAAATGAGGAGTCGCACGTATGAGGATGAGTGGCTACGTGAATAACTTAAGTTTAATCAAATAATTAAAAATAGTAGAATATAATAAAAGGTAGATGATATGCTTGAAAGATATTGACACTATAAATAGTTAAATTCATATAAAAATTAAGAAGTGTTATATGCTTAATATTGAGTGACTTAGGATGCTACATAGGGTGATTTTCTATAATAGTATAATCCTTTTACACGGTCATAATATTATTTACTTAGATTTATTATTATTATTAATATTATTACCACATACATATTACTCCCTCCGCCCAAAAACTTTCTTCCCAGAATATTATTCCAACTTCACAGGAATTTATATTTATTTGTGTTTTTTCATGGCCTATATGATAAAATAAAATATTCTTGTCACCACTTCTTTTGTTGAACTTTTGATGTAGTTTTTTAAATATGTATATTTTATTTTTTATTTTTATATCAATATTTAAATAAAATAAATTGAAAAAACTTGGAATTTTTCTTCGTTTTGCGCAACGGGAAGAAAGATATAGGACGGGGGAGTATTTATTATTATGTTACCATTTATGCATATAAGGAAACCTAAAATTAATCACTAATTTATGTTACCATTTATAAATACTACCTTAAACCTAAATAATACTCCCTCCTACATGAAATTACTTATACACTCCACTACTCAAAAATTAATTGTAGACAAAATATACAAAGAGAAATATTTTCTCACATATTGTTATTATTTCATACTCCGTATTCGGTATTTTATAGTGTAGGCAACAGCACCCAATAATTTAAATTTACATGTAGGGTCAATCATACACCGATGCACAGCTCATTATGACATGCTTTGAACGTGAAATGGCGCAAGTGCACATAGCACCAGATTATTCTGTTCTGGACTTCTATTACTCCCTCCGTCCGGTATTAATGTTTACGTTTTGACTTTTGGTCATTTTTATTGATGGTTGACTCTAAAGTGAATTAGTCCAAAATACCCTTCCCATGTCTAGCTTCACCACACCACTAATTTCTGCAACCCCCGTCCGCACCCCTGTCTCCGGCAGCCTCCCTTCCTGGCCATCCCCCACCACAATCATTAGTTTCAACATCACTGCCACAGCACTTCCGTCGTCACCGCCAGGTCTGCCCCCCATCGCCTCCGATTCGTCCCTTATCACAACCACAACCCTACCACCGCTACCAATCCCACCATCTCCGCCAGAAGTCTGTCACCGCCGGCCCTCCATCACTGCTAGCACTTTCGCCGCCATCCCCCATCTCTGTGAGATTACAGATCTGTTTAGATCTAGAAGAAAGATGGAGAAGGATGATGAGGAAGAAGAAGTCAGATCTACACAAAGAGAAAGAAGAAGAAAAGAAAAGAAAAAAATGGGGCGCTGGGAGGAAAAGGAAAAGAAAGAAGAAAGAGTGAGGATAAGAGAGAATGAAGATAAGGAGAGAGGTGCGGTGGAGAAAAGAAAGGAACGGTGGGGGAAAAGATAAAGATTAAGGAAAGAAAAGAAGAAGAGAAAGAAAGGTAGAGGGGTATTTTTGGAAGAGTATGGGTTAAAATTAGAAATGTAAACTTTATTTTCGGACGGAGAAAAAGGAGAAACGTAAACTTTATTTCCGGACGGAGGGAGTACTTCATTTGTCACATTCTTTCTTCTAGGATGAAAAAATTTTTTGAAATAATTTTAACTTTAACCGATTTTCTAAAGATCATTTTGACTTTTCACCATAAGCCAACATTTGATAGAGTATGTGAGTTTTGATTCCGCGTTAGAATCTTAAAGTTGCTTAATGGTTCTAAATGGCAAATGTTTATTTTGGGGAATTAAATCAAAGGTTAGATTATTTCATGTAAATAATCTTTTTAAAAAAAATTAAATTTGAAATTATATTTTTAAAAATAGAATTGTAAACTTCACAACTTCTATAATGTTATTTCTAGAAAAAAATTGTAGTGCATTTTCATAAAACTAATTTGTATGGGTGGTCTGGAGGGTGTGCAAAGTAGTCAACTGCACAGGACTCCTAAAATTTTGAGGTCTCATATTTTTAAATTTATTATTAATTTCAAAATATATTTATTCTAAAATAATAAAATAGGACTCAAAATATAATTTTCGGACCGGATCAATTTCATTTTTTCAATTTTCGAGGCCGCCCTGCTAATTTGAAGTGTCGCTTCGACAAAAAGAATTGCACTCCATAGTTTAATGGCGGTACAATAGTACAATACTACATTTTTTTAAAATTTGTTTTCAATTTGTAATACCTCCTTGGTTTTCAAAATTACTTCTTCTTTCATCAAAATATTTTTACTTTTTATTAAAAAAATACATTCAATACTACTAATTCTTACTTTACCTATCTCATTATAATTTTCACTAATAATTTATTTTTCACATCTTATGTTTATCCATCACATCAAGGATAAAATTAAATATTCTACTAAAAATATACATTTCTCATTTCTCTCATTAGTCAAAATATGAACCATTTTGGTGAATAGAGAGGAAGTACATTTTTTTCAATTGTCAAAATTTTGGATTTTTCACAATTTGAAATTTGTTGGGCAATGTATCAATGATGCTCAAAATTATACTCCGTAGTAAATGGTGTTGCATTTGAAAAAAATTGTAGTACAATAGCGTTACAATTCTGATTTTTTTAAAAATTTATTCTACAATTTTTTTTGCAACTGTGAAAAAGAAAATTCCAAAGCATGCAGCACAAATCTCATTTTTTTTAATTTTCAAATTTTTTACTTTGTAATAATTTTAAAAATTAAGACAATTTTGATTTTTTATAAATTACCACACTCTTCTAATTTTTTAATGCTTTGAGTCTATTACAACATAGTATTTGCTCCGCTTTGTCAACCTAATGATGCTGGGAATCAAACTTAAGTGAATTTTACCATTAATTTTTGAGAATGAAATTCCTACTACCGAAGCAAATAAAAAGTTTTGTACTGTTATAATTTTTAGAAACTTAATTTAAAATTTTAAAATATTAAAAAAAATGGAAAATAAGCGTTTATTATTTAGAACTTTCTAAATTATAGAGCATTTGGAAGCATATTAAAAATAAAAAACATAGTCATCGCGACTAGCGGCAATCCCAACTAGGCGGTGCGACAGATCTGCAAGGGGGAGAGATAGAGGCGTCGCTCCGTGGCAGATCTACATGGAATGCTTTGTGACAGATCTGCAAAAGGGGAAGCAGTTGCGGCAGCACTACAAGGAGTAGGGCAGCGTAATGTAATGCACTTGGGATGAATTTGAGAGAGGCAACGCTTCAAAATGGTGAGAGTGGTGGCCAAAAATGAGTGAGAGGGAAGATAGAGGCATGGTGGAGTGGCGGAGATGGAGCTAAGAGAGATGAAATTAGTTAAAGATTTAGTATTATTTATGAGATTTTTTTATTACTTAACTAATTGCTCTTATTTATAGACGTATAAGTTTGAGCTCTTATTTTAGAGATATGACATATGCTTATTCATATTTTGGAGATTTTATTAAAAATTAGTTTAAAAATTACTCCCTCCGTCCCAAAAAGATTTAGACATTTCAAAAAAATTGCGTCCCACTTCTCTTACCCATTTCTATTAAAAAACCACTTTTACCCCTTACTTTTTCAAACCCTACCTATCACATCGTACCTTTTTCCTAATAATCTACACATCACATCCTACTTTTACCCATCACATCAAAGATATTTTTAGAAAGTAAAAACAAAATTATCACTCTCTTAATTTTAACTTTAGTTATAATGTGTAAGACTTTATGGGACGGAGGGAGTAGGAGATTAGACTTACTTGGTCTTGCACTCTCGCTAGCCTTTTTTGAAATTTTATAGTAGGGAGAATACATGTGGGCCATTTGGCATCGTGACACGTGAGCCATGTGCCCTCCTCCATCAACGGTCAGTAAATGGGGTCCTGACCCGTCGTCTCCACCAATCAATAATTGAACGGACTCTCCCCTTTTCTTTCCATTCCCTTATTTAAACACGCAAAATCTGGGTTTATACTTCAAAATCAAATTCCTCATCATCATCTTCATCAAAACCTAGATCGACCCGAGCAATTTCATCTTCAATCCGCAGCAGGCCTGCAATTCAGAGAGAAAAAAACTCCATAGCTCTTCCCCTTCCTGCTGCTGCAATGGAGATGACAAGAGCTTGCTCGCTAATGGCGGCCGTCGCCGCTCTCCTCCTGTCGCTCGCGTTTCCTTCCATCAACGCCCAATCCTTCGCCCCTGCTCCCGCGCCCACCAGCGACGGTAAGTGAATCGTTGACCTATCTGATTTTCACGCCTTCGTTCCTGTTCGCGGATCGATCTGGAAACGGATTTTGTGTTTTTTTTGGATTTCCAGGAGTCGCAATCGACCAGGGAATCGCGTACGTGCTCATGCTTGTTGCTCTTGCGATCACCTATGTTATTCATTGAGCTCTCTGGACAGATTTGAATGCAATGCAATTCTTCCTGGTGTCGATTTCATTTGATATTATTTGGTTTGATGATGTGAGTGCTGAGATTTGGATTTGGATTTCGATCTGTTTATCTTGTTGGTGAAATGTAAAATCCTTCTTCGTTCTTATTCGATTTTTGTTCAGATTTTTCTCCCATTTCTCGTATCATATACTCCGTAAATGTGTATATTGTTAACTTGGTGAGGAGGGATGCATTATTGAGATCTAATTGTGGTTTCAACTAAAAGTTATAAATCAAATTCCAAGATTCCGCGTCTATGAAAAAGTAAGCAATTAGCCTAAGCTTTTTCTTTACACAATTCTAAAGGTTCAAAATATTTTGAAAAAGCTTAACGTTAAATGCTCCCCGAAAATGGTTTTTTTTTTTTAAAGTTAATGTTAATTTTTAATGTCATTTCCAAACAGGTCTTATTGAATTTGTTTTTCACGTTTTAAATACTCCTTCCGTCCACAAATAAACTTTACGTTCACTATTTACCGGGTCAAATTTTATTCACTTTGTTCTTATTTTCGTTACTTATTTGATAAAATAATATAGTCATGTCACCTCTAGTTTTATATTTTTGTAGATCTTTTGATATAGTTTTTTAATATATGATTTTTATTTTAAAATTTCACACCATTTTTCATATTAAGTGATCTAAAAATAACTTCAGTCAAACATCGTAATGCGTAACGTAAAGTTTATTTATGAACGGAAGGAGTATATTTTTAAGGAAAATGCTAGGGGTACACCAAAAGTGTACCCCAAACATCCTACATCCCCTCTATCACCACGCAACAATGGCAAGAAAAATTAAAAAAAAAAGTAAAAAATAAAAATAAAATAAAATGAATGGTAAAGAAGGGGTGGTGTACATTAATTTTTTATTTAAAAAACTAAAACTAAAGCCTTTTCAAAATAGTCATTTTTCTTTCCTAAACTAAGTTTTATTTATTTATTTTTATTTATTATTTGATAAAATAATATAATCATGTTATTTTTTATTTGTAATTTTTTTCTGTAACTTTTTAAGAAGTCAAATTTATTTTTTAATTTCGCTCTGATTAACTCTTTGATAACTACGGTAGTACTAGATAAACGAACTATCAAATGTGTAGTACCATCATAAATATAAATCATCAGAACCGTAGTGTTTAGGGTGCGTGTTATGCGGCTTGAGGAGCCTTGATCATCCTCTATCACGTCCCTCCCCCATTAAAAAACCCCCGATCGGATGGGAACTGAGAAATAAATTAAATATTAATATTAATTTTAAATTGGTGGTAACCATTCTCCCATTACACTTCAAACGTGAAGGAGTGCTGCCCAATCACAAGTTACTACAAGCACTACGTTGCCCCATCTTCCTCCCCACTTTTTGTTTTTATTTTAAATTTTAATCAAATCAAAATTTAACATATATTAATACATTGTCTCTTTCATTTGACCATTCACACCACCATTAACCCAGTACTCAACCCAAAAGTTACTATCTCTGTCTTCTTCCCACATGATAATTTGAATGCTACAACCTGTCCATGCATGCGAATGGAGGGGCATATAAGGATGGAGGAAGGATTTAATTGAGATGTGGGGGTAGAAAGCTGCCTTTTAATAGGTAGATAACATCAGAGTGATGAAAGATTGACCATGGAAAGAAAGTAAAGATATTTGTAATATTTGAAAAGACCTAAATATGTGAGAGACTATTTGCTTATCATCAGGGACAATTTATGGAAAACTTTCCCTTTTATTTCTTTGACTATTCAAACAAGTCATTTATTCTTAAGCAAAAGGTCTGCTGAAAATTGTCTATCTTTTATTACGAAAGGATACCTTTTTACTAATGTTTAAAAAATGGAATTTCCTTATATACCCCATATCCTAAAGCTATAGAATAAAGCTAGGGTAACTCCAAAATTTTTGGAGTTACCATAACTCAATGCTTTGCATAGAAACGTACAAGCAATAACTGTTCTTTACAAAGCATGAGCTCATGCTAACCCCAAAATGTTTGGGTTGCACCACTCAAAACTTTACTGCATTAGCACCACAAATACTTGAGCATTGGGGGGACATTCTCATGTGTTGAATCAACACAAAATCAAAATGCTTTGATTCCTTGCACATACCGACATTCTCATGTGTTGAAAATCGGCACGATGTCAACATGCTTTAATTGGTTGTACATACCAATCAAACCATGTCCAATTTGGTATAGTGGAATTTTCCCTCAAGTTGTGTTTTTTAACAGCTTTAAGGATGCTCTCAATGCCAGAATTCAACAGAGCTCAAACTTTCATGACACAGCTTGAAGATTTAACAGAACTCAACTATATTCCCTAATTACTGATTTGTTTTCTCATTTTGGGTGGGGGGAGTCCACAAGAATCGGAAGCAAATCTAAACCAATTCAAGTCTTGAATTAATGGCAAGTTTCATGTCACAAAATCACGGTATGGATATATAATACATAATCGTACCAGCCTGGACAAACGAGAGGGTTTTCCATTCTGTGATCCTGAGGGACTTCGCAATCTGTTCATAACAAGCAAAGCAGGCTTGGCTCAAAGAGCCATTTCCCTTTGTAATGCTTCAAGTTCATCTTCCTCATCCGTATTCTTTTGAGCAACAGGGGGTGCTGCTTGTTTGCCTGATGGGACAGACACAGTTGCAGATGGGGCAGTGGTAGCTGGTTGAAGAAGCTCTTCTTCCAATTCAGCCCCTTCCAGTTCTTCAAGTTCCGCCTCCAGTTCATCCTGTTGGTTTTACCATCATATATAAGTGACTATCACACATAACTCCATAAACTAAAGGCAATGTTAGGATCCCAGTCCAGAAAATGTGGGAAGAAATGACTAAGAAGAAATGTTTACTTATGTTTCATTTGACTTTGAGCAATTCAGAGGCAAAACAAATATGACTCTTAAGATTTCAAATTTTTAAAAAATATACTCCGTACTCTGCATTAAGATTTACTATATACGGTGTATAAAGTAAATAAATAAATGAAGCAACTGTGATCAAATACGTAAAACAGATTTATTGACTATCAGTCTATCTTTTATTCTCTTCTAATTTCTCTTCAAGATTTCTTTTCTCCTCTATCTTCTTCCCCTAACATTTTCCAGATTCTAAGAAGAACGCTTGAAGATGCAGAATAGTTTCAAATAAAAAAAATCAAAATCAAGATCTAAGGTGACTATGTGAGAAAAGGAGCATCATGTTCCACGATTAGCACATCGATTTTACGATTTCAATGTCATTCTTGTAATGAACGAACTATCTCCAGCCATCTCATGATACTAATATGAGTGGAAGTAGCCTATGATATTGATGGTTCTGGGATGTCATACACTATTCCTTCCTAAGAAGGTTGCACCAGGAAGGGTATAATTTTGGCACTGTTTTTTCCCCTTTGGCATTACTTTATGCTTAACGAAATTCAATGACACTTAAACTATCATGCCACAAAAGTGACAAAGCCCAATTAGTTGATTATGGTTATGATGATGATGATGAAAAGAATGTTTAGAAGGAACCTCATCAAAGTCGGCCACTGAGCCAATTGGAGTAGATAATGCTTCTTGAATTTGTCTAATGTTCTCTGTCTGCTCATTTATTTCATCGATTGTTTTGTCCACATCATCAATATTCCTGTAAAGTATGAATAAATCTCAAGATGAGTGGCTTGGCACATTGTATCGTTCTACACCAAAGATGGGAAAATGAGCCCCTAGAAGATGTGCTATTTAGTTAATACTAACATAGATACAACATTAAGCAAACACAAAAATACTATCCCATTACTTGAAAATGCTCCAAATTAAAGTAAATCAGATCAAATTTTAACTCACGTTGCTTTTTGCATAGCTTTCATTACTGCTGCCCCAGTTCTCAGGGCTTCTATAGTTTCCGATGTAGCTTTCGCTCCTTCTAGCATTATCATCTGCACATTGAACAAGCTAATTTGTAAAGCAGAGTACACCAAATGCACACCAGAGCATATAGCATAAAGAGTTAACTCACGTCGATCAAAGTGTTAACTCACCTGATCATGGATGCGCAACTGAAAATTGCCAAGCTGCTCAATTTGATGCTCATAAAGCTTCTTCCTTTTCAAACATTGGATAGCAGCTGCATTATGATATGAAAATGGGGTGCAAGATTACAGAATTATCAGATACAGGCCTTAATTGGATTTAAATCCATCAGGCATCTTTGAGAAATTATGTTTTCAACACATGAATAACGATAGATGCCACATATTACACCGACCCTGAAAGGAATGGGTTCCAATATATATTTTCACTCAATAACACAAGCAACAAACAGGGATGCATGATGCCATTGGGGTATGTTTGAATCACGAAAGTACTAAAAAAGAACACACACACACACACACAAATAAGAATGCATCTCGTGCATTAGATGTAAGATCTAAGGGCTTGAAAAATTCAAAAAAAAAGAAAACTGAAAAAATCTGAAAAAGCACGGTGGCATTATGGTAAATAAGTTCCCAGCGCCGAAAATACACTCCCACAATATAAAAATGCATCGTGACGGCATAAAAATGTACCATTCTCACGATAAGGTCTATTTTCGCAGTAAGTTCCATTCTCACTTGAACCAACTCCTATATATATATATTTATTTATACACACACACAGATATATATATATATATATATATATATATATATATATATATTGTTTAGAAGAGAGATAAATTGGGCCAAATTTCCCCAAAATTTTATTCCTTGAATATAAAACTTTATTTCACCCAAGTTTTAATTCCTTATCATTCTCTTCCTATTTTCCTTCCGGTTTTATATCCGTAGTATTTTCTAGGTTGCAATTGGACCCTCGCTAAATCGGTAAAACTCCATAGGGATAACATCTAAATACATGACATTTGAAAGTAAAAGATTTATCACGTATTCTAGCCATACCTCTCTTGTTCTTTACTTTTGTAAATTCTTTGGCCTTTTCAACTTCCGCACTAGCCTTCTTTTGAAGCACCTTTTCCTTCTTCTCAAGCATGTCCAGGGTCTACACAAACATAGTCGCAAATGTAATAAAAAATACTAGCATGGAGGGAAAGGATCTTGACTCCCAAAACTAGCCATATATATGCCTTCCAAAATTTCTCAAAACAAGAAAAGATTTGATGCACATGTATGAAGCTTGTATGAAAAAACTCTGTAGATGTTTATTTCAGATTAAACTATCATAGCTCAGCCTATCTCAAGGGGGTCTTGGGCCTCTCGGCACGCCAGTTGATGTGTTGCTTGGATCACGGGTTCGAATCTTGGAAGCAGCATCTTGGAAGTTGGAAAGTAACTGCCAAGGCCTACACCACACCCTCATGGTGGGACCGACTCTCGCCGCTGGGATGGTTTGTACCCAGGGTAGTCATTTTTTTGTCAAGTCTATTAGAAATGCCAATATAGAACCAACATAGCCTCTTAGAAATGCCAATTTATTACAAAACGCAAACTGATCACATTATTTTGGAATTGGAAGGAGTAATTTATATCAAAATGGACCTCCAAGCAGACAAATAAAAAACAAATGTTATGTACATAATGACATATTGTCGTATTGATCATGCATATAATGTCACCCACCTCGTTTAATTTATCTAGAGTATCCAGAGCATTAGAATCCTGCTTCTGCTTGCCAAAAATCCGAGAAAACATCTTCACAAACAGATAAAATATATCGAAATCACCAATGCACTATTCCTGATTGCAAAAGAGTGAAAAACATTTATAATATGAACAGAGAGTTATTTTCAGGAAACTGAAAAGCCTCATCTAGCACGAAGTACCTCAAGGAATGTTAAGAGATACATACAGGAAAGCTAAAGTTTTCGTCTGATTTGACTTTCTTGAATCAAATTTAATGAATCAAACTTCTGATAGTTTCACGCTAGATAAAGGACCTATTTGGGAATAGTGTTATAGATTAGAGTTAGCATTTTAGATAAAATTTTAACCGTGCAGAACTGCAGATTACGATTACTTTGGAAAAGCTAACGCCCCGCTGACACGCTGTCCATAAATAGCTTTTTCAAAACGCTAACGCTAATCTCTAAGGTTATTCCCAAACAGGCCCAAAACTCATTGTATCAACTCACAATTTTTTATTTAATCGATTATAGTTTGTCTAGTTTGACTAAATACAAACCCTACAATTCTCTATACAATACAAGCAAGGCCATGTGCGGAATTGCTCATGCATAAGAACAAGCCTGACTTTAGGTCACACCTGAATAACAACGATGTGATGAGGTTTCACTGCGAGCTTGTGATTGGCGGATTCCGGTGAACTCTGAGATTGAACCGCCGATGCGAGAGGGAGGGAGTGAGGATTTTCGCCGTGTGTGTGCCTGGTGGTTTTTGCTTAATCGCGAAGGTTTAGGAGGTAGTACACACGCAACTCTCAGTGCGGCTTAGATTTTAGAACACAGTTTATTTATTTGATGACTAGGGGTGCAGAGGGCCTTGACTTTTTTTATTTATCAAATTCTAAGGTGATAAAAAGATGCATTCAAAAAAAAAAGTGATAAAAAGATATTTTTTTCGTCTCAAAATGATATTGCATATTGGAATAACATGTAAAATTTTGTAATTTTTATAATATTTCTTTTTTTACAAATTGGCATGTAAATTAAAGATTAAATTTATGTATTTAAAAACTCAACCAAAGGTTGTATAGATCAAGCGGTGACAATGATATTTTATTTTATCAATTGATCAATGAATATGTGCAAACAAGCAAAAGTTATCGAGAGACATATCTAAGTCAATTTGAGACGGAAGTAGTATTTAGTCAACATAACGTAAATAAAAAGGGTTTATTTGAAAATTTAGTTTTGGAATATCATTACTTATAACATTTATTTATTTTATACTATATTTAATTAGTGGTAAAAATGTATAACTATTTGACAACAAACAACAACAACAACCCAGTTAAATCCCACAAAAGTAGGGTCTGGGGAGGATGTGTGTACGCAGACCTTGCCCCTACTCGAAAGTAGAGAGGCTGTTTCCAAAGAGACCCCCGGCTCAACGTCGAAAGTTGCATTGCTTAACTAACTGCTACTTCATTAATTAAAGAAGCACAGACAGTTTAGAGATTCATTTTGATTTATTCCATCACATCCCAAAGCCAAAAATGGTGAAATTTTGGCTCCATCCTAGGATAGAAAGTATTTGACAAAAAAATCAAATCATAAAATATATTATGAGACGAAAGAGGTATAGTACTAGATTTAACCTCACATCTCGCACGCGTTCATTTATACTTAGTAATATTATTGTATAAAAATGTAGTTTTGAAACGCCAAATTTTTATAACATTTATTTATTTTATCTAGTACTATACAATAATATTTTAATTTGTAAAAATGTAGTAAAAATGTTCGACCAAAAAATTCAACTCTAGGAAAATATTGAGGGGCGAAACGGTTCTAGATTTAGCCTCACATCTCGCACGGCTTCATATATACTCGATAATATTGTTGTAAAATTATATTGTAGTTATATGATACTCCCTAAATTTTATTTTTTATTTTTTACAGAGTAAAAGTATACTCCATATACTGTAAGTTACTAGAAATATTTTTTAACTTCTAGATATAAAATATTGTATGGTAGATTTACTAACTAAATAAGAAATTAAAAAATAATCAAATTTCGAAAGAATACGCATTTGTTAAAACGTTATGGCTACTATGGTTTAAATGGTCAATAAAGAGTAAAGATTGTAGTTAAGGTGAAAAAATTTTAATCTATGACCAATTATTTGCATATGCGTATATTTCTTACACCTTTTGTTTTCTATAGATCTCGTACATACATAAACAGCGTAGCTTTGGAAATTTGTTTTGCTCGATTTGGTTTTCAGCCCCTATACAATCACATTTACATTATTAACCGGCAAATCTTATTCAGAAGCAACTAGCAAGTAGCCACTTTCTTTCATTCGCACAATCAAATTATTCAAGATAGACAATAAATAAATACTCCGTATTTCATTTCATTCCCAAACATCATAATTGTGTGAATGCAGCTTAAATTAAGGAAAATGTTAAAAAAATCACATTCAAATATTCGATGGACCATTTTCTTTCAGCAACTTGCCTTTACTGCAAATGTTAAAAATCAGTTCTTTCATATATCAGCACTTCATTTGGTGCAAAATAAAATTAAAATACTGATTAAAAGAGTTGATAATTTGTAAATTTTCAAACTTGAAAAATATCATCCCAAAAACTTATTTCCACTCTTATCCTCCCCAACCAAAAAGGCAGCAAGCAACTCATCCACTACGGGTCTATTCACCACAACGTAGTGCACGGTCTAAGCAATTTGCAACATAAAATGAGAACCGAAGAAGAGGAAGCTAAAAAACTACTAATCCCATAATAACTGAAGTGAAAGTTCAAAACAGATCAGTAACATTGTGAAATGATGGTACTAGTACATAATGTAAAATTCTATAACAAGGCTTGAAACAAACCAATCCATCAAAACGTCCCCAACTCAAACACAAAACATACCGAACTGCCAATTAACATAGCTTACTTCTCAGAGGAATTTGGTCCTCTCTTCTTTCCAAAGCCAACAACTGTAAATACAATAAAACACACTAATCAGAAAACCCTCAAAGAAACAAAAATGGGTTATTTGCTATATGGCATAACATTGAACATCCTCAAGCACTAGGACAAAACACTCCTTGCAGACACATTTCAAGAACCATACATTATTGGAGCAATTTCCATTCATTCCATCTATCATATATCAGTTATTGCACACATTGGACTATAGCAATGTTAAGCTCTCATATCTTCAGAAGCCCATCAGCCAAACATCCAATGCTAGACAGAGACAACTAATGAGAGTGTAGCAATTTTTTACCAATCATTTAGCACTCCAAAAATAAGTACTCATATTTTTTTAAAATGTGCAAAGCAAAAGAATAATTCAAGTCCAAACCAGTGGAATCAAATTTATCTAGTGATTAGCTTGGTGAGGGATCTCCAAGGAGTGACTGTGTGTTATAGGTCTACGATGGAAAAAATACACACACACACACAGAGATCTTAAAACAGTCTTTATGCAGACTACATAAACAACCGTACCAGGGATACACCAAGGATTGTATTCCAAATTGTACACCAAAAGAATGCACAAACGTTTTGATTGTTCACGCTTCACACAGATACAAAATATTAGTACGATAAAAAAAATTCGAATGGCGTTTTGAGCGAGTGTGAACCATCACACTGACCCAAAATGAAAGTGCACATCTATGGTGTACAATTTGAGGTACAACATTTTGGTGAACAAGTAGCTTAATTCCAACATAAATACGTGTATCCATGAATTTCTTCGAGGGGTCATGGTCATGTCCAAACCAAGGCGGAAGACGTTCAAATTAAACCCTAACTTTCTGATCTGATTGCTAACTAAAACGACAACCTGGATATTCATAGGCAACACTTCATAAACCAATTTAACAGGCCAATATAAAGATTTCATAATCTAACTAGAAATTACCAACACCATCGAATTGGTAAACACATCACACTGTCTCTCTCAATCCAGGAAAAGGCAAAGATCTCAACAGGGAAAACCAAATAAAAAACCGAAACTGCGGACAAACAATTACAAAAACTGACCGGCGGTGACGAAGCGGCGATTGTACTGCATACGCTTGTGTGCGCGTCCGCGAGGCTTCTTCTTCTTATCCTGCTTGGCCACCTTGGGCGTTTGCCCTCTCACCTTTCCGGCACGAGCCAGAGATCCGTGAACCTTACCTGGAATTTTACGACGAACCAAATCGAAATTTCAATATCGGAGAAATCAAAATTCAATCCGCTAAAAGGTTGAATAGAAGGAGATGATGATCTCACCCATGACTGATTTCTGCGGTGGCCGGAGAGAACCGGAGAAGGAACAGTGCAGCGGTCGCCCTTTCGACTGAGAATCCTACGTAGGGTTAGGGTTGTTTTAGATATGAGCAATAGATAAATGCGGAGTAGATGAAGTTTGGGCTGGAGATTGGGCTTTGTTCTGTAGTGGGCCGAAGGGTAGCACTCATAATTGGGCCGTTTAAATATTAGTCCGCATTACTAGTAGTATTTTGTGATGTCCGTGAACTAATGTAGCCATGTAGGAAGTATTCGAGATTAGTGGTGAGCAAACATGTTACTCCGTAGGATTTTATTTTGAAGAAAAAAAAAGTCACTCAATTTAGATTTTAATAGATTATTTAAAATCAATTAGTTTTATAAAATCTATAAATTATTTTAAATTTATGCAGAATTAGATATATTTTTATATACTAATTTTCTTATCAATTTAGATTTTAATAGATTATTTAAAATCAATTGGTTTTATAAAATCTATGGATTATTTTAAATTTATGCAGAATTAGATATATTGTAATATATCAATTTTCTTTTCTATATAGCGGCCCGTCTAGACGTTCATTCTCAGCGGCTCGTTAATTTTTAGTCCAGTTGTCCGTATGGAGTATGTACACAACGGTCTGTGGCCCGTTTAACATGATTGCTCATCTGAAAGTCCATACTTAGCAGCTAGCACGTGGCCCTTTAGGTGTTGTCACTCAAAAAAAGTCAAGGGAATGAGAGTTCATTTGCAAGTGGTCAACCAGTTGGATTCAAAATGGTCTGATTGTCCACTTGAGGGAGAGTGTTAGAGTGCATCCCACATTGGAAGTCTAAAAGTAAAATAATCGGTATATAAGCTCTTGTAGTTGAACTAAAAAAATCGATTGGATTCAATCTTTTAATGTGGTTCAGCCCAAGTGTCTTATTGTATGTTCAATCCAGTTATCACAATCCAGTTATCACTACCCCATCTTAAATTCTATCACAGTTTCATAAATCTTTTGATGTAATTTTTGAATACGAAGCATTAATTTTTATTTTCAAAATTCCATACTCATTTTCAAATAAGTTGATGAGTTGAAAATAATCTTAATCAAAAAAGATGGTGTGATTATTAGTGATGTTAATTATTCCAATAATAATAATATTCCATGGAATGGGAGTTTGTTAGGTTGAGGAGGGAATGAGTGACGGAGGGTGGAGTAAAGATTGTAACCAACCGCGGGGGGAGCGGGGCCCGGCTGACAAAACTAGCATGCATTCATGGACGACATTTTCCTCTCTCAAGTCTTTCAATAAGCTGAGAGTACTCTCATATATCTTCACACTACCTGCATGCACGATGCACTTGCTTTGCTTTTGACACCAGCAGCCACACCATCCATCCCCTCATTTGATGCCCTCACTCTGAGATTTGAATACATCCTTCACAAAACGCGTGTGTTTCCCTATATTTGTCCATCCATGCATATTACCATTTAGGAATTTACCCCACTCCCCATCTCTTGAACTATTAAACACTATCAACTGGTCCAAAGAGAAGATGTCAAGTTTGTTGATCTTAAGGTCGAATCCCAGCAACGACAGTGTAGGTGGTTCTATTATTTGTAAAAGCTCCTTGTGCGCACCAGACACAGAGCGCCCTCTCTAAAGACCAGAGTGAGATTATAGCATAATCTACGTCCTTCAGTGTCTTGTCGGACCGAGGTGTGGGAGCGCCTAGGGTGGGTGTTCCACCTTTTATTTTATTAAACGATTACAATGACACGAGTGAATGAATAGATAAATACAGCACGGTACGTGAACAAGAATCAATTTTGGCAAAAAATTGTGATCAAAATATCAACTAAATTGGATATGGTTAGATTGGAGGAGAATTTTACAGATGTTGTTAACGAGTTTGAGGTATGGAGTACATACTCGTTCAACGATAGTACGGATTACTTAACGGGGTCCAGGGGAACAAAAACCCCTTAATGGCGGGGTCCAAGGGGCGTAATCAGCCCTTTACGTAGTCTAAGGGGCAGAGCCCATGGCTGTGATTGAGCTGTATTTTGGATAATCTTTCTTAGTTTTATAGTGTATATATATGTACGATGCGACACGTAGATTATTAGTAAATATGTATGATGTGATAGACAATATAAAAATTAGCAGAGATAAAATTAATTTTTAATAGAAAGGAGAAAATGATTTTGAAACAGGGAAAAAACAAAAGGAGAAATAACCATTAAGAAGAGAGGGAGTTCATCTTATTTGATTGAAGTTTTTTTGTTATACCCCGAAGTAATTTAATTTAGTAGTGTCTTATACTCCCTCCGTCCCATAAAGTGTTACCCATTTTGACTAAAGTAGAAATTAAGGGAGGGATAATTTTGTGTTGACTTTCCAAAAATATCCTTGATGTGATAAGTAAAAGTAGGATGTGATGTGTAGATTATTAGGAAAAAGGTATGATGTGATAGGTAGGGTTTGAAAAAGTAAGGGGTAAAAATGGTTTTTTAATAGAAATGGGTAGGAGATTGTGGGACACAATTTTTTTTGAAAGGTGTAAATCTTTTTGGGACGGAGGGAGTATATGATTTGTAAATTTATCAAGGATAATTTACCTAAATGGGAGGGACTAAAACATAATGACTTTCTTAATATAGGATCATCTGTTTTTATTTCCCAATGTAGGACCTTTGGGCATTATCAATTAGTCATTATTCAATTAAATGTCCAGCATCACTTAGACATTATTCTTCTCACTAGTCATTATTAAATCCTATGTGAGAATAAAAAAAATTAAGTTCTATATTGGGAAATGACTTATGTTTTATTTCACATTTATCAATTCTTCTTCACGTTCGTATGCATACCTACCATTCGTTCTAATGCGCCTACGCAATGTTATTTTTCTTCGAGTCCTAATTTCTCCCACCATTACTAATCGTATTTTAGTACTCGCATGTCCAAATTAAAATTTTCATCTTTAGATTTATTTGCATTTCTCTCATCAATGATCATGGTCCAACATTTGCATTTCCAGATAGTTAAAAAATGTGGCCACGTTGGCATTTCTCATAAGTTTGAAAATGTCTCCCTGTCCAAAATAAATAAAACCGCGTAGTACTTTTTTTAGTCCATCCCAAAACAAAGAATCATTTCTTTTTTTGGCAATAGGGTGTTTCGTGTAAAATCCCATAAAATTTATTTTTGAGCAACTGAATATTTTAAATATTATTTTTGAGTATAACATACTGAATTTTAGAAATTAGTTGTCTAAAAATAAGTATTCATTTGCTCGAAAATGATTATTTAATCACTCGTATATGAGTACTCGCCACGTACGGATGCACAAAAAAATATCGTACAACCGATTGTACGGGATACAAATTGCGGTAAATTAAAGATACTAGTATGTGGCTAAATGGCTAATGCCTTTTTTTTTCTCTTTTAAATTTTGAGATGTTCCAGCCACATCTTTTATTAACTAATTTTTGTTCATTTCATCTCAATTTGTGCAGTGCAATCTCAAAATAATTCTTTTCCGTTTCTATTAGAAGCACTGTATTTAACATTTTTTTTTCATCTCAAATTTCATTTTTTTAAAGTCAAATTGATAACATGACGTTTGAAGGTTTTGTACCCTGCTGGGATGTTTCTAATAACTTTTCCATATTTTAACTTTTTACAAATTTTTCTTAAAATTTATGGTTAAATTGGACTTTTAATTTAAAACGGAGAATGCAAGTATAAAATGAATGACAATTAAAGCCAATGAATAATTTAAAGGAATAATGAGAACAATTTTGTTTTAAATGCATCAGAAATATACTAACCCAATATTCAAATGACGGAATAAAAAAAATAATATATAAGTATATAGATGTAGATATATATAAGAATTTATGTACACAAGTCCATTGACCATATGCTATAATAAAAGTCCAAAACCCACCACAATTCCTAGTAAAAATAATTAATGCTAATTAATTAATTACGGAGTAATTAATAATTATCCTACACATATTAATCTACCACAATTAATATTAATTATCTTGGTGGAATCAATATCCAAAGCCTTTGGATGATGGGGGATTAGTGGAGCAATTAGCAGCAGCAGCTCCAAATTTCTCATGCTGGTAATCAAACCCATAATTATTCATAATATGATCCATGAGAAAAAGCTCATCTTCCTCAATTCCCCCATTATTAATGCCCACCCAGCAGCTGTTGTCATAAGAGAATAATGGTATTTCTTGGCTACTTAAAGATGTTGTGAAATTTGCATTGTTTTTTGTACAGTTTTCTTCAACCTCTTCAATGTTCGGGCCCGGGAATTGCGACCCGACCGCTACTTCTGGGACGGAGCTGGGCTCCGTCCCGTAATAGTTCGTCGGATCGAAACCCATCGGAACCGTTCTGGTGAATGGGTTGGAGCTGGCGGTGGCGGCGGTGGCGGGGGTCGTGGCGGTGGCAGCCGCCGCCAGGAGTTTCTTCTTCAGCTTTGTGTTCCAATAGTTCTTCACATCATTGTCTGTTCTACCTGGAAGATGTGATGCTATGACAGACCACCTGGTACATAGTACACACACATTAAGTGTGAAATTCATTATTTCAATGAAGTGTTTTACTTATTTCAAAATTGTATACTCCGTATTTAATTTCTCGTCCCAAAAAATTCAATTTGTATTTTTGGATAACTCATAAAATATTTCACTTTCTTTAATAATGGACTGGTGAATCTATCACAAGATTCCTATCTTATATAAACATATTCTAATTATTTCCTTCTTTTTAAAAAATATTTCTTCAATTTTGCAAAAAGCGAACATGTTGAATTTTTTTGGAAGGAGAGAGTAATATTTTTGTTTTGATAAACGTAACATTGATAATAATGTAAATCCCTATCTAAATGAATTTTGCATTTTACTATTATGATTAAAGTTATTTTTATTTGAAAAAAAAAACATTTTTATTAGTGTAAATATAAGACATTAAAAAAATTACAAAAAAATCATATATAAATAATACAAGTAATGGACTTGACTATACAGTATTTTATCTTCCCTTCGTGATGAGTAGTAAAAATGAAGTTGAGTTATTATTTAGTTACTCAATGCCGATAATATGGCACCGTTTCGTATCAATGTTAAAGATTTCTGTTAGTGTTTTGAAAAGATTATCTGACAGTAACTTTTGGCGTTAGCATTTTAAGAATTAATCTGATCTATACCATTAAATTTTTTTCTAAAATGTTAACACTAATTAAAAATGTTGTTCCCAAAGAAAGCGTAAGAACTACTCAATTTCGTGAAAAAAATAAAATAAAATTTGGGAAAAGCCAATGAGATGACAGCTCAGATAGCCTTGTGGGATGGATGGAATAACTTTGCTAAGGTCAAACCTAACTAATCGCCACAAAAAGCTTTGACCCTCCCTTTCAAATTAATGTTTTCAATTTTTTTTTGGTGAGAAAGTTTAAGGAAAAATGAATTTTTTTTTTGGTTAGAAAGTTTAAGAAAAAATGAAATTAAAACAAAAAATTGAAATTTAAAAAAAATTAATTAACACCTGCTTCCTATGTTGTTGTAGAGGGAGAGGATGACCCGATCTTCTTCCTCAGTAAAACCGCCGTGTCGGATGTCGGGTCTTAGGTAATTCAGCCACCTCAGCCGACAACTCTTCCCGCAACGTTTTAGACCTGGAGTCACCAGAAATATAATCAAACCCCATGAGATCACCGTTTTGAGCCAAAACTCAAACTTTCTTTTAAACAGAAGACGCTAGTTGCACCGTCTCATGATAACCAAATTAAAACCCCAAAATGTTGTTTGATTAGCTCATCGTCATCGTATAATATGAACTAATTAAACAACATTTATATGAAATTAAGAAGAAGAAGAAGAAGAAGAAAAGAAAGAAGGTGAATAAGAAGAAGACCAGCTTTTTGGGGCAAGGAAATCCAGTTGCCACCAGTCCCATATTTGTGAACATAGGCCTTGAGAGTGGTGTCTTCATCAGGTGACCATGGCCCTCTCTTCACTTTTGTTTTGTCACAACATGGTGCTCTTCCCATGGCTGCCCTTGCCTGGCTGGCTAGCTGATGATACCTTATAGAGATATATAGAGAGAGAGAAGAGAGAGAGAGAGAACTTGCTTTGTCCTATATATTGTTACTTTCAACTTGTGAGAATCTCAACCCAATAATATATGGGCTCTAGCTAGCTAGTGTGTGTGTGTGCGCGTGTGTGTGTGTGGGGATTTAAAGAGGGAGAGATGAAAGCTATATGGAGGAGAGAGAGGGCTTGCCGGACCACGACGTCCAAAAATTATCTTCCCGTTGCGGGTTATGATGTTTAACTGTATTTATTTTCAAATCGTTTTATATGAAAAATAGTATGAATTTAAAAAATAAAAATTATATATTAAAAAAATATTTCAAAAGATTTTCAAAACTAAAGGTTACATGACTCTATTATTTTATCAAAATGAGTAAAGAAAATAGGTCAATAGAGTGAATAAAGTTTGACCATGTGAATAGTAAATAGAAAGATAAATTTTTGGATGGAGAATGTAGTAAACGCGTTTCTTTTTTGAAGTTCTCAAAAAAATGCTTCGAGTACTAGTTTTTTTGTAAGGAACATATGACTTGAGAAAAAAAGTTTATCTTTTAATTTAAACAAATTTTATCATATATTCTTATCATTTAAACAAGTTTCCCACAAAATATATTCTGTTTTGACACTGTAGAAGTTTGACCAAGGTGAAACGACGATAATTAAAACAATCCAATAGATTTAATTTGGGGAATGTCAAAATGATATATATGGCGTATAAAGTAATTAAAGTAAATTCGGTTATTAGATTTAAGAAAAGTAGTGTAGTTGTGTCCACATAATCCAAATAGAAATATTTTATGCGAAAAATAAGATGTGAAAGTTGAAAATTTTTATGTGATAAAGATGAGTAAAACAAAGTGGGCTAAGGGAATATCTTCTTTTTTTAAAAAAATAATGATAGAGTGTCAAAAAATTAATTCAACCAAGCTTAAGTTTATAATTTTAAGTTAAAGAAGACTTTTATACCCTAACATATAAAATGCGGTGTATATGCCAGATTTGTTTTTCATATATTAATACAACATTATTTTTTTCGGTCTATATTAATGCAAGTGACATTGGAATAGAAAAAAAGAATTAACTACATTAAGTACTAAAAAAAGGATTAAAAAAATACTTCATATCTTTAATCACAGATTTTAGTAGTAATGAATAATGACCTTTTCATCATTTCTTAGGGGGATTAGTAGAAGCTAAACCTCTATGAGGGTTTGACTTTAGTTCAACATTTTGGGTTTTAAAATTACGCTTTGATAATAATGATAGAGTTATTTCGGTATTTCCACACCAAAGAAAGCAAGAAAATGAATAATAAGAGTGCCAAATTTAGTGTCTTAAATTTGAATAACCGAAAAAGCAAGATAAATAATTTTTCACCAATGAACCTACGTGACTGTATTTATTAGTCATAAAATTTGAATTTAAATAAAGTTAAAGAAATTATGTCATGGTGAAGCATAATTGTTAGTTTATTTCATTAACAAAATAAAATATTGGCCTACATATATATGACCACACCTAGCTAAGAGGCTAAAACTAGAGTGAAGTACTTGCAATAATATTGACATAGATGAGGGTGGGAGGCAATTAAAGTGAGATTGACTTTGTCCAACCAAATGACATTTTCTTCCCATCCAATTAAAATGTTTAAATACTTTTTCAAAATGTCTTTATCCACTCGTTTAGGGCAAAAGGATAACTCAGTCAATGGGGAGAGTACTGTAATGTCAACATGCCCCCATTGTGCTATCAACTCTATGGACCACCCCAACCCTTTTGGTCATGTAAACATCTCATGCCTATCTTTCAAACGTAATGGTACTTCACTACTTCCCTAGCATATACTCTCCTCATTTCTAAATTAATTATATTTCACGCGCAAAATAAAATAACATTTTGAGTTTTTTATTTTTGCGTTAGTCATTTGATGAAATAATAGAGTCATGTCACCACTAATTTTTTGGGTCTATTAATCTAGTTTTTAAATATGTAATTCTTATTTTTCAAGCCTATACCGTTTTTCATATAAAATAATTTAAAATTAACTTAAGGCAAACATTGTAAAGCGGAACATGCAATTTAAATTGGGACAGAGGGAGTGTCATCATAACAAAATGAAAACTAGTTAAGATGCATGTGCCATTTTTGTACCTAACTAAATGCAACTATGCATATGACGAACTTATCGTTCTGCTTCCGTGATCATAAGATCCATATGTGAAATATATGGGACCTTCTCGCACTTTTTATAGGTCAAAATGGAGAATTTTTTTTGCAAATAACCCAATTCCTTTGTATAATTTCAGAATTAGATGTTGGAAGAAACTATAAAAAGTTAGAAGATGTTAGAAAATGTTGGAAGAATTTAAGTGTTAAAAGGTCACTCAATTATATGATCATTCAAATAAATATGTAAAAAAAGTCATCATTACTCCGTATTTTTTTGAGGTGATAATGAGAGTGGTTCACTCAGGAANCCCCCCAAAAAAAAGTTTGCTCTAAAGTTTGGGCTGGGCATACTCGAAAGACAGCAAGTTTTAGTCGGCCCAAAAATTTGTAAAATGAGTTAACTGGGTATACTCTTGTACACAAACGTAGTTAGATGATACAAATATCTAACTTTAATAAGTACTCTGGGCCTAGCCCAATAAAAGTCCATCTTGCCTCTCTGCCCACCTTACATACTGGACTTTCATAAATTCATCATTTGACTTACGGAAGACCATATATAACTAGAAAGATTATCAATTCAATTTTTTAAAAATTGGATGCATAATTTATAAATTAAATAAAACTTGATATTTATTTTGTCAACTTTCAATAAGAATGTTTGTCTATCTCTCATGAGCTAAGTTTAACTATTGATTCAACCCAAACTTTCAAGTCTCCTCTCAACACCTCCAGGCTTGATCCTTATAGGATTAGAAGACCCGAGTATTGTCTCATCCCAACCCATTCTATCTCACATCAATTGGGCTTGATCTTATAAGGTTATCAACCATAACTTAGGTTTCAGCCTATATGTTAAGTCCAAACCCCATCTTATAGTATTAATTGATGGGCTATATTTCTATAAAGGAATAGCTTTTAATTTATGAAATATAAGAAAAGTATTTAAAAACAAAATATATACACAATAATAACAATAACAATTAACAACGTAACTGCCACAATAAGAATTCAAATATGTGGCATTATTCAATAATATACCCATCATAATAAGATGTTTTTGGTTATTAAGAACAACCTTAAAATTAAGGTAAAATAGAGGGGACAACCCAGTCCTAATCTAGTCTTATCCAGCAAGCCAAAAACTAAACCCATTTCCATATTTTCTGCTGACTATTTACAGTAATAAGAAAAATAATAGTACTCCGTAATAAAATTATTAATAATAATCCGTATGTTTTTCTACAAGAAATAATGCCCTTCTTCAGCCAACAAGATCCGAAACCCATCCCACGTCCGGGTGTGGAGTATTCGGGTCCGAATACGGGTCACCCACTCCCAGCGGATTTTCCTCGCTTATTCTCTGAAACATCCTCGTCCTCAAGTTCCTCCCCGATTCCACCCTCTCCATCGGAATCTCTCCATCCCCTTCCAGAAAGCTCTTGTCCCACACCCCGGTTCGGGTCGTACCCCGGGTCGGCGTCGAAGGCAAGCTGTATAAACCGGACCGGTTCACGGGCATGGATTTCACCCTTGTGAGCTGCAGCCGACGCAGGGAGGCGGCCATCGGGGACGCCGGCGGCGAGTCCGACTCCGGGGAGGAGACCCTCAGCTGCTCCGGCGAGTGCGCGAAGAAACAGACCCGCCGCCCGCAGCTCGGCCCGTCTTTGCACGGCTGCGTACGGTACCGCGCCGGGTGGAGCCACGACTCAAACACCCCGTGCGCGAACCCACAGGCGTCCGCTTTCGGGCAGGGGGCGGCGGAGTAGCGGTGGACCCGCGGGTCCCGCCGGCGGGCCTTTTCGCCCGGGTGGGCGAATGGGCAGTCGGTCCAGTCGTGCGACTTGCTACGGGCGCAGGGCTGGACCTTGAAGTCGTACATCCGGAAGTGGTCGCAGGAAGAGTAAGTGTCCGTTACTCGGCCGTCAATCGCGGCGGGGTCGCTTCTAGTGTTGGACGGCAGGTAACGGAGGAGAGCATCCAAAGCGGCGTCGTTAGGGAGGAAGGACATGAGGGAGAAATCGTCGCCGGAGACGGAATATTCTTTGGGCCGGACGGGAAATTGCATATTGGACGGTTGATGAACGGCGTATTGTCGCTCTGCGATCATCATCTTTACTAGGCGGTGATGTATTAGAATGAGAGTCTCAGGGCTTCTAGGCGGTTCCGTATTATATACGGAGAACATAGAACCACTAACCGACTTTGAGTAATACTCCGTAAAACAATATTGTTAGCCCAATTTTTTTGATTTAACTTTTTTGGAGTATTTTTTGAAAATAGTCCATTTAATTTACTTTCTCTATCCCATAAAATCTTTCATGTTTCAAACAAATCATGTTTCTAAAAGTCTTTCTTATTTCTATTAAAAAACCATTTTTACCCCTTACTTTTTTATATCCTACATATCACATCATGTCTTTTTCCTAATAATCTGCACATTATATCTTACTTTTATCCATCACATTAAGGTTATTTATGGAAACTCAACAAAAAATTATCCCTCCTTATTTTACCACTTTAGTCAATCTGTCTCTATCTTTATGGGACGGATGAAGTGTATACGAGGGAGGAATAAGTTTTCTTTTTGTAATAATAAATAAAGGGGCTGTTCCACTGACATGAACCTCGTGTCATCCTATGACATGGGCCCCGATTAGGGCATGTACGATGCTCGTCTCGTTTTAGTCTCTGTAAGTGCACTCACAAATCAAATTGATCCCTGTAAGTTTGATCTAGTCAAATTAACCCATGTAACTAGGAAATGTGAATCAAATTAGTCCTTATGCAAAATTTATATTCTAGAATTAAAAATTAACATGTTAGTTGATACGGAGTACAAAAACTAATAGACATGATCATTACTCTTGCGTCAATTAACGTAATAACTCATAATTTTAGGAAATAAATTATGTTCGAAGGACTAACTTAATTCACTTTTTTATATATAAGATTAATTTGAATCAAATGAATTTACAGGAATTAAATCGAGTCATGAGTAAAATTAGTGCAAATAACGCAGTAAATAAAGCACGAAAAAGCATAGTGCTTGTTGTCTCTCAAATTCACATCAACATTCTCCAACATCTTCAATATCTGCCCTTACATTGACAACATGGCCATATGGAAATTTCACTTTCACTTTTCAAGTTTCACCTTGGCATTTTTTTTCTTTTCAAAAAGTCTCCTTGGATCTTGTCGGCATCCACCAATACACTGTAATTTTCCAGCATTTTACCCCTTTATATTACACCTAAGAAAAAAACGAAAACCCCAACCCATATGTGGAGCACATTAGATTAGATTTAAAAGTCTAAAGATGTTTTCCATGTGTAATGTGTTTCATTGGTTCCTCTTTCCCCACCCGTCTTAAATATGGAGTAATATACTCATCACATTTTTATTCTAAGAAAAAGGATGGCCCCAATCCCGAGAGCCCATCAGACACGGCCGAACGGTCACTGAGAGAAGATAAATTGCACTTTAATCGCAAATTAGTGGCAAAGAATAGAGCTTGCACCTAATACTTGCAGGAACTCTATGCTTAGCATAGTTGCATCTCAGCGCAGTTGCCAGTAACATTTTTTTATTCCAAAGATTAAAGAAGTCGTGTATATAATCATGATGACAATTTGATTTTTCATAATACTCTCTCTGTCCCAAAATGTTTGACACATTTCCATTTTCAATCATCACAAAAACTTTTATTTATTTGTACAGTTTTATTAAATATTTGATAAAATAAAATATTTTTGATATCTCTTAATTCGATGAACTTTTCATGTAGTTTTTAAATATGTAACTTTTATTTTTTTATTCCTATACCAATATTTAAATAAAATGAATTCAAAATTTTTTATATTTTGCCTCATTTTTTGGAATGTGGTAAACATTTAGGGACGGACGGAGTATGTAATATTGTACCATAAAAATCACTCTTTTTATTGGTCTAAAAAAGTGATTTATTTCTTATGGTTGAATAAATTTTTGGTTCATATTATTTCTTATTTTTCTATATCACTTTCAACCATATATAATACATAGTATAAATTTATTTTTCTTATTAATTACCATGTTGATTAAACATGGAGCTTTTTTGTAGGATAAGGGGAGTAAGATAAGATTATTTTAGTGTTGATTACATCGCTTTCAACTATACAAATTCTATTTGTAATAACACTTCCATAACCAATGCTTTATGAATTCTATGTGTTTGAATTCTATGTGGAAAAAAGAGTTTTTTACGTCATTTACCCTTGAACGTTTTAAGAATTGCACAAATTCACCCCATTAAAGTTTAAAATTTGTACCAATGTCATCTGAACTTTTAAAGATGTTGCACCAACGGTCTCTCTATGCTAGATTTGAGAGTGTGTTGATCACACGCTCATCAATATACGTGTTAGAGCTTGATGAAGATGTCATGGATTGATGAAGAGGTTGATCGATTTATGAGGAACTTTATCGACTGATGTTCGGCCTTCAAACTTGGTTTTTTTTGAACAAAATGCACCTTCTTCATTCAATACTTCAAACTGTTTTACAATACGAAATACACTAACAATTTCAACATGACATTCAATTTAGGGTACTACCCTTAATGAACAAACTTATTAGGTCCCCCTCCTTTTTGTCCAGTATGTTGTTGTGGTGAATTGTACCCATTTCATTAACTCCTCCAATTGTGGCTCTTTCTTAAGATGAAACATCTTGTTCCTGGCCCTCCAAATGGCATAGCATACTGCCGCATAGGCACTTATGATTTGCCTCCTCCTTCTCCCTTTAATTCTCATTAAAGATTGCCTAATCTCCTGTACCTCTTTGCCCTCTATTTTCCACTCCAACCAGTTTGAAACTCTAGCAAGAAGTTCTTTTGTTATGTTACACTTACTGAATAAATGGTCTTGGTCTTCTTCAGCTGCACCACATAATTCACATATGTTAATTATATCCATGAATTTAGCTAGTCTTGCCTTGGTTGTAACACCCCGGCCCCCACCCTGGCCGTAAGTGCTTGATCATAGGATTGTAGACTGGCCCCACAAACCAACACACGTCTTTCCCGCGCCCTTTGTCCTCACTCGTGCGCGCCTAAGGAATTTCCCAGGGGGTCACCCATAAGCACGCTTAACCTTGGAGTTTCTAGGTGATGAGCTCTCGAAAAGAAGATGCACCTTGTTGGTATGAGTAGTACTATCAATCCTTTTGAGCTCTTCCCATTCCCATCTTGATACGGGGTATTACATTCACCCCCACTTAGGAATGCAACGTCCTCGTTGCATCCTTTTTTTGAACCCATAGATCTTCCCTGCTAGGTGAACTAAGCTCTTTTGGCCCGTCACGGTCGCAGGGTTGATCTGATACCATTTGTAACACCCCGGCCCCACCCTGGCCGTAAGTGTTTGCTCATAGGATTGTAGACTGGCCCCACAAACCAACACACGTCTTTCCCGCGCACTTTGTCCTCACTCGTGCGCGCCCAAGGAATTTCCTAGGGGGTCACCCATCCTACAATTGCTCCAGGTTAAGCACGCTTAACCTTGGAGTTTCTAGGTGATGAGCTCTCGAAAAGAAGATGCACCTTGTTGGTATGAGTAGTACTATCAATCCTTTTGAGCTCTTCTCATTCCCATCTTGATACGGGGTATTACATTGGTACTAACTCTCTCTTTACTAATGAGCCATTGGAGGAATTGGTGTTTGGGTTATCAATGACTAAATCGAGAATAATTATCTAGAGTTTAAAGAGGTTAAAAATATAGAAAATAATTTTTGAAAATAATATATTGCAGAACTCACATGTGATATATGACTTTAGATAAACCCATGCTTGCATTAGATGAGCGTGTGATTAACGCACTCCAAAATCCGGCACAGAGGGACCGTGAGTGCAACATTTTTAAAAGTTCAGGGGACATTTGTGTATTTTTAAAGCTCAGGGAGAACTTGTGCAATTTTTAAAAAGTTTACGGGTACTTAGCGCAAAAAACTCATGTAAAAAATATTTGGACCCAAAGAGCTAATCATGAAATAGTTCTCAAATATAGATGATCAAAACATACTTCTTCCATTAACCAAAATTCTTTCTCTTTCATTCTTTTTCTTTTTCACTAAAACACTTCTACTTTCTATTAAAAAACTAATTTTACTCTTACTTTTTCTCACTCTACTTGTCACATCATACTTTTTATTGATAATTTACCATCACATCAAGAGCAAAATTGGAAAGTCATCTACAAATATGCACTCCTTATTCCTTTTATTAATCAAAATAGGTACTATTTTGATAAAGGGAGAGAATATTATCTTAGAATTAAGAATTATAAATGAACATGCAACACCATTTATCATTTTTAGACTTGCATGCTCTTCATTTAATTTTTTTAAGGTAAAGAAAAGATGATATTGAGTCATCAAATAAAAGAGTGTACAGAGTCCAAAATGGATAGCAATCCTAGTTATCAGGATGCATGACTCCGTGCGCGCTAAAGAGTGAGCAATACAGTTAAAAGACCAGCGAACAAAATAGATAGCAAGGAAATCAAAAGTAGCCAAAAATGTGGAACACTCTTCGATCACAACACTAATAGTGACATACTAGAAGCAAGAAGACCCTTTTATATAGTTTGAACAACACACGAACAATTTGAAAAGAGCACCACCTCATGAGTCCCATGAGCAAGCCTCTAGCCAAGACAACATCAATTCACATTCCAAGACCAACAAAGGAGGGTCTAGCATACATGCCATCTCTAGGAAGTTGGGGGTTGAAGACGACGTCTCTAACGTTGTAGCACCCTGCATCCAACACTCATTGATACATAGAGCAACTAAATTGAAGCATAGTCCTCACAAGAGCACTGGAAATGGTCATGAAGCCTTGGGCTCCAAACTCGGGCTTCAAATTTTTTTTCTATGTCACATTTGCTTTAACCCACCTTTAAATTACATCACAGTTTCACAGTTTCACTAGAAATGAGTTTGAAAGTCCAGAGCTTTAAGATATGGCTTCAAACATTTATTTTTTAAAATTTTTAATACACATTTGTAAAATTAAATTAATAAGATTTCATTAATTAATTAAATTTAAACGACAATAATTCATTAAATAAAAAATTACATTCAATAATAAAGAACATTAAATTAAAAATTACAATAATAAAAAAACCTAAGGTAAATTATATTTAGCCTTGATCTCGTTTTGTCTTCTTTTGTAATACAAATGTTTGAAGTTCGTTAATGTATCAAGGTCGATTTCCATTATTTTAAAAAAGGTCAAACATTCACATTAATAATATTATTTTTACCAAATTGGTATTAACTTACTATTATTATAAAAAAATAAATGTCAAACATTCACATTAATAATATTATGTTTACCAAATTGGTATTAACTTACTATTAAATTTATATTTTTATTTCACAAGTGAGAGTAAAAATAAAGTTGAAATTATTAGTTTTACAAGTCTTTGATAATCTTTATAACTTTACAAAAAAAATTGTATACCTCAACATTTTTCAAAATATTCTAATTTAAATAAGACTTTGAAATGTTAATTTTTAATTGTATTTAGTAGAATTTTCATTAACGAATTCTATATATTTTATGTCACAAATTATATCGTACATCCGGTTGTACCTATTTTTCGGTACAAGCGGCTAATTGAAGAAGGAATGAGATGGAAAGGAAGCCGCCGAAATTACTGCCGCTCCTCTATTTGCCGGGTCGGACCACTGGAGAAGAAAGACGGAAGGTGGCGGCGGTGATGACGAGGAGCAGCGAAGACGGAAGACGATGGAGCAACGAAGATGACGAAGAGCGATGGTGGCGAAAATCCGGAGAAAACGAAGGAGAAGGTAGATCTGCGTGGAAGGTGGCGGCTGCGTTACAGCGGGTCGGGTCGCGTAGATCGAAAGAAAGCCGTTGTAGATGGGGGGAGAGGCGATGATGAAACCCTATTTGCAGAGAAAAAGGTTATTTATGGTATGTGTTTTGTTTTATTTTAGAATGAGCATTAATTTATTTGAGAATGAGTACTATTTTTATTTGGTATGAATACTACGTTATTTGTAGATAAATATTATAACTGATGGTGTAAATATAGATGGGTGGGTTGACCGGGTTTGACCTTGACACTCGACCCGTAATATAAAACACACAACAAGAACACAAAGTATGACCTAGACCGGGTAAATCTCCTCAGTCCGAAATATATTTCTTACTCTGTCTCAAGAGTGTACTAGTTTTTAGTGATAGAAAGAATGAATCCCCTCCTCTATCAAATATCATCATATTTATAGAGGAGGATTTGTGACCTTCCCCTGTTCATCCATGGACAAAATATGAAGCTCGTGGGAAGGTCACTGTAGATAATGGAAGCACTGTACAATCATGGACTTGTTACTAATACAACCAAAAAGCACCGTTCAATCAAAGACTAAAATGGATATTCTCAATCCAATCAACCCTGCAAAATGACAAACATCCCTTTCACTGTGTGCCTCGTGATGGATGAGCAGCGGGGTGTCCCATCGACCTCTGACGTGGTTCACCATGCCTAAGAGACTGGACCAATGTTAGCCAAGTAAAGTGATATGACCGGTCACCTTCTCTCAAAGGTTACCCGGTCATTTCTTGCGCTCAACCCGTCTTTTTGGTCTTCCGGAATATCCTTCGTAGCATAAGGTGATATTTTGGCTATCGCCCAAAATGTGACCAGTCACTTTTTTAGTGGAAGTGACCGGTCAACTTTTGACCCGTCTCAATCGAAGAGTTAACCTCATTTGGTGATTGATAAAAGTGACCGGTCATACTTTGACATGTCCCTTTCGCTTGTCCGGGTCGGGTATAGGGATATACCCATCAATAACTGTATTGAATAAATGTGTGAAAATGGGCACTACATTATTTTAGATTGAGTACCACATTTTCAAAATGAATACTTATGTTTGTGCGAGAATGAGTACTACTTTGCTTCACAATGAGTACAACCCAGATGTACATATCTCTATGTATATCCGGTTGTACCATATACCTTCTCATTTTATGTTGTTTGATATTTGAAAAATTTTGTAAAAATAACACAAACAAAAAAAATTGTTCCGCCAAAATATACTCCGTACTTATCTGAAAGCCTCTGCTCCCTTATTTCGACTCAGCCTCAGCGCAAAAGTCCACAAATCTGCGACGATTATATTGGAGAAATCTAACCCCAGTTCGCCACCGCCGACGTTCACCGCCCGCCGACCGCAGGTTCTTTATTATTTAATAATTTCTCTTCGTCATACTACTTATTCTACGGAGTATAATTTTTAAATTGTGATTGTTGGATTTGGAGACGTCGCCAGATAAATCAGAAGGAATCGGGGTCGGAAAGGGAGATGTCGAAAACGCTGCTTCAGCCGGTAGGGCAAAAGCGGCTGACGAACGTCGCCGTCGTTCGTCTCAAAAAGCACGGAAATCGCTTCGAAATCGCATGCTACAAGAACAAGGTCCTCTCATGGCGATCTGGCGTGTGAGTCTTCGTTTTATTTCTTTCATCAACATCTCCCTACATTTGTGCATACGGCTGAGCTGTGAATTGCGATGAATTTGATTTATGTATCATTTTCGAACAGGGAGAAGGATGTGGATGAAGTTTTGCAATCTCATACTGTATATTCCAATGTCTCCAAGGGAGTTCTAGCCAAGTCCAAGGATCTGATTTCGGCTTTTGGGACAGATGATCCCGAGAAAGTTTGTATGGAGGTCAGGAGGCAGTTTTATCATTTTTTGGACAACTTGGTCTAAGGTTGAAATATTTCAGGGGAGTCTATGGATTATGTTGAGATTTGTTAATACAGAGTATTTGCTATTCTTCTCATTGGTTTGAGCTGAAATGTAACCTCCATATTACTAGAACCAGTATACTTCTAAAAGTCATATTGATTTAGTTTGATTCACTAACTAGAGGTAAATGGCTAACCTATGCATCATTAAGGTGCTTTGCTCAGATAACTCAAACCTGATTGCAAAATATTGCACAACTTGCGATTTCGAATTGATGTACTGTGAGTTTTTTTTGGAACAGTGGTGAATTTAGCCTAATAAGGACTGCTAGCTCTTCTGTCTAAGTACCCCGTGGTTTGTTTGTGGGATAAGGTGTTTGAGATATAAAACAGTATTTGAAGGCATTCATACTTGTGAAATTTGCACTAAATAGGACTAAAACATAATGACTTTCCTAATGTAGGACTTAAACTTTTTTATTCCTTGAATAGGACTTAATAATGACCTTGTGAGAGGAATAATGTCCAGTAATGATGGACATTTACTTGAATAATGACTACTTGATAATGACCAAAAGTCCTACATTGAGAAAATAAAAACATATGGTCCTATATTGGGAAAGTCATTATGTTTTAGTCCTATTTAGGTAAATTACTCTTCATACTTTCATAGAATGAATGGAGCTTTTTGTGTTGAACTTTCAGATTTTGGAAAAAGGAGAGCTACAAGTTGCTGGGAAGGAGAGAGATTCACAACTTTCAAGTCAATTCAAGGATATTGCCACAATAGTCATGCAGAAGACAATCAACCCTGAAACGAAGTATCCGTATACAATAAGCATGATTGAACGCCTGATGCATGAAATCCATTTTGCTGTTGACCCACATAGTAGCTCTAAAAAACAGGTTAGAATAAATTCAGGGCATCTTGTTTTCCTTTATTACACATCTGCATTCTGAGTGAGGTTTAGTTTATAAATTTTCCTTCTTCAGTGTCCATTATATTAATTTGCAACTCTTGTTTTAATTGAGTGCTATAAATCTCATGTCAGAATGATGTCTGTTTTTAGATTCTCTTTTATCTATCTCTAGGGTTTCCTCCCATTTGCTGTAGACTGCTTTTTAATTACTTTTTCACTTTTTATATCTTTACATTTACCAAGAAGATGAAACTGACTTTGCTAGAAATTGTTGGACTCTAATGATCACAGGCACTGGATGTCATCCACGAGCTTCAAAAGCATTATCCTATTAAACGGGCTCCGATGAGGTTACGACTGACCATACCTGTACACCATAGCACTTCCATATCGGATAAGCTTAAGGATTGGAATGTTGGTGTTATTTCAAGAGAGGAAGCTGGAAGTCATCTTTCTATTGTAAGTTTGTAATGCATGTCTTCTTGCACTATATTTTGCATAAAGCCTGCATTACTTGTTCAGAGGTGCTTTGAATTCTTGAGGGACATTTGGGTCAACAACTCTGAGATTACCTCAAATCTTAAGGCGTGAGATTAGTTCTTACTTCTTAAAGATTACCTTGTGCACATTATTAGGAATATGCATACTCTGTGATTGGCTACAATTGTATGTATGTCATATTAGTGGCAAGTTCCAAAAGTTGTCACAAAAACGATAATTAAAAATGCTTTAGTTTTAGCGATAAATCTGAATATGGAAAAGAAATGTTATAATATATATGATCCAAGGCTATGAAGGCAATGAGATAAGAATGTATTAAATTCCTGTGTTATGTGGCAATACATAATTTAGCAATGCATCAAAGGTCTATCAAAAATAGCCTTTCTTTGTTTTTTCTCAAGGGGTGGGTTTGTGTACTTCTTGACCCCTAAACCCAAATGGGGTTATAGTCATACTGGGTTTGTGGTTTGTTACTCCGTATTTGGTAATAAAACATTACCATAGTACAACACACTAATTGAACCAAACAAGGTGGTTGTACCCACATTACTTTAATCTTCTTGAGGAATAGGATTACTGATATTTGTCTCTCAACTGGTATTCCATATACTTTGTACTTGACCTCTTATACCATCATATTTAACTTACATGACACAGACAATCTACTCCAGCTGCACATTTGTAACACACTAACCTTTAATATTCTTCAACCTACTCGTATGCTAATTTACCATTGAGTTGCATCACTTGTATGTTAATCGTTGATGCAGCTATGTGAGATTGAACCACACTTTTTTCGGGATTGCGATGCCTTGGTAAGGAATTATCAAGGGAGATTGGAAATCGTTGCAACTAATATACATGTGGAAGGCAACACATTTGTTGATCATTTTGATGATCACGAGGATGAACTGTCAAGTCTGAGTGAAAAGATGCAAAAACAGACCATCTCATCTGAAACTGAAAATCCCAAGGGGGAGAGAAAGGTGAACAACCCGGCAAAGAGTGGGAGCTTGGAGGGCGAAACGAAACAAAACAAGTGCAGCACGTGCAATGCAGTAATGGGAGATCCAAAGGAGTACAGGGAACACTTCAAGAGTGAGTGGCACAAGCATAATCTGAGGCGAAAGACCAAGCAACTTCCTCCTCTCACCGCAGAAGAGTGTATGTCTGACGTGGCACTTCATGACTCAAAGGCTGATCTGAAGGAATATTCATTTTGAGGTCGGTCTAAGTTTCTTCATTGGTTGCAAGCATTGCATTAGTAATACTGAATGGTCTGTAATGTTGGTGGGTTTTGTTCATGAAGAAAACTTCTCTTTTCCTTTTTGAACCTGGAATATGCGCTTTTATGTGCAAAACTATTGCCGTAGACTTGTGACAAAGAATGCAAAACTGTTGTCATGATTGAACTCCACACCCTCTGCTTGTGATTGAACTCTAATTTGAAGAGTAGGAAAAAGAAGAGAGGAATAGGATGCCCTAAGAAACAAGGCTTTTCCCAACACTTTTTTATACTGGGTACATTTTAGGGATCCCATTTTACTCAAAGAAGAATCTACAGTCTATAGATGATCAGCTCCAAAGAGGAGAAAATAAAGTTCCTTGCACGCACTATTCAAAAGTTAGATTTGAAATGTCATGTCGTATGAAATCAAACAAGTCAATATTTTTTGTTCCATCGGATGAAGTACAAAAAGATGTTAGATTTTCGTACAATTTTAGAATGATGATCTATGAGTTCGTAACTTTCAATCATACACGAACATATTGACTTGCTCCAACATAGTAATTCTCTTAGTTGGACAGATATTCATGCTTCAATTTGAGGTGGAGTGTTGGAGTATTTTATTGTATATTCCTTTATTAATTTAGTTTCCTTGTATAGGTCTTTTTTCGTAGATAGTTTTGGTAACCCTTGTACTATATATATATGGCTTGATGCATCGATGTTAAGAAACCAATTCAGTCCCAAAATTCTACATCCATGTTTGCTGCTAGTGCCATGGTTTTGCGGTGAACATACTAATTTCGGAACACTCTAAACTTGAATTGCCCGACTAAAATTACCGACGATAATCGTAGAAGAAGTTAACCTTCTCCGAACAACTTGAGATTAATTACGTCTTGTTCAATGACACGCTGACTTATTTTGTTGAAAAAATCAGTACCATCAACGATTCAATCAATGTGATCGCGAAAGTTGCTAACACCAAAGCTGTTGCTGTGAAAGAAGAGTCCACTGCGCCGATGCCAAAGTCAAGGCTACAGTGGATAATGAGGCAAAGAAAAAAATATGACAAGGAAAACGTAAGAGTCCGTGGTCATCTCCTTACCCAGTCATATGAAAATTGCATTGTTCAATCAATTCTTTCCAAACGAATCTTAAAGTCAATTGGGAGACATTGGAGAAGAAGTATGGGGTAGATGATGTTGGAAAGTGCAAATCTGTCACTAAAGAACGGATATGTTTTCAAGTAGTAGATGACAAACCAATCATGGAGCAAGTCCATGAATATGAGCTATTAGAAAGTTGAGTTCAGTTTTGAGAATGTCCAAAATTGAGAAACTGCATAGAGTACATAGTTGCTTACTTGCTCACATTTAAAAAAATAAACATAACATCATAATTGTTCATAATAAAAAGCAAAAGTCCAACGAATCAATTCAACATGTAATTAAAACCTCAAACATTATTTCTAAACTTCAACTATGCATCTTCAAAATTAAATTTGTAAATAAAAAACCGAAGCAATTTAGAGTTTTATACCTTTTAGTTTTATGACTTTTATCTTCAATATCCAAAGCATACTGAGGCAACAAAAGTCCTTCAAAAAAGAGGGACTGTATAATACGTAATCTGTTGCACGCTTTTCGTAGCAAATCACATGAATTTTCGTAGTGCAGTAGTATTTTCAAAGCGTGAAAGCATTATAGTATTGTTTGACATTAATATGACATGGTACCATCCCGTTACCGAATGACATGATACCGAATGAGTTTAGACGAAAAATCAAAACAGTACTAAACCATTTGAATACTAATGGTATGATACGTGTTATTTAAAAAATGAAAAATGCTTGTGATACACCAAAAGTGTAACCAAGTGCTCTCATACCACACTTTTTAGTGTAAAAAGTGAAAAAAATGAATAGAAACGTGTGGTTACGAAATGAATGGTGTACAATTGGGGTAAATGATTTGGTATACTCCTAGCATCTCTCTTTAAAATTGTAGGACTCTGCTTACGTTTAAGTTGAACAGAGTCAAAATCGATAAACCCTGCGATATCGTTCCAAAGACTATTGTACAACTGGCTGTACCAAAACTTGGGTACTACCGACTCCTAGGAACGATGAAGAGCACATGATCTCAAAGGGAAGGCCGAGCGATGTCACGATCTGATCAAAGGAGAGCTAACATCCAATAGATCGAGAGTGTAGCTATGATGAAGAGATGAGAGCGGTAGCAACCAGGCCAAGCAGCATTGACGGTGGTTCCACTGTAGCAGCGACGACTGTGGCAACGGAGACCTAACCCCAGCCGATGGCTCCCCTGTAGTGCGACTCCCTACGAAGGATGGTGGTTTGAGGTAAGAACACTATATTGATTTAGAATGAACACAACAATGTTTCAGAATCAATAATATGTTTTTTGAGAATGAATATTATATTATTTAATAATAAAGATTACGTTGCTTCAGAATAAATATTACTGTATATCGTTTGTAAATAAATACTACCTCTGTCCTAGAGTATTTGTCCACTTTCATTTTTACACACCATCCAATACACTTCTTTAATCCATTTTATCTTGTAATTTGTATATTAAAAAATTATAGAAATTATATATTAATAATCTATATGTTAAGACAAATCAAACAAGATCACATATGACTATATTTAGGCTTACATATTGAGAGAATTTGATGAGTCAAAGTGCCTATATGAACAGTTCCAAAAGTCAAAACTGGACGAATACTCCGGGACAGAAGGAGTATTATAATTGTATTGAAACATACATACTCCTTACTCCCTCCGTCCCCCTGTATTTGTCCACATTTAACTTTTGGAACTGTTCATCTAAGCACTTTGACTCATCAAATTCTCTCAATGTGTAAGCCTAAATATAGTCATGTGTGATCTTGTTTGATTTGTCTTAACATATAGATTATTAATATATAATTTCTATATTTTTATAATATACAAATTACAAGATAAAATGGATTAAAGAAATGCATTGGATGGTGTGTAAAAATGAAAGTGGACAAATACAGGGGGACGGAGGGAGTATTATATTAATGAAAAATAATCTTTTTGCTAGTGTACCTATCTTTAGTAGACCCGGTTACGGTAGACCACATCGTAGGGCCATTTTGCCACGGAGGTGAGGCAACCAACGGAATGAAAAAAAATTGCATCTTTTCGTTATAGGCGAAGAGAGCAAAGGAGCAGTTCGAAAAAAATGAAAGCTCGGCCTACTCTGCGTCACCGCCGAACTCGTCGCTCTTCATCTTCCGTCTTCTTCCCTGATTCTCATCTCCGTTCCTTCCTTCATATGTTTCTAGATCGCATTTTTTTCAGTTTATAGCTTCATAATCGTTGATCGTGAATTTTCCGCTTGTCTGTTTATTTCGTTTGTTTCGAATTCTGATGAGTTTTTCAAATGGCGAACCCGTGGATTCGGATATTAGCTATGCAGCTTTTCGTTATCATTTCATTGATTTTGCGTTCCGCGTTTGGTTCCTTGTCCGATTTTTCGATTATTGATTACCACTCTGACAACTCGGATCTCGTCCGCAGCGATTACTCGCCGCCGGCGCCACCGCCGCCGTCTCCTCTGCCGCATCCTCCTTCGCTCACGTGCGAGTCACTGGATGGAATCGGGTCCATCAACACCACGTGCGAGCTCAATTACAGCTTGAACCTTACAGGGGATGTGTACATTGAGGGGACTGGGAATTTGTTCATTCTCCAAGGAGTGGTTTTGAGTTGCCCTATTTTTGGGTGTTCGATTCAGATTAACATCACTGGAGAGTTTAGTCTGGGATCCAATGCTCATATTATAGCTGGATCAGTGTATATAGTTTCGGGGAACACCACTATGTTGGGCGGTTCAATGATTAATACCACGGCATTGGCAGGTGATCCGCCCGATCATTCCAGGGGGATACCGAAGGATTACGAGGGTGGGGGTGGTGGTCATGGTGGTAGAGGGGCCAGCTGTTTGATGGATAGTAAGAAGCTTCCAGAGGACGTGTGGGGAGGGGATGCATATTCATGGAAGTCAGTAGACAAACCCTTCAGCTTTGGGAGTAAAGGCGGCAGCACAAATAATGATGATGATTTTGGAGGGAAAGGGGGTGGGAGGATACGGTTGGAGTCAAGAGACACTGTAGATGTCCAGGGGTTGCTTTTGGCTGATGGTGGAGATGGTGGGATCAAAGGAGGTGGTGGCTCAGGGGGGAGTATTTTCATCAAGTCCAAGAAAATGTACAGTATTTCCAACCTAACTTATACTTATATTTAGAGGAATGATTTTTCACATGCACCTCAGTATTGCTTTGTCTTGCTTCATTTCTCTCATATTGTTAATGTTTACTTACAATGACTGTATAATCGGTGTGATTGAGAGGCACATAAATTCTAACACTGCTAGACTTCTTTCCTCCCTTGCCGTATGAGATTCAATTTATTATTACACTGTAATTTTCTATTTTTTAATTTCTAGTTTTCTTTCAAACAGAAGAATGAAAAAAAGCTATAAAAATGAGAATTGAAAATTGAACGTTTATTTAGAATATATAAGTTTCATATGGAAGAACATAAAAATGTAATCCATTTATCAGGTTAGAAAGGCTTAAAGTATTCTGGCCAACAACCATGCCATCTACTATGGCTGCCATTTGAGAATGCTGTGTAGTATTAGTTGGAAAGGGGAAGATACCCAACTGGAAGCAGTAGATAGTCTCGAAATTTGTGGTCAAGTTATTGGAAATATCAAGGGAAGAACCTTTTAAGGGAGGAATCGGGGGAGTAGAAATTTTAGCACATATTCCTAGGACTAGGAAATGGAATCATACTCCGTATAATTTTTAACCCTTGGAGTTTATATTTTTTCTAAATATGTTTGGGTTATGCTGTCTTATGAATTTTGTCATCTTCCTTTTTTGGTCGGTGGAGATTTTAATTAGATTATCTTGTTACCACATGATCACCTGCAACACATTTTTGCAAGCCATGCCATGATCTTCAACTTTATCATTTTTTGGTCTGTAGGATTTCTTCATTAGCTGCATACCAAAAATAATATTTACATGTACTCCCTCCGTCCAAAAATAATCTTCCCGTTCACTATTCACAGGATCAAACATCATTCACTTTGTTGGTCTATTTTTGATGCCTATTTGATAAAATAATAGTCATGTCACCTTTTGTTTGTAGATCTTTTGATGTAGTTTCTAAATATGTAATTTTTATTTTTTAATTGCACACCATTTTTCATATAAAATGATTTGAAAATAACCTAGTCAAACATCGTAACGCGCAATGGGAAGATTATTGTTGGACGGAGGGAGTATTTATTGTTCCTGTATAATTTTATTCTTCATTTCTATTTGATTTGATACATTACATATCAACGTTTGCACTAGTTAAAATTACCTCCAGTTCTTTATAAATAGCATGCTCAGTCTTTGAAAGTTTAGGCACTCATTTTTCTTTTTAAGCAGGACAGGAAGTGGTGGAATAAGTGCTTCTGGTGGCAATGGATTTGGTGGAGGAGGAGGTGGAAGAATTTCTATAAACTCATTTAGTAGGCATGATGAACCTGTAATCTATGTTCATGGTAAGTTTTTGTTTGGCTGCGTTTAATTTGATTTAAAAGAGATAACCAAAGTAAAGCTCCATGCAACAATTTTCTTTTGTTCTTTTTCTTCTACACTTGGTTGTAGCCTTTCGACTCTAGTGACCGACAATCCGATGTGCTCAACTGCCTTTTCATTCTTGCTTCCCCGCCTATGAGTTACGGAGCTCCCTAATATTTAGTTATTTGCGTGAAGTTTAGAGTTCTATTATGCAATAATAACTGATAATATGAACTACTTATATTTACTTTCCACCCACGCAAATAAATTATATGCCCTTCGTCCCATTATTTTCTTCTCAGTTTGACTTGGCATGATTTGTAATAAAGTGGAATTTGTATGGTCGTGGTTTGTGTATAGGAAAAGCAATGATAATGACCACTCAGCTTTTTCCTTAAAAGGAAAGAGGAAGAAACTTTTGGGACAACCCAAATAGGAAAGTAGGAAGATAATTATGGGAATTTGTACAAGCATTATTTATTATAAATGTGAGGCATACACCTCCTTTCTCATTATAAAGCTTTATGGAATAGTGGTTAGGAAAGCACTCTACCACACTAAAATGCTAGAATCATATTTTCAGTGTTTCAACCCATACAGGATTTTCCACAACTTGCATAACTTGATCCCTCCCTAGCAACAACAACAACCCTGGATGGATCATGGAGATTCCCTGTGCACTGCCTTTGCCAAGTCACCATAGATAAAATGTATTTTTGTATGCAAAGTTACCCATAGATCAATGGTTAGTAGTAAATCAGCTACAGAAGATTTGTTAAAAGGTGAACGGTTGGGAAGTTTTAGCATATGAATTATGGGTATGTTATGTTTTCCTGCAGGTGTGACTTATTTTCTTCCCATTTCCTAATTTTCCAATGAATGTGCCATGCTTTATGTTTTGCTTTTCTTGCTTTTGCTTGTACCTCCTTGTTGTTGAACTATTTCCTTTGATATTTGCATTTGATAGTGATAATCCAGATTTTGGGGGTATGGTGGAATAAATCTAAATGACTCTTTAAACTGTTTGTGCTTCTTTTAATAGTGAAGTAACACTTAGTCAATGCAACTTTTGACGCTCATCATCGGTCATCCGGAAGTAGCCGCTCTATGTTTTAAACATATAGGTTAGGCTTCGTACGTGATTACCTATGGTGCTTGAGCCGGGGATCTCTTTGGAAACAACCTCTCTACTTCCAAGTAGGTGTAAGGTTAACACACACACACCCTTCCTGGACCCTACTTTTGTGGGATTCAACTAGGTTGTTGTAGTGATAAGCTAGGTCTGGTTGGTTGTTTGTCCCGACCAAACATGTGAGTTGACAGCCGAGTACAGACATAAAAGGTACTCCGTAGTTTTTTGTTTTTGTTCTTGTGTGTGTGGGGGGGATTGAAATTGTTTACAAACCCAATTATGATTAGACTGAGTACCCTGTTAAATGTTTTATATAGCCAATTGAGGAATCACAGTAACAACAACATCCCAGTAGAATCCCACAAAAGTAGGGTCTGTACGCAGAGTCGCAGAGTCGCAGACCTTACCTTACTTGAAGGATAGAATCCCACACTCAGTCAGTGTAGTTAAAGTTTACTTGAGATGGATAGAATGACTAATAGAATGCTAAGCCTAGCTTATGAGTTCATACACTGTCGTGTTTATAAAATGCTAGGAATGTTAATGGGTAAAAAAGACCCCTTTTCATGGTCTGAGAGGGGACTATTTTACGAGGACCAGCAGTGTACCCTTAGTCTTATTGACAACGATGTTACTGACAAACATGACAGATGGAGCAGATGGTGCCATCTCTGAAATGGCATAGGTGGTTGGTAGCTTAGAATTACTGAATTAGGCAGCCATAGGAATATAAGATGAAAAACGATGTTGACAGACTGTTGTCGGTAAATTCCATATGTGGTTCATCCAAGCTTGGTTGGATCAAGTAAACCGGGCCAATCTTTTATAATCCAAGTTTCGGGGTTTCTTCCTCGTCAGCCTTCTTTCAAATCCATTTTAAATTATTGAACTAAGTAGTATATGATAGTATCATTTTTGTAGAAAATGTTTGTTGTAAACCAGACATTGTTTGATCCCATTATACTTTTTTTTGGACAATATAATTGCATTATTCTTTATTTCAATTACCTTTTTTATTTGCAGGGGGAAGAAGTTTTGGCTGTCCTGCAAACTCAGGTGCCGCAGGGACTTTCTATGATGCTGTCCCACGAAGATTAGTAATCAATAATTACAACATGTCGACAGACACAGATACCCTTCTCTTTGACTTTCCTAATCAGCCACTCTGGACAAACGTTTATATACTAAATCAAGCCCGTGCTGCTGTTCCTTTGCTTTGGAGTCGTGTCCAGGTGTTTGAGCTTATAGATTACATGGCAAATTGGATATCTATGCCTATAGACATGTCATAATAGAGCTGAAACCGATTACCGAACCGAATAACCCGAAACAAAAATCAAAATGATCTGGAAACTGAAGACCCAATCTATAACTGAAAACTTGAGTTGATCTGTACCAAACCAAAGTCTAGCTAAATATTATCAAACTCAAATTAGAACCAAAACCAATCAGGCCCGAACCGGTTGGACCTGAAGTCGATAAGAACCAAATCATATTAGAACCGAATCCGATCTATATTTACTCTATATGTTTAAAAATATATTTTACTATGTTGTGCATGTATCTTTTACATATAAAAATGTGGTATACTTGAATAATATATGAATTGTATATGTGCATGTTTGTGCACACACGTACTCCGTAATAGACAAATGTGGGTCTAGAGTTTTCATAAATTACTTTTGAAAATTTTTAATTATAGCATTGAATTTAGTGGATACGACTAAATTATTTAAAAAAATAATAATTATGTAGTCATATATGCATTTGGAAAAAAAATATTAGTGGCTCGAATATCTAGTTGCCATATCTGCGTCCATTATAGTTCGGTTATCTACAATTGAATGTGGATAATATTCATTTCAAATGGATGCGGGTAATTTTCCCCTTAAGTGGATATGAATGCATACGATAATTGAACTTTTGGTCATCCATTTGTACCCCTAACCATGTAGCTACGGAGTACCTATAATAGCTATCCAAACCAAAACCTACCTGAATCCAAAATCTACCCCAACCAATATCTACCCGAAACTGAAAATGCAGAGAACCATATTAGACCCGAACCCAAACTGAATCGAACCAAACCATTCCAAACCAATTTTAACATATCTTTGAATTAGACTCAAACCAAATTGATCCAAACCCGAACCAAACCAATTGATTCGATTGCCAAGCCTATATGTCTACAGAGAATTACTTAAACCAGAAGGTTTTGTTTATCGGTCTATTTTGAACTCACTCAAAACTTTCACCTCTACAAAATAGAAGATGTCTGTGAATTGCAGGATATGACTTTAAGCAATTTATTTCTTTGATTCGTTTAGCTCTTTAATTTTATTTTTGTCTTTGTAAGCTAGTTGGAAGTTTAACCCACTAAAACTTGTACCTTGAGTTTAAGCAGCAAGCACACGTGGAGCTTATTAAATAGCATGCTGCATATCTGTTTCTTGATTGCCGTCTCTTCTATACCTATATCACCTGATAGGCTATCGGTCATGGATATTTATGCGCTTAATTTTCTGTTCTTGTAAAATTTTTAGGTGCGAGGACAGTTTAGCTTATCCAGTGGCGCCATTTTAACTTTTGGGCTTGTGCATTTTGCCTTATCAGAATTTGAGTTAATGGCAGAGGAGCTATTAATGAGCGACTCAATAATCAAGGCAAGTGTTATTTGTTCCCAATGTTCTTTTACGTGCTTAAACCTCTCTTATCCTTATATTTTTTTAGATGTGACAAATTTAAGAATGCCATTACTAGAATCTGTATACATTATGTATTTTTTAGATACTAAAGCCCATGACTAGAGTATTTTACTGTTTCTGCATGAATTAGAATATAAATCACTATTTCATTTCAGCTTAATAAAGGTGGACATTTTAATCTTTTGAGTGTTTTTTTCTTGTTTGTTTTTTTGGGTTTGGTGCCTAGCCGCCTAGGGGGTCGTAGCCATAGTCACAGAATTTGCTGCTACAGCCGTGTCTTCCGCATTGGTACGCGGCGTACCCAATTGTAATTCAATTGCGATCCGAACGTTGGTGGTACGGCATATCAAAATTGCGATCCGGATCTGTACGGTTGAGACGGTTGGGTTTTGCTGGTGGGGGTCTTTCTGCAACTGTACTTCTGGATCTGTACTATCACCTGGAATCGCCTAAGTTTGTGATTCAGATCGCGAGAGAGATTGGGAATAGAGATCGTCTGGATCTGCGGCTGGGATCGCAATCAACAGAAACGATTTCCGAAAAAGAAACTATGCAACCCTTAGGTTTTGACGGAAGCAACTTTGTCTACCCCTACGCTACTTGCTTTTAATAAAAAGCACAATAGCTTCTATTTTATCTTTTGGACTCAAATTCTCATTGGGCTCAATAGGCTTCTAATTTCTTTTTTTCCATATTTTTTCTACCAACTTTTTTTTTACAATTATATATCGATATTCAGAAATTTGTTTACTTATGTTTTGACATTTGGTACACCGAACCGAATAAATGGTACACCGTACCGCTTCGTACCAAAATGAACCTACCCCCCTTAGTACCGAATTCGTCACCTCTAGCGAATTTCATACCCAAACTGCATACCCGTACCAGAGCGTACCACGATTTAGGTGACTATGGTCGTACAATATGATTTTCTTGAGAGGTACCTTTATACTCAATGAGTCAGTCAGTACTACTTTAAACATATGTCGTCCTATTGGAAGTTGTTCAGGTAGTCGGGAATGTCACATGCGTCGTAGCTTTCCAAGGTATTGCCATGGGTGGGAGGTGAAGGGTCAGCCTAAATTCCGAAAATGCTTGTGATAATAATAGTAAACGTGGATGACAAGTGTGAGTGAAATGCAGCGGACAAATATGTTGCTGTGGAGTTTGGCTCCTTGTTCTGCCAAGGATGGTAAACAAGAGTAGATAGTTGATGACAAGCTAGAGTGCTAGACCCCCCTTGTTAAGGTAAAAAACATGATGTGGCATGTGGGCAGTGAATCAAAACAAACAAGGGACAATGGAGAATACCTATCTAGCTTGCTCCACAGTTTTTTTTGGCTAGAACCATAGTTATCACGGAGACTAGGCGTTCCGTCGTTTTATCTTGGTCACCATCTTCATTTGCTTCGCTAAATCTCCATTTGCTTTCGTTGGCTAGTCTTCCTTTTTACTCTTCCACCATTCAATGATAATCACACTTGTAGCAACCTGAGATATTGAACATAGGAAGTCGATCCATCATATTCGCTGAAGGTAATTGCATGGGGTAACCCAAGCTTCCACCATTTCCACGGGCCATCCTCTTTTCTACTCTTCATTCCTTTTTTGGTTTTTTAACTAATAACTATTGAATTGAATACTTTGTATAGTATGTATTTTTGTTGTTCCTTTTTTAATTCAAAAAAAGCTCGACATTCTGTTTCTTCCCTGTTTTGTTTTTCATTTTTTTGTAACCTTGATGTCGTGCCCCCATCCCTTTTTTTAATTTTACTCCATTGTTTTCTTTATTTATCAACTATGTAATTGCTTAAGACTTAATAATTATTATTCAATTTTTATTACATTTAATTTTGTTAAAAAGGGTATGGAACTAGCAACACTATAAGTGTTTTGTACCTTTTTTGTTTCAAACAAATACTCTAGGTATTTGGTATGTTGACTGTTGAGTATGAAGGTTTTACTCTATGAATAACAATACCTTATACAGAGTATATATTATGGCATTTTTGTATCAATGTTACTATATTCCCCATACTCTTGAGGTATGGGAAACATACTCTTGTGCGTATAAAGCATGTGACATGAGGTATGTCATCACTCGAGCACTCTTAGGTGTGTTTGTCGTTAGTTTTTGTTCATATTTTATTTGATTCTGTTCAAAGCCCAGATCATATTGAACAATTTTGACCCGTTATATGATCATGGATAGGCGCTTGGGGCATTCTTTTTACACGATTTGACGCGTTAGCCCAAAAAATTCTTTTACTTACTTTGCAATGAAAACCACTTCTAGTTATCAACTTATTCAGTTATTTGTCAATTTATCACTCATTGGTGGTACGTTGTGATGGATATGCTTGTCTAGTTTGGAACTGCTTTCATTTAAGTTGACATATTCAATAAATTATACTGGACTATGTTTCAACACCTTATTTAAACTCACACGAACAATTTTGTTGTTAAAAAAATATTTAACTTTTTTATTGACATATTTGTAAGCTCTAAAGCATAATGCAATGTACATAAACATCAATTTAACTACATATTTTGAAACTAGTGTATGAAGATGTGTCCAAAGTCGAGGCTCTTAATTTTCTACTAAGTAGCATGCCATGAATTGAATAGTTAAGATTCATGAAAAGCTATGTCAAACCTCACCCATTTTATACCTCGAGGGAAAACAGTCAACTAATCTTTTCTTTTAACAAAGAATAAAGACAGATGCACTCAATGTATCCACATGTGCTTGGCAAAGTTTATGGACATGAAAATATGTTTTGAACATCAGGGACCAATAAGAAGTCCCCAATCCCAAGCCTTGGTGGCAACGTGGCATAGGATTTAGTTGCCTTTAACAAACTGGAGATGTATCTTGAGGTGGCTGTCAAACCACGGCATGAGTGTAGGTTGTTCCAAACTTTATAGGCACCATTGTAATTCCACCTATTTGCGGTGCTGGAGGCTACCCGGCCACCACTTGCCTTGCATTGCGATTTGAGGAACAATGTTGTATTGATGAATTTCTTTGTGTGTTTTGATCTTTGAATTTTAAAATGTAAACCAAGCTTACACCTTATCTTGAAGTGCATGTTATGGTCTTCAGCCTTAGATTCATATTGTTAATCTATTATATGAATAGATTTAACTGCATTGTGAAGAACTATTTTTTTTCCAGATCTGAATGCTACCTTATTCGTGGATACTTGGAGAATCTCATTTTGAGTTTTTATACCAATGCAAATCTTGCTTCCTAATTAATAATTAAGAAGTTTTATTGTCCTTGTTTTTGGTGGGAATATCTGTCACAATCATCATTTTTAGGTCTATGGGGCTTTACGGATGTCTGTCAAAATCCACTTGATGTTGAATTCAAAAATGCTTATAGATGGTGAAGGTGATGCAACTGTTGCAACATCTGTACTTGAGGCTAGCAATTTAGTGGTTCTCAAGGTATATTAGTACCTTGCATCTTTTACCATTTTATGTTTGCTTTTGAATATTTAATGTACATTTCCAGTCACACGTTTGAATCACTAAATGCTCAGGGATCTTCCGTTATACATTCTAATGCTAACTTGGGAGTTCATGGACAAGGTTCATTGAACTTATCGGGACCTGGAGATCTTATTGAAGCTCAGCATTTGGTTTTATCACTGTTTTACAGCATTAATGTAAGACTCATTACAAAATTTAAATACACAAGAGTTGAGGCCTTATATCTGTTTACCGTTCACATTTCATAGCATTCGGAACTTGGATATAGAGTTTGTTGCATAATTACACTACTTAGAACTAATTGCTTTGCTGTGGGATTTTTTTCCCCTTGATATCCCAACTAATGGCTAAGTACTTGTCAAACTATTCCCCTTCTTTTGGTATAGCTGTCGATTGGGATTGAATGGACAAATTTACTTATCTGAACGTATTGGGTTGTCGTAGTGTGTGTTTAAGTTTTCTAGCTGGTGCAAGAATGTGGGTGGGAACTAAGTTGGGTTCTTGGTGTTTTCTTTAAAGCACAGTGTTCGTTCAAATGGTGAAATTAACTCTTTAATGGGGTTTGAAGTTTAGGAAATCAACAAATTCATTCTTTTTTTAATCCTTGTGGGCAAACCACCAATCTTGGTGGGGTAAGGTCTAGGCAACCCTTACCAAGTTTTATTAAGATAGGACGTAACCATAAAGTGAGGGGAGCAATTCAACAAGGAAGTCCTGTCTGCTCAGACAGTTCCAATAAGCAATTGTTTCTATGCATGTGTTGTGTACCTGTGTAAAATCTCTCTCAGAGCTCTCAATCTAGCCGAGAAGCAGAAAGGGGGCTTGGATTGGCTTGAATTTTCTTGTTGTCAGCACTTCACTTCTTATGGGTCCTATGATTATTCCACCACATCTTATTGTTTTCTCGCAAATGGGCTCAAAGATGTCTAAAATAATCAAACCTCATGGACTCAGTTTGTATGAAGATAGTTTCCCAAGTTCCAAAATGTTGAGCTGAAATACTAGGTCATTGAGGGGCCCACCAAGAAACTTATTTTATTGTACGGGAAAATTATATACTCGATTGTTTAAGCCAGGTTTTCAATTTTAAGCTTGCAAGGCTACTGTAATGTACTGAACTATTCACCAATGGGAATATTTTCTTTTATGACCTCATTTTCTCATCCTTTTATCCATTAAGTGTTGTCGTTCACGGTTCAAGAAAATCTCCTGCATAGGTTCTAGAGTTCGTGTTGCCATGTCTTCCCTATTGAAGGCTTTAATGTTAGGTCCCATATTTTTGACATATTTGACTTCATTTTGAATGGATGTGTTCTTGTCCTATCTTTCAAAAGTTTATCACTTTACTCTTTGGTTGTTTTGAGTATGGAGTATTGTGCATTTCGGTGAATGGTAGTCCCTTAAGAGCTCATAAGCTTTGCGTCATATTGCCTTCGAAGTTGTCTTCCCAAAGAACTCACTAATATTTTGTGATTTTCCCTTCAATGTTGCTTTATGAATAGTTCGTGTTTCCAGTTCTCACTAATTTTTTATCTTAGTATCCATCCTACACTATATATTTCTCTTCCCGCATCTTTTCGTAAGACGTCTCAGCTTGATGGGGAATGTTGTAATACCGCATATATCGGTACATGGAGTCCAACTATCATACATCTCACAGCACACAACCTCCGAGCTGAAGAGAATTGACACTCACACTTTAGGACTCATTTGCATAATGGTTGGTCATGATTCTCCATGGTTTATAACATGCATAACCATGTTTGTTCCCATTTCCATTTCTGTGATATAATTTTCGATGATATTCCATGGTTAATAGTTTTCAAAAAATTTTAACACACTGAATCAGAGATTTTTCACAGCTTATAAAATTCATTTCATAGAATTCCTACTCATATCCCAAACTATCAAAGGAAGCAATATCATTATATTTTAATTTCGATTTTACTCTACAATCGCTTTATATGCAATACCATACCAGCTTTCCAAAGATGGTATTCATACAATGCCAATAACATATGATGCCAAATTATCAATACCATACATTATCTAACCATGTTGCATTTTATCCAAACAAACCTTTATGTTTCTATTTTCTAATATTATCTAATTTATTTTCTCTATAAACACATGTATTATATTTATACTCTTTCAGTATCATCTAAATCAATATAAATCCTACCATTATTATCTTATAACACAAGTAGGGGAAGGGGTACACCTAGGAAGAGTTGGAAGGAGGTGATTAGACGGGACTAAGGACTTCTTGCCCTTACTGAGGATATGACCTTAGATAGAAGCGTTTGGAGAGCTAGGATTATAATAGTTGGGTAGGTGCTTTGAGCTAGGGAGTGTTGTTGTTGTTGTTGTTGTTGTTGTTGTGTGCTTTGTATGCCTTGTATGCTTGGTACTATTTGTTATTTGCTTGCAGTACTTTTTCTTTGTTTACTTGAGTTTGTGTTTTACTTTGGGTGCTTGATGCTTTATCAATCCTTCTATATGTGCAGCTTAAGCCGGGTGTCTCTTGGAAATAGCCTCTCTACTTTTGAGTAGGGGCAAGGTTTGCGTACACACACCCTCCCTAGGCCCTACTTTCGTGAGATCCAACTGGGTTTTTGTTGTTGTAACACTAGTTTCTTATATTGTTTCCGCTGTCTAACGGGTAGCAAATCACTAATTCCACCTGCTAGCTTTTTAATTTCATATCTATCCTCCTAATATCACATCAAGATGCCGCAATTGACAAAGAAGGCCCCTTTCTTTAACTAATTGAATTGTTTTCTTATAAACTTGCCAAAACTTGATTGGAGCTATATCTCCTAGGACAAGAAGGGGAAAAAATTATTCGAGACACTTACAGATCTTGTTAGAATTCCAAAGTGCAGTCACATTCTGGTGGGAAAATTTAAACTTAAATGTGTCATATGTATAATATAGTTGTTTCACCACAACTGTATACGAAGTGGATGATTTTTCTCTTCACATTTTTAGGGTATGACCATATGAGTTGGGGACACATGGGAAGGAATGACTTAGCCAGACTAATGCATGTTCAAAGAAATGAATTTTTCCGAACCATGTGGTGGTTTTCTAAAGTTTCTTTGAACCTTTTCTACTAGCTTGATAACATATTTAGTATTTACAACATGGATTGTTTTTTATGAAGGTTGGTCAAGGATCCATTTTGCGAGGTCCATTGGAGAATACAAGCATCAATAGCATGTAAGTATGTGCATGCTTCATCTTCAATGTAGTGTACTGCAACCATGTTTTAAAGGTATAATTGTATAAAATTTCATTACATTAGTGCACCACGGCTTTGTGAAGAACTCCAAAATTGCCCCATCGAGTTGCTTCATCCACCTGAAGATTGCAATGTTAATGTCTCATTATCCTTTACTCTTCAGGTTCTTGGTTCTATACTTATGAGTTTTTTCAATCTTCCTTATACCACATAGCATTGTGTTTGAATTGTCTAATATGTTTGCATTTGATGTATGATTGATCTGTGATACTGGTTCAGATATGCCGCGTAGAAGATATATTTATCGAAGGCTCTATTGAGGGTTCTGTCATTCATTTTCATTGGGTTAGAGCGGTGGTTGTAAAGCCTTCCGGAATTATTAGTGCTTCTGGTTTAGGTACTTTATCCTTTCATTTCTGCTTCATTGGTTTAGCTCTATATATTATTTGTCCAGATTTTTAGGGAAACGTATATGAAGTGATGAGTAACAAGAGCCTGGTTTTGTTGCCTTTCACTACTTTTGAGTTATTGGGCTGAGTCGTGCTTCTGGAATTTCATGCAGGTTGCATTGGTGGGTTAGGAAGTGGTCAGCTCTTGCCTAGTGGTCTTAGCGGTGGTGCTGGACATGGTGGAAGAGGTGGTGATGCATATTTTAATGGGACCTATGTGGGTGGTGGTCTTACATATGGTGATGCTGATTTGCCTTGTGAACTTGGTAGTGGAAGTGGAAACTCAAGTCTACAGGGTGCTACTGCTGGGGGTGGAATACTTGGTAAGCTATCAATTATAAACTATGCTACATGTTTGTTTTCTTTTATGTTTTTGATAAACAAATGTTGGTCAGTTATTGTTATATCCGGGCTTGGCCCTATCATACCCTCCCCCATGTCCCACACCCTCGCAAAAACCAAAGGACTTACGTTCAAACATTATGATTCATTTTAATGAGAATTCCAAGTCCTTCAACCCGAGAGGCCAAAATAACTTCGGACCTAAGGGTTCTGCCAACCAACTCCCACTCTGCCAAACCCCACCCTAAACATCCAAAACTCCTTTCCATTTAATTCCTTTCAAACATAAAGTTTTCCTACACTTATTTTTGGCCCATGGCCGAAAATAAGGGTGTGTAAAATAAAACCTTTTGTTTGTTGTTATTTTCCTTCTTTTAAGCCTTTTATTCAACAAATAAAACCCTCCCTCTATTCCATTCACCCCCTTGCCAAAATACACTTCACAACCCCAACACAACACCCAAAAAGAGCCAAAATCCTGACCCACCACAAACCACTAATCCCTGCCCATGTTCCCCTACAAATAACCCAAACCCATATGTCCAAAACCACCCCTAATATTGCCCAGCCCTGTCCCCTTTTATTGGCCAAATACAACCCNAGGAACCAACCACTACAAACCAAAGCTCAAAACCCCCACAACCCCAGCCCCATCCCTGAATTTTATCCCACTTTGGAGACAGGATTCAATGAGTGTTACCCCATACTTTGGAAGTGGATGTTGCTAGGAAGCTTCCTCATGTTCACATTCAATGTATTATGTATTTTTCCCTTCCCCTCTCCCTATATAACTCAGGCCATATGGCCATTGTAACACATCTTTGAATATTGAAAACCATTTACTCTTTGAGTATTATTAAAATAGTGTGACGCTATTTTAGCCAAATTCCTAATTCTATATCTTAAGAGTGGTTATCTTAAGTGTGAGTTTTAGGTTCTAGATATTTGATTAAGTGTGTAATATCTTAATTGAATTCTAGATTCAAACCCCAAGTTAGGATAAGAGTGTGTAATATCTCCTAACACCAACTTGGTTTTATCCATCCGTGATATTTCTTCCATTTCATATCCCTCCATTTCTCCTTCTTAATCCTATTCTTTTTCTTCCATAAAATACCAAAAAAGAACTCCTAAAACACCCTCCATACTTTCGCCCACTATTTCCCTTCCATTTTCCTCCGCACATCCGCCACTAAATTATCAACTTGATAAGACCCCCGGTTTACCCCTAACAGTTATTATCTATGTAAGATAGTTAAACAACAACAACAACAACCCAGGTGAATCCCACAACAGTAGGGTCTGGGGAGGGTGTGTGTACGCAGACCTTGCCCCTACTCGGGAGTAGGGAGGCTGTTTCCAAGAGACCCCCAGCTCCACCTGCACAAAAATATGGAAGGGAACACAGTATAACACAGATAAAGCACCAAGTACAAGCAACAAGTACAAGCAATAACAAAAGATTCCAAACAAATACAACACACTACAAAACAACCTCTACAACACCGAGCTCCTATCCAGCTACTCTAATTCTAGTTTTCCAAAGGTTCCTATCTAGGGCCATATCCTCAGTCACGTCGAGAAGTCCTATATTTCGATATTACTCTATTTTCCATACCAAAAAAAAATTGCCGGGGCATCTCTCCTTCAATCTTTGAACAAAAGTTGCTAGCTCCTTTGAACACATTGCGTTTCCTAAGTTTTGTACTTCTTTCTTAAGTTACACCTTTTTTATTTTACACTCTTTCTACACCATTCATATCTTTCACCTGGGTTGTTTTTTTCTTTTTTTGCAAAACAAACTGTAGGGTTGAAGGATACTAACACATAAATCGAACTCCTAAATTTCATAACAATCTGAAGTCTCCCAGAGTTATACCTCTCATATTTTCACATATTTAGAACTAATATTGCTCCTTCGTCCGAAAATGGTCTTCCCAAGTTGACCTTCCACACATTTTAAGGAGAGTTGAAAAACAATGTGAAATGTCCACTTTACCCTTGATGATTGTAGGTGTGGTGTAATAAGTGAGAAGAATGGGGGTAATTAAGGTATTTAATATGTTAAAAAATGGAATGTGAAGATCATTTTTGGAGTCGGACACCCAAAGTTGTCATTTAGGAATTTCTGGACGGAGCGAGTACGTTGATTTTGTTATGAAACTTTACGAAGATGATCTACCTTTTACACACACACACACACACCGTATGTATGCATATATATGATGAGATGTGATCAATTGCAGTAAAGATTTGCACTAAAAATGTAATAGTGATTTCACTAAAAATGGATAAGAAGGCGAACTACTTCGAGATAAGTTGGTCAATTGGTATAAGATTATTTGGTTAAAGATGGCGGAGAAGTCAGGAGAAGGGAAAGAGAACCATTTCGAAGAATATAATTTGATCCAAGCCTGAGAAATTGTGAGCTAAGTGGCGTGAGAGCTGCATCAGGGTATTGTGTAGAAGTAGGTCGAAGGAAGGGGATCAGAGAGAGAGAGGAAAATTCACCTCCGGTATACTGGGCTCTTTCAGGATCTGAAACAGATCAACATTTGATCAGAAATGTTAAACAGGATTTGATCATCTCCATTATTTTCTAATTTGACTAATTAAGTGGATATGTATGGTTGCGTTTACCATATCAATTACTCCGTACAAGTCATACTCATCTTAAAGTTCTCTTTTCTTAACAAGTATGCTGTGTTGCTGCTGCCTCATGAGCTTATCTTTTCTCTCCTCTATTTTTCTTCAGAAGTCTCATTTATCATCATAGATAAAAGAGACGGAGTGCCATAATCTTCAACTCTTGAGCTCTGTAAAAATGAAAATTAGGTTTTTTTTGAATATTTTTCATATATTTCTCTTTTCCTTCCAATGTGGTAGCTACTATTCCTAGTATATACTTAAAAATAATAAAAAATTCAAAATTTTGAGATTTTGTTACCAAACTTTATCATTTGAGTTTCTTTTAAAGGTTTTAAAACCGAAGTACTCTGTTCAATTAAATAAATTCATCTTTTTCTTTGATTCTCATAGTTCTTGAATTATTGACTTCATGCTTTATGAGTACTATACTGGATTGTAATTCTATATAGGAAACATGATAAAGCCATTAATAAATTAAAAGGAGATTTTAACATGGAGATGTTGAACAATTGGGTAATCAAACATTAAATTAGCTAATTACGAAATAAAAAATATTATTCTCTTGTGAAGAAAACACAAGAGAAGAAGAAATTAAACTGGCACTTGAGAAAGAAGAGAATGGAAATTATTATTTTAATTTATTTTTATTGCAAAAATGCAAGCATACACTGCAATTAATACGGATTATGAAGTATGTATGTGTCATGCAGAGAGAAAGAACAATCCAATAGCCATTTATTTGATCAAATGATGAGATAATGTATCTAATTAAATTCTGCCAAAATCAAAAGTCTGATTTTGTTCGAGAGAAAAAAGTGTGTGGGTAAAAATATACAGATAAGGCTGCTTTGACATGTATGCTTTAAAATCATTCTTTGGACAGTTATGGGTTCATTGGAGCACTCTCTTTCAAGTTTGGCAGTATATGGTTCAATTCAAGCTAATGGAGAAAGCTTTGGCAAATTTATAAGAGAGGATGGCAGTGAGGTCTTTTCAGAAGTAGGTCCTGGGGGTGGCTCTGGTGGAACGATACTTCTGTTCATTCATTCGTTGGTTCTCGGTGATTCTTCTACTATCTCAGCTATTGGAGGTCATGGTAGTTCTAATGGTGGCGGTGGAGGTGGTGGGAGAATTCACTTTCACTGGTCGGAGATTTCTGTTGGAGATGAGTATGTACCTGTAGCAAATGTGAAAGGAACTATTCTTGGAAGGTCAGCATCTGCTGTAATATTAAACACCAGTACTTTCTTTTACTGTATTTGTTTATGCTCTATAAGTATGAAACTATTTTGTAAGTTGCATCATAACATACTGAATTCCGGTCTCTGGATAGGCTTTTTATATCTTTGCACCTGGACTTGTGTTTCTTCTTTATTTCCACCTATAATCATACTGTACCTGAAAAAAAGTCATGTTTGTAATGCTGATTTAAGTATTACAAACATGACTTTTTGGGGGAATTACTATTAGGTGTTACAGCATTTCTTTCTAGAGTGGGTGATAGATATTCTTACAAATATGGAGTTCAGTTTGATGTAATCAAATTACATTGCATTTGATTGATAGAATTTAAATTTCCCTACTTGTTTATTCTATCAGCTCATTCATAGTTTTGGTACATGGGAACACTCTCTTCATTCCCTATCACTTGGTTTGGATGGGGTGAAATGAGAAAGAGAGAAATGTGTGTGAGAGAATTAAGGGAGGATTTTGAAATTCTCTATAGTTTGGTGAAAAGAGAAATGGAGATGAGAAAAATGATAATGGCGATTCCCATCACCCTTTTCTGTCTATCTCTCTTATGTCAAGAATCAGGCTAGAAGGTGATTTTCTCTTAAAGTCTACCTATTTTTCTAGATATATCTGTTATGATCAAATATACTCACACACAAACTTGATGAAGAATAAGAATAAGAAAAGGAGAGAGAAATATGAGACGAAAATGAATTCATGGTAACACCCTACGGGTAAACTCCACGGTGGTATATATATATTGATGCTACATGGAGAATAAAATGGTTAAACCTAAAATGTGGGTCGGGGTCCACAACCAATTATATGGCGTTACACTAAATATTATTCAGGCTCTACAGCCTAACAATGTTTTCTGCCAAACAGCTCACAAAAATCTACCCTTTTCTCCACTGTTTCTCCCTTCTCTTTTTCTTTCTCACACATTTCTCTGCTCTCTATTTCTTGCGTGAACCTAACAATGACTATACATATAGAAAACAGTTTCCCGATTATGTATTACCTTTTCTGGATATGAGTAGAATAGAACTAGTGCTCTTTTGAAAATCATGTTCCTTGTAACATTTGTATTTTAACACATTACACATTCTCTATGTTTAGAATAGAGAGAAACTCAAGGGGTATGCTTATCTTTATATATATTTTTCTTGAACATTTCTATTTAATTTTTTTCAAAGAACCAAGCAATGGCATTTAGATTTCTTTGTTTTTTGCCATATAATCTTCTTCCATGAAGTTTAAATTTCATTCCTCTATTCCATTCAGAATTCCAAATGAGCCCTTACGGATGGCTTTTTCTTGCATTCTTGTTTGAATTTTCTCTTTTTCCTTTGACTTATGTTTTATCTTGTTACTGATACCACACCACAGTGGAGGAGTTGGAAGAGATCTCGGGAAAGCGGGAGAAAATGGAACTATCAGTGGTAAAGCATGCCCGAAGGGGCTTTATGGAATATTTTGTCAGGTAATTTACAGGCTTCCGTTGCCTTTTTGTTGGTGACTAGTGTGTGTTGTAGACTTGACTATCCATGCAAGATAGTGTGGTCTCTTGCTCACTTGTATATTTGGGTATGTAATTGTCCGTATCATTTAATGTGATAACCCTCTATCCATCATCTCAAGTTTATCATTGTTAGTGGTTCTCATTGTTTAACATTAAAACGAAGTGACGTTAAAAATTTGCACTTTAATTATCTTTTGACAATAATAAAAAAAACAACAGCAACAACAATAATAGTAATAATAACATGAGTAAATTCCTGAACAATACATTGTAATTGGTGAGATTTCTCATTTAGTACACTATCTTATGAAATACCACCAAATGTTAATATCAGTTGGGAACGTTGCCAGTTTTAGTCTGTTTTTTAAGGGAATGTCAGTAGAGGTCCATATTAGTTGGAAACATTGTCACTTTTAGTCCACTATTTTAAGAAATATCATTTGAGATATATACTCCCCACGTCCAACATTAATCTTCCCGCTTTGTCCGGGTAGCAGTTTTAGGTAAAGTGAAAATGTGGTTGACTTTCCAAAAATACCCCTTGCTCCTCCACTCATCCAGCCTCCTTGCCACTAAACTCCTCTGTCTAAACATCCAAATCATCGCAGCACTAACCCAATCACCGTTCATCCTAGCCCAACACCGGCAACACCTGGACTCCGGCCTCCCACCCAAAATCCCTGCTCATCCTTCTTCAACTCAACACCGCTAGCACCAGAAATCGATGGTCATGCCCTTGCCTTGGTCTTCTTCCTCTGTGAATCGAACACCACCTGCCTGCGACCCTCCATCTCGGTGGACAAAACCTATACGACCTTCAAATCTGGCAAAAACAAGACTCGTTCCTTCAGATCTGACGAAGAAGAAGACTCGATGACCATAAGATTGAAAGAAAAGAACAATACTCGAAAAAGAAGATGAAGATTCAAACAAGAAAAAATGATTTCAAGAAGAAGAAAATTTGAAGCAAAACTTGTGAAGAAGAAGACGATATGAAGAAGTTTTTAAGAAGCAGAAGATTTGTTAAAGTTTTTAAGAAGGAGAAGATGAAGAAAAAAATTGAAGAAAATGAAGTGAAGAGGAGAGTGAGGTGGTGAGGGTGATAGTGGGATGGATTAGGATTTGGGTTAATGGGGTGGAAGATATTATTTTTAAGGGTAGCAAAGAAATTTTACACACAAAAATTTGTCAAATAAGGAAATGGGAAGATAATTTGTGGACGGACTGAAAAGGAAAGTGGGAGGTTAAAGTTGGACGGAGGGAGTATTATTAGGAAAAGAGTAATTTCCTGACAACGTCATTTATAACATATGGTTTCCATATATAGTCCACTTTGTTAAAGTATTACATTCATGGTTCTCTATATTTATATTTCATAACTATTCCACGATAAGTCTCTTGATGATATTAGTGGTCTTATATATTTGAGAACCATTCCAGGATAAGTCCTCAAAAGGATTTGTTGTGGAATAGTCCCAAATATAAAGGACCATGAATATAAACTTTCACAAACTGGACTATGTGGAAACCCTCATGTTATAGGATATTAGGATGTTTTCGGGAAATTACTCTTATGAAAATTTCTATTTTTAGTTCTCTTAGTTTTTTCATACTTAGACTGTTAAATATGAGGATAAAATGTAATTTCACATTATTTTCCCAAATATTTAAGATATAATTGAATCAACACAACTAACAACAACAACAACATTACCACAATGCCTCAAACATGACCCTATGCAAGGTAAGGGGGACGGATCCCAATGGCCCTTATAGAGTGACTCTTTCCCGATGACCCATGATGAGCTTCGAAAAGGCGAAATTCCACCGTTGGTCCTTCAAGTTTTTGCGTCATGCACAGTTAGTCCTTCAACTTTATAAAGTCCATGAATAGTCCTTCAAGTCATGTTAACATTGCACGATTGGTCCTTCCGTTAAGTTTTCCGTTAGTCCATGCATTTTCCCCATTTTTCATGATAAACACACGTGAGGAACCCTCTCTTCTTCGTACAATTGAGTCATATTTCATGTAGATCCATTTTAATTAAAATGTTACGTAACAAATTAACCTTGATTGACTGCAAAAAGTCAAAACTTGATAAACACATTAATATGGAGTGTGTATCTTTTAAAAAAAGGACTAATAAAAGCAAGAATAACTTATTATTATTAAAACAATGGACTAATAAAAGTAAGAATAACTTCTTATTATTAAAAAAATAGGATATATTTAATATTGTTCAATTGTATGAATAAAAGAGGTTCCTCACGTGTATGTATAATGGAAAATCGAAAAATGCATGGAGTAACGGAAAAATTAACGAAAGGACCAACCCTGCAACACTAATGTGACTTGAAGGACTATTCGTGAACTTTATAAAGTTGAAGGACTAACCGTGCATAACGCAAAAACTTGAAGGACCAACGGTGGAATTTAGCCGCTTCGAAAATTGCATTGACCAATTGCTACTTCACTATGAAAGACAAAACCATTTTGCTTTATTTCATCATACCCCAAAGCCAAAAAAAAACAGTGAACCTTTGGCTCCATTGGAGATGATAAAAATTGAAAACCATGCACTACAAATTGTCAATTTGAAGCATGGGTAGGAGTTTGAATCAACACAATGCAAAAAGTAGCCATAAATTCAAATTTTAAAGTGGTGATGATATAAGTGGCGCTGGAAATTTAAGCACGAATGATGTGAAATTATGGTTTTGTTCTCATATTAAAAAATTTAATGCTACCTCTATCCCAGAGTGTTTGTCCAGTTTTGATTTTTTGGAGTTAAAATTGACAAACTTTGACCATTAATTCTATAAAATTGATATTAAATATTAATACCAAAGTAATTTTTTTTTAGATTTATCTTGTACAATATTTTTAAAATATTGTTTTATCCAATTAATATACCATATAATTAATTTAATTTGAGGTCAAAGGTTGATCTTGATCCACTTCAAAAAGTCAAAACGGGAAGGAGTAGTCAAAAGATGAGAAGACTAACGTATGAACTAAAAATGAAACATTTCCCTTTAATATGGACCTGTGATAGTATTTTTTGAAATAATGGTCTAAAAGCGTATGGACCTTGCCACCTTGGGTGGTATACAATGGACTAAGAGTGACAATGTACCCAATTATTATGGAGCTTAGGAAATAATCTGTTGTAGACCCCGACTCAAAATCCCAAATATAATCTCCCAATGTTGTACTACGTAAAATATTGGACTATTTGTGGAATTTCTCCAATTATAGTGGACCATTTGAAGAAGTTACTCTAATAGCAATGTCTTCTAATTGAGCAAAAGTATAGAGAACATTGATGATGCTATGATGTTCTTTTCAAGAAAAAAAGTCAATAGAAGGCATAGGAGTTTAATGATGCGTATATAACTCAATTTGGCATAAAAATCCCACAGTTGTTTTATATATATATTTATACTTCCTGTCCAATGGTATGGATACAACTAGTTGCAAAATTTCCAGTGTTCCGTGTTCTCATACATCTGTTTGGCTTGTTTTGTCCTAGACCTGTTAACATAAACCAAGGCTTGCAAACTCTATATTCATGTCAAGTTCTGTAAAGTAAAGATTTGTTGGGCATTGAGCCAAAAAAGGATTTTTTTGTACTTTAAACTCATACAATTTATTTCATAGTTTCTTTTTGTGTAAGCAAATGCATCAATGCAGGAATGCCCCATTGGAACATATAAGAATGTGAGTGGATCTGATAGATCACTTTGTCGTACATGTGAACCATACGAGCTTCCGCACCGTGCAGCGTATGTTGTAGTTCGAGGTATTGCGTAGTAATAGTTCGTAGTATGATTTTGCACCACATAGTTCTGCTTTATTTTGTTCAGTAATTGTGTGATTGAACATTAGTGAGTCTCATAAATATTACCTAGTGTTTTAGAGGATTTTACTCTCAAAGTATGACATTCTTGGGATCTCTACTACTTATTATAGGTGGTGTAACCAACACTCCTTGTCCATACAAGTGCATTTCCGACAGATATCACATGCCATTTTGTTTTACGGCACTCGAAGAGCTGATTTACACTTTCGGTGGACCATTGCTGTTTGGTATAATTCTATTTAGTCTTCTTGTCCTGTTAGCCCTTGTTCTCAGTGTTGCTCGAATGAAGTTTATTACTTCCGATGAACTGCCTGGCCCAGTGCCAGCTCGCCGTGGATCTCCAATTGACCGTTCATTCCCATTCTTGGAATCGTTGAATGAGGTACAGTTGTAATACCATGTAATCTGTACCACAAAGCTTTCATTATAATAGAGAAATTGAAAAAACCCTCCGTCTATTTGACTATTTGTGATACATTATAATTTATTAGAGCAATACATGCCTTTTTATTTATTTTAGGTGTTTGAAACCTGTAGAACTGAAGAAATTTTCTTTGATTTAGGTGTTGGAAACTAGTAGAACTGAGGAATCCAGTACACATGTCCACAGGATGTATCTTTTGGGTGCCAACACTTTTAGTGATCCTTGGCATCTTCCTCATTCTCCCCCTAAAGAAGTAACCGAAATTGTGTACGTTTGGATAGATTTTCTCTCTTCTTAAGTGGAACTATAAAAATGATGTTTTCATGCTGTCAAAGATATGAAAGTTCTCACTGGTTTCAAATTGAACAAAATTCATATTTCATTAGGAGATTGTGGAGACTGGAGATACCTTAGGTTTCATCCAATTTTAATGTTACAGGTATGAGGATGCATTTAACATATTTGTGGATGAGGTTAATAGTTTAGCTTCTTATGAGTGGTGGGAAGGGTCCATCTTTAGTATCCTTTCAATTCTTGGGTACCCTCTGGCATGGTCATGGCTGCAGTGGCGTCGGAAGAAGAAAATACAACGTCTACGTGACTTTGTTCGATCAGAATACGATCATGCTTGTTTGCGGTCCTGCCGCTCACGTGCACTGTATGAGGGTCTCAAGGTAATTATGTTTTCCTCATCTCTTTTTTTAGTTAATGACCTATTTTTTAAGCTTACATTTTCAAGAAATTTATCATCTTGGATTTCTGACAATGATCTCTTTCTACATCATGCACTTTTGAATTCAATCTCTTTCATGTGACCAGCTTTTTGTAAGACATACACATTTTCACTTTTTAACCTTTTCATTTACAAAAAAGTTGCTTAGTCACCCTTATTTGAGAAACACCTAGGCACTTTAAAGTTTGTTAATTGTTACCCCCGTCATCTAAAAGAATTCATGTATGGTTAAGGTAAATCTCTATAACTTTTGCAAGGTTCAACCTTTTAAGGCATAGAGTCCTACTTATATTTTTTAAGCTTATTTTTTGTGATTTTGTTGGAATTGTTATTGTTTAGTTGAACTAAATGTATCATATTAAAATTATTTGTAATTTTTTTAATTCTAAAATACATAAAAAGAATCAGCTTTGCTTTGTGAAATTGAACTATGCCCTCCGTCTCAATCTAATTGTCTAGTTTTACTTTTAACCATCAAACACTGCAAACTTTGAACATTATTTAATTAAAAAAATAGATTGAGTGATGATAAAGTATAATTTCATTTATATAGGTGTCCGCCTCTTCAGATCTTATGCTATCATATATAGACTTTTTCCTCGGTGGAGATGAAAAGAGAGGGGACATGCCTCCCCGCCTTCATCAACGGTTTCCAATGTCTATAGTTTTTGCTGGAAATGGATCATACATGGCTCCTTTTTATGTTCACGGTGATAACATTCTAACGAGCCTTATGAGTCAGGTTTGCATAAAAGATCGCATATGCTAGTTTGGGCTTTTCGGTCTCAAATTCCCTTTCCCTTCATATCTAAAAAGATATGTTATTATGACATTGCAGTCAGTTCCACCTACACTATGGCACCGTCTGGTGGCTGGTTTGAATGCTCGACTTCGTTTAGTTCGTTGTGGACACCTAAGAGCTACCCTTTCCCCAATTGTTAATTGGCTTGAAACCCATGCAAATCCATCTCTACGTGCACATGGCATACACATCGATTTAACTCGCTTTCAACCGTCAGCCAGTGGTTATCATCAGTTTGGACTTCTGCTCTGCGCTGTGGACAATGAACTCATGCCATCATCCACTGAAACCCCAAGAAAATCTCTTACAAATGAGAAACAATCACAGTAAGTGTTTGCAAAGTGGTCTTAGAGTTGGAGGGCATTTGATCTTATTAATGTTTCAAAGTAATCTCTATTATTATGCATGTAGGTTGCCTGGTACTCGTTGGAGGAGAGCATTTGATCTTGTTAGAGTTAATGAACACGCTCTGACACAGAAAAGGGCACTACCTGGAGAAATTTTGAATTCTAGGAACCTGAGAACACTTAAAGAGAAATTTACCATAGGCTATCTCTCCTATTATATAGTGCGTAATACTAAACCTATTGGCCATCAGGTACAGTTTTAGATATTTACTGTGTACCAGAATCAGTTATGAGACCAGATAATTTTTAAAACTCACATTCATTATTTTTGCAGGATCTTGTTGGTTTGGTCATCTCAATACTCCTCCTGGGAGATTTTAGCTTGGTCTTACTAACTTTACTTCAGTTGTATTCTATCTCCCTCCTAGATGTGGTTTTGGTCTTGTCTATTATTCCACTCGGCATTCTTCTTCCTTTCCCAGCAGGAATTAATGCATTGTTTAGTCATGGGCCTAGGCGTTCAGCTGGCCTTGCACGAGTTTATGCTCTATGGGATATCATCTCGATCATCAATGTTGTGAGTCACCGGAGTAATTAACATGATGGCCTCCCCCCCCCCCCCAGTATTTTTGTCTCAATCAATAATATATATGCAGAAACTTGGTTTTCTCATTCATTTACTATTATAACTGCTGCAACAGGTGGTCGCTTTATTATGTGGATTTGTTCATTTTGAGAACCAATCCTCATCAAGCAAAAAGCATTTAAACATCCAATCCTGGAATTTTAGCAAGTAAGAAGCTGTTTAACCATCCAGCTCAGAAATAACTATCCAGAAAAATGCATAGTGTAACTTTATTCTGGTCAAAACTTGTGGGTGGGTGCAGGGATGAAACTGGATGGTGGATGCTGCCTTTGGGACTCGCTCTAATAAAAACCGCCCAAGCTAAACTCATTAACTACCATGTGGCTAACCTTGAGATTCAGGACCGCACATTGTACAGTAATGACCCCGATGTGTTTTGGCGCTCATGAATGACGACACGTACGTAGTTCTGTTCTTTGCTCGTTCGTTCATTCTTCCTTCCTTCCCTGGCTATGCGCTTGTTTTGGTGAAGCAGCAGGGGTGGGTAGCATTTGAGTTTGATGACGTTTTGCCTGGGCCATTTTAGTTACCCAGACTCTCATCATTGTACAGTTGACAAACTTTTTGCCAATCCATTTGCTGAAAACATTATTTTATCTTAATCTATATGCCAATAAAAGTGATTTGTTTCATCATCTATGTCCATTCCTTATTCTGGCTCTTTTTTTATGAGGCTGGTTTTACTTTTGATTATATGCTAGACGAGGACCTTGAAAATTGTAGTAATAGAGTACAGATATAATTTATGTTTTGTTCCTGTTACACATTATTGAATTACTCCCTCCGTCTTGAAACATTCTTCTCGGTTTGACACGAGCTCAATTTTAAGGAAGTGTTAAGTGTAAATAATGCATTGACTTTCCAAAAATGCTCCTTCACCTTTTTTTACCGTCTAGTTTTGGAGGGGAGCATTTTTGTTTCAGACCAAAGGTGTGTACCCTATGTTTGTTATTCTTGAAAAGCCATTTGAATTTGAATCTGCTCAATCTGAATCATCCTCCAAACAACCATCGGTCCTGGAAAGTTTAGGGCTCGATCGAGTGAATTGTGCAATCCTAAGGCTCCGTTTGATACACGGAATTCAAATTATGGAATTGGAGACAACAATTCTAATTCCGCTGTTTGATAACACAAAAATATGTGGATTTGGAATTGATAGTGCCAAAAAAGAATTGGAATTGGAGAATTCAATTCCATCCAAATCAATTCCACAGAATTTCAATTCCCAATTTCGTTAATTCCGTGTACCAAAGGACCCTAAGGCCCCGTTTAGTACACAGAATTCAAACTATGAAATTGGAATTGAGGACTTTAATTCCAATTCTTGTGTTTGGTAGCACAAAAATTATGTGAATTTAAAATTGGTAGTGCAAATTGGATTTGGACGCTTCGTGCAGTCTCGGGCAGAATATTAGTAATTGAGATTGGACGACTGCGGCTGGTTATTAAGTTGCAATAGAATGGACAAATAGAGAAGGGGGTATAAATAGAGATGATGAAAAAAACCGCACCAAAGACTAGTACTAGGGATCGGTCTAGATTAGTCCGGTCTTTGTTAAAAAATATGGAGTAGATTTTTTGGGACTGGGTAGTCCGGCTAGGCCAGTATGGTCCGGTCTCTATTATATAATTTTTAGAAATCTAAAAAAAATATAAATATTAGTTCTTTTTATCTAATTTCTACCATTACTACACGTTGATTTTTATAAAGTATTGATGCAACATAAATGTATTTTTCAAAGATATTAAATACAACAAACATTTATTTTTGAGTATAAAGTTGTACATTTGATATTGTTATGACACTTTCAAATTTATAAAAAGAATATGAAGTATTAAGTTGTATATTAATAAGATAAATGTGATTCTATTAATATAATATGCTCAAAAATGGAAGTATTTATGTAAAAATTATATTTTAATATTACATTACGAGACTAGTTCCGTTATGGTCTATTCTTTTTACAAAAGACAATCGATCTGGCACTAGTCTAGTTCTTCTCCCAATTTAGAGGACTAAATGAGATTACCAATCGAAGATTGCACCACTTTGGTCTCAATCATTTCTAGTCCGATCCCGATCTATATGTGTCAATCTTTTCATTCTCAATCTCTTAATTCTTCTCTAAGTATAAATATCATTTAATGGCTAAAAGCTTACCATTCTAACTAATGAGAAGAAAGTTTTCAGGCAATAAAACAAGGAAAGTGAGAACAAAATTTTTCAATATAGAGCGTAAGTTTCTTCTCTTTTTTTTTTTTGTGTGAAACATTGCTAGTTTTTTTGGAAGAAGAACCATTGCTAGTTTTGTACGAGTAGTTTAATATATTCCCTCCATCTATCAATTAAGAACCCATTTGCTCAGTTTTTGAGTTATATACTGTAATACGGAATACGGAGTATGTTTTGAAATTTAAGATAAATGGCATGACTTTTGAAGCCTGAAATAAAATTATTCAAAAAAAAAATTAAAATCGTGATTAAATTGGTGATGAGCGTGGGTTGAAAGCAATGGTTGTGATTGACAATGATAGTAGTAACTAGTGGTGGGGTATTGGGGGTGATGGTTGAGGAAAAAACTTCAAACTCCCATATGGAAATCTCCCAAATTTGAAAACTATCAAAAGTTCAAAATCCTCTAATTAAAGGTTTGTACTTTGAATATATCAAATCTGATTTCTTTTTATAATACCAAAAAAGATTTAAGATATTGGGAGTGAGAATTCATCTCTTTCACAAATAAACCAAAACTATCACATACGCTTTTAAAACAGATTATTTCCACGCATTCCCTCTGCAACATCAGCTGATACATAACCAAAATCAAAATGAGGAAGAAAAAGATATTGTGATGAAAGTCTATTATTCCTTGCATCATAGGTGTTGCTACGTCTTGAGATCCTAATTGCCACGGTTCCGCCGCATCACAATGAGCAATTGTGAGGAATAGCCATTCTAGAACAATCATTTGGTTTGGTTCATTCTTTGACCGTTATACGCCCTTAGTTTTCATTTTTAGTTGCATCCAAATTGAAGGCATGTCGTTTTCTTTTCCTTTGTAGGAATGACATATGTGATTCACAATATTTGTTTTTTAATGATAAAGGATAATCTCACTTCATTACTTTGATGTAAGATTGTAATACCAACTCAATTCACAATTTCTACCCCTAACCCCCCATTAATCCCTTCCCCCTTGGACCGGTCATAACGCACCTTCGTACTCCCTCCAATTGCATCATTTAAATTTTGGTGAAAATGTTTGCCTCAAAGTCAGTAAGAGTTGATGGTGCAATGGAGGGGTGCGGGACGCATTAGGATCGGACCTGGTTCGGAGATTTTACTAGAGGGTAAGAAGAATAAAAATCGTCAATTTTGAGAATAGAGTACCGTAGGGGCACCAATTGAGTTGGTGTCACAATCTTACACCAAATGCAAATTTTATGGTGGACCTATGGTCCACCATGGACCTATATATGAGTAAAATAAACAGTTTCCTACTATTTAAATAAGCATCAATTTTTTTAATAAAAAAAATATTATTTATGTGAAAAGGTTCATAAAAATAGTATGCACCCAAGGTGCATTATAGAAGCACTCTACACCAAAATTATGGTGTCAGATTAACCATAAATTCTAATAATGCATGTTTTGCTTCTTTACTATTCTGAAACTCTGTGAAATCAAATTAGGATTTTAATTACAAGATGGAGGGAGTATGCTTATTATAACAATACCTTCATATTTTTTGGTGCACCATTTTGACCATATGTATTTATAATTATACATTAATAAAAAATTATAATTTTTTTTCAAAACAACATTGTAAGTAGATGTTGGGGTAGTGGCAAGAAAAGCACCCCAATCTTCTCCACATCCAGTGTTCGGGTCTCATTCTTACACTTAAACGCTAAAATTAGTTTGAATAAACACTACAGTGATAATATGAGAGCTATTTCAAACCATTGAATGATATTAAATTAACATTTTAATTGATCGAACTTGTAAAATTAGGTCAAAATTGTAACAATTGACCAAAAAAATCAACCATATTAACATTTGGAACGGAGGGAATGTTCGCTTAGGACATTAAAAATGTATGAATACGAATAAAATTGTAAGAATTTATGTTAATGTATTTTATAGGTATAAAAAAGTTAACGAGAACTCTAGACAAAGAAACAAGGAAAAAGCTCTGTAACATATTTACACTATCCCAAAGTTTGTACTATACAAACAAATTTTATTCGTTTTACACATCAACAATAGGCTGATTAGTGTTATGTACTCCGTATGATTAATCTGAAACATACACAAAAGCAATTGAAGTTTTTTTTCTAGATTGAGAGTATTTTATTACATGTCCAAAAACATAGCACACTTTGAATGGACAATTAGTTAACAAAGGAAAACTGTGGTGATAATTTAGACAAAGGATAGAAATACGAATCACACAATCCATATTTTTTCATTATATAAGATGAAACATAATTTGGGAAAAGACAAAAGAAGAACACTAACTTTGAGGCTAAAAAATTGCATTTCATATTTGGCAGATGAGATCATCTCAACAACGCACGTTTCGATCAAGAAATGTCACAAAACAAACACCTTAATAAGCAATTACATTAACCATACAATAATCAAATCGTGCCGTAGCCAGAAACTAAGATTTCATCTAGAGAGTATATGAAATATTTGCTTATTTTCCATAAATATGGCCGAGAGGCAGCTCAAAAACTCTCAAATGTGCAAAAATATAAAAAGGTATTAACCCCTGAGTGACCCATTCTGGAAGGAGAAAGAAAAAGGGAAAAAATTATTTGGACTGGAAGTGGCTGAGGAAATTATACGGACCGGAACCGGCTGCTAACATTGTCATAGCTCGGAATATCAAGAACTGAAAAAAAAGAGAGAAGGGGCGTAAATCCACAGCTAGCAAGGATGATGATGACGGTGATGATATCATAAACATAATAATATAATAACAAAAACAACAAAAATAATAATAATAATTACCATCTCCATATGACGCCATGGTGAGAGGAGACGATATGAGTTTCTGGGCAATTGATGCAATATCCTTTGCGGAAACTTCTTCAATGGCTTTCAAGAAATGGTCCACTGGTTTCCTAAGGAAACCGAAAGAAATTACACTTAGAATTCCTTAAAAACAGCAAAGTGTGCATTGCATATTTGCATTTCCCATGTACTCAGTTTACATGGTAAGATATTGCAGCATTTAGGGGCATATAACCAATATGTAGCTTCCCGGGTCATGATAAACAATAAATGCATAAAAAGTTTTCTTCGCGTTTCAGAAATATTGCAAGATATTGAATCATGTTGTTTGTATTAGCCAAAGAAATATGGAATTACCACTAAACCATTATTTATGTCAATATTCAGCTTGGTTAGCGAAAAGAGGGAATGGATATTTCCACTCCAAAGCCTCCCACAATGTGTTTTATAAGTAACAATGTTATTGAAAAATGAGTGGCATTAGTAATTTGTGGAGTGACAATGTGCATTTCAATGAAGAATGCTTTCCAGTATTTTATAACATGTCATCAGAATTACAAGATAGAAGTCGATTATTCTGCACAACACTAATAAAAGGTAAGGATTTGTGAGGAATATGTCAAAATTTGCACACCACCTCATACACCATACAGGCATACATAGAGAGAACATGTTTTGTTCTCACAAACATTATTCTTGTGTGTATGCACAAGACATCACATAGAAAAGACAGGTGTCTGTTAAAAAATAGGAACAAGATGGTGTACACAACTGTGGTGTACTGGTGTACAAAGGCATTTTCCTAAATTAAAGGAAAATACTTTTTGTACACTACTTGGTGCAAACACTACCTCCACATTTATTTACACAAAGAAGCATTTTTGTTCACTCTTTATGTGCAATCGACCTAACACTTATCTGTGAATGAAGGTTGTGTAAGAGTGGTGTACACCTAGTATCCATAGCATGACAAAAAACTAAATATGGAGGGCAAGGAATACTTTCCTAACAACCCACACCAAAAAAGGAGAGAAGCCCACTCATTTTGTTGTGTGCATTCAACCTGATGCTCCGCTCTTTTGCATAAACTATGTACCATTTTTGTCTAAAATTCAAGGCTAAACTTGGCATCAAACAGTAGAAAGAATGGTTACCTCTCCCCATATGTCAAAATTTGTCGGCCTATGTCTTCTGAAGCAACCATCTAGAAGATAGATATCAAGCATAAGAACATCAAAGTAAAGCAAACCTCTTGCAAATGAAACTAATACTTCAAGAGGATGACAGCATGTTCAATACCCTAGATTCTAAGTTCATTAGAATGGAAGATCTTGTTGCCTGTTTAGCACGATCAAGCTGCTTCTGGTCAACTGTTTAGCGAAAGGACACAAAGAATTGATCATTAGGTTTCTTCAATTTTATTAGATAAAAGGAAAATTTGTCAAGTCAGATATCAAACCTTCACCAGGATTAGCAATAGCAATAAGCTCTTTGACTGCAATATCAACAGCTTTTGATGAAAACTCAGATGACTGTTACATGAAATAAAGCCTTTCAGTTGTGCGATTTACTAAATGCCACATCAAAAATAAAAACCAATATAATCCCAACTCTGTTGAGCAGAGAAGGACCAAAAATATGCAACCTTACCCCTGTAAAAACAGAGAGGCTTCTGTAAGACCCTTGATACATTGCTGCATTTATTTCCCAAAACTTCATATAGATAAGTGGGAGGCAATGGAAGTTTAACGTGTAGTTCACTAAACGAAAAGGGAATAGAAGCGAAGTTTTATATGATGCCATCCCATATTCCCATTTAATATTTTTGTGACCAACTTGCATTTCATGTGAGATTTAGTACCCATTTTGTAGCCACGTGTGCAGTAGATCATCCGTATAAACCCTAATTTTTACCAAAAGCAAACTTAATCTAGTGTACCCGCAGAATTAGTTCCAAATGAGAACAGTAGAATTAGATGTACTTATCATGCTGAAGTTCTTGAAGATGAAATTTTGGTTATATTTTTTTTATTTTATGATTTTATCAATACAATCTGTTTTAATCTAGAGGTTATTTGTATGGCACTTGTACTGTACTGGAAAGGGTCCGCTTTATTTCCAGTACATTGACGAGTTTGTGGTAGCATACTGGAAGAATACCAGTCGTGCCGGCTCGTACAGGCTGTACATACAAAATTTCAGAGGTATATTGTTTCTTTTTCGCATTTGACAAGTTCCAAACCCACATTCCCTTTTATGCAGTGAAGTTTAACACTTTAACCATTCAAACTGGAAAGACTTGAATAGTCTAGGTAATACTCCCTCCGTCCTAAAACGTTCTTTCCGTTTCTGTTTACGAGGTTTGACCAACTTTATTTTCAATTCAATTTATTTGATTATAGGTGTAAAATTAAAAAATAAAATTTATATATATTTAAAAGCTACATCAAAAGTTCTACAAAACAAGAGGCGACAAGACTATTATTTTATCAAATAACTAACGAAAATAGTTAAAGAAAGTGATTAAAGTTTGACCATGTAAATAGTAACTGGGAAGAACGTTTTAGAACAGAGGGAGTAATGAATTAATTACAATAGTGCAATTGCTATACCTTAATTTATCTAAATTTTACTCCGTATTTGTTAACAATAATATTGTTGAATTGTTTTTGGATGCATATGTAGTAAACAGAGTATATTGTACTGAGCATAGTTTTATTATTTAAACTATAGTACGAAATTGGTCTTATTATTTCAATTGTACTTGTAATAGTCATAAGCATTTATTGTATTAGACATGTTATTAAAACTGATCCATTATGTAATGCATGTCAATACATTTTTTAATTAAAAATTTATAATGCATGTGTTAGTTCCAGTAAGCCACTCTACTATCCAAGTAGGGGTCTGCGTACACACACCCTCCATAGACCCTACTTTTGTTGGATTCTACTTGGTTGTGGTTCTTCTTGTTGTGATTGTGATAGTTCCCGTAAAAGAAATCCAGTACAGTTACATGCCAATCCAGTTCCAAACCGGTACGGCATTTATAACCTTGTTTTAAATATATACTCCGTATTTCTCAAAATTCAGCAGCTCCATCAACTTCATCAGCTTTAACAATTTTGGCCACAAGTTTCAAAATTTTCAGCAATTTCAGCCAAAGTCATCCTTACTGAGCAGGCCCCCAATCATATTAACTTCTTTTACCTTTTGGCATATTATTTACGGGAACTTTTTTGCATCAAATGTTCAATCATACTCCATATACTTATAGTAATATAATAAGTGCACTTACAGTGGTTGCCTGAATTCCAAACAGTCCGGAGCTATCGTAAATGCTGCTGAATGCAGAAAATGCTTGGACCTGTGGGTACTCATTCAAGACGCGGAGGTCTGGTAAAAAAACAATTTTAAGATAGAAAAGAAATCAGACAGGTAGAATACTGAAGAACACATGCTAAAAAAACATTTATATCCACCATGGATAAAATGCATGATTATTTAAATAAATGATCAGTCATTGTCGATCAGCTATGAACTTACATAGCCTTGAATACATTCCCTTTCCAGGACCACCAGCAGAGAAAGAACCACCCCCTCCCATAAGCATCTGTGAAGTCCTCACAATTAGAAAGCACAATAAAAAGATAAAATCCAAACAATCTTTGCAAAAGCACATGGCTTTATTGTCAGAAAATTAGGTCACTTCAGTCGTAGATGATGAGAGTGTACCTGGAGAACAGTCAAAGTCATTGCATCCTTTTCCTTTTTCCAGCCACCAGGAACTTCAAAAGCAAGGGCAAAATGAGTAGTCTGCTCAGAGCAGAAAAAAACTGTTAATGATTTTTTAAAAAAGCCATCATAAAAAGAACCCAGCAAAAAAATAGAATTCAGTAACACACCCCTGGTTCAGCCTGACATCGATAGTCACCTCCTACATATACTGGCTTAGGTTCCTTATGGTGAGGCTCACTACGTAAGTCAGATAGCAGTGGTTCTGCAATCCTCAACAATTCCTCATGTTCAACACCTGATGCGGCAAGTACCATTCTAGAGGCAGTGTAATTATCCTATAAAAAGGGTATTCAATCGTGAAGAACAGCAGAGTAAAAGTAAAGATGAAAAAAATAAAAAAAACAGTATTTCCAAGGAATCATTGATATGAACTCTCACAGCAACAAACTCCTCCAAAGCAGTGCCGTCCAACTTGTTAATTGAGGCTTCACTAGCCATAAGAGGGTTCCCAAAAGGTCCAGCATAACCTGCAGAGTGAATTGCCTCCAAAAGTAATGCTTGTGGGTTCTTGGAGAACTCGGCTATCTCGGGTTTCATTTTCTCAAGCTGCGCATATGAGATACAGAAACTCAAAACAAGATCCAAGACAATATATTTATTTAAAAAATAAAGTGAAGTCCATTTCTTTAATAACTATGACCAGATACCTGCTCTTTAACTTCCCAATCCAAAAAGGCTGGATTTCTCACTGCATCTATAAGCAATTCCACCATTTGCGGAACATACGATTTCAAAGCATCATAAGTGTATGACATTTGTTCTCTTGAGGCAGCTGCTTGAACGGTACCACCAATAGCTTCGACTTCTCGCACAATACGCAAGTGGCTACGGTTCAATGTGCTCTTGAAGGCCATGCGTTCCAAAAGATGTGAGGCACCAAATGTGTCTGGTGTTTCATAAATTGAGCCACTGTTGACATATAACCCAACAGATGCAGCAGGACTCTGATATAATGGATATATTGTGGTGTTAAAAAATTAAGCAAAAAACTCCTCAATGTGTTTTCAAACAAGCCAGAAAAAATGTATTGGGGCATACCGCTGATGCTTCTGAAGCAATTTTGATGCCATTTGGCAATGTCGTGATTTTTGTCTTCCCTGGTTCAACACGATCAGGTAATGGGGGTGGCAGGGTAATATCCTTGAGTGGCAATTCCAGAGGAGGAAGGGAAGTAGATCGTTCGCCAGTCAACCAACTAAATAAGCCGCCAATGGATGGTTTCGTTGCTACAGCAGTAGAACTTGCAAATCTGGTCAACAACCTATTGCTGGACCGGCCCTATCATAGCATTCGAAACCCATATATGTATCACTTTCCAGTCCAATCATTACAAACAGGCGCACGCTTTAGTCATTCCAAAGTTATAAGTAACACGGATTGGTAGTATATTTTGTACACAGAAAAAAATTGAACTACAGAGAAGAATTTTCTGTAAACATTGATTATGCATAAGGACGATTCCCGCATCTCAGTTACAAAATTTCCTCAAATCATATCTTTTCCAAAAAGCTTTCAACTTTTTCAACTTTCGATTTAAAATCCCTTGAAAATAACAGTTTTGGCAAAAGCAACATAAAATTTATCATAAAATCCCTAGAGCTCTCTTAACACACGGTTAACTCTCCTTCATTAAAATACACAAATCTGCATTCTACTAGGCCAAGAATCCAGTCATCAACGAACTACAAATCAGATCTATAAACAAACACATCGCTCATACACCGAAACACACAAATCCGGATTCTTTTCAAGCTCGAACTAACCATAACAAATCATCTAAAAAGCAATCAAAATATGCAAAAAAAAAAAAAAAAGCTAAACGAGACGGTGGCAGACCTTGAGGAATCTGGCGCGAGAAGCCGCTGTTCTATACATGATTCCGGCGATCGATTGATCGGGGAAACGGGGAAGAGTGACTGGTCGAGGGATGGAGATGAACGGCGCAGGAGAGGAGACGGAACAGGCTTGAGATTTGAGGGCCTTGAAGACCGGGAACTTGGGAAGGTGAAAAATGAACTATTCAGCCGTTAATTATGTCCCGAAAGGAGTGGTTATCTGTTACACTTGAAGCCCAAACCCAATTGTGTATATAAGCATCTTTGGATCGAATTGGGCTTTTAAGCTAACTCTCGATCGAGTGGCCCGAAAGAATCCGACCACAATTGCAGGTTGACATTAGAGGCCCACACTTTAATTTGAGATGTGCGCAAGGATCGAAGTGAACAAGCGGGATCGATATTTGAGTCCTAAATAGTACAACCGGTTGTACTAGAAAAATGGTACAGTTGGTATTACTGATTTTGGAGTAAAATAGTACTTATTCTCTCACAGAACATAAGTGTTCATTTTGAAGTTCATTTTGAAGTTTTACGGTACTCATTCTGAAATAATGTAGTGCTCATTATAAAATAATGTAGTGTTCATTTACGAATAACGTAAAATTTATTTTGAAACAAAGTAGTACTCATTCTCAAATAACTTAGGTTCCGTTTGGTACACAAAATTGATGGAATTGGAATTGAATTAAGAGTTGATATTCTACGAAATTGATTAGGATAGAATTGAATTCTTCACTTTTAATTCATTTTTGGCACTACCAATTCCAAATCAACATATTTTTGTGCTACCGAACAGCACAATTAGAATTGTTGTCCTCAATTCTGATTTCATAATTTGAATTCTGCTACCAAATGGAGCCTTAGTGTTGATTTTTAAGCAAAATAGAGTTCATACCAGCAATAAGGGCCTGTTCTTTAGGACTGAAAAAAAAATTTATGAGGAAGCTCAAACAGGCTTGATTGATTTTCAACATAATCAGAGACATTGGCCCATTGTGCGTCATTAGATTAAGAAAGTATGAACAAGTATTACATTGTCATGAGTCAATAGCACTAAAAAAATATGGGTGCTAGCAAATGGACCTGATTCAAGAGAATAAAGAGGCATATATGAGCTCATTCCAAGTATCAGGGACTCCAGGAAGGCACCAATGGCTGCAATCTTGCCGTTTGGTGGAAACCTTTTCGCCTTTAGTCACCATTTTCCCATAAATAGATGGATGGGCATCTTTGCGAAAATTGGTCAACCTCGTCACATTCAGTAGCACCACCTGCGTTTGCATCTCTTTGATCACATCCTCCACTATTTTCATTTTCAGAGGATAGCTGTCAAGGATGGTTCCGCTAAAAACTGGTTCAGTTTCACCATTACATGAACCACCAGAATCCCAATCCCCGCCTCTGTTTCAAAATTGGCAATCAAAGAAAATATCAACACATGATTCTCCAGAGATGCATATATAAGAATACAAAGTTCTGTCCACAGATACATACATACAAACCAAGTAAATTCCCACTAAAAGTAAAGTCCACGGGTAGGGTGTGTGTACGCTAACCTTACCCCTAGTCAACAGTTGAGAGGTTGTTTCCCCAGTTCAAGCTTTGTCCACAGGTATAGAGACAAAGAAAAAAGAGTCGATGAAATGAAGAACCGCAACATAGGATGCAAGACAGCAATGGAGCCAAATTGAACTCGAAAATATACAAATTAGTTGGTGCAAGTTTGAAAACTATTTAGCAGTTGGTGCTAAAATATATACAAAGAATACTCAGTCTAAGATCCATCCATTTCAATGTTGGCACTTTGTAAGACATGAGTTTTTCTTATTGGCACTTTACCATATTGATGTACCCGTATCAGTTTTCAGGAAAATAAAAATACATATTAAAAGCTATAGGCTTCAATTTTGAAACTGTAGGACCCAAAAATAAAGTGAAATATCCAGTTCTGGCTCTCATTACATTTTAAAGCCTAAATAGGCTTCAATCTTGAAAACTTTAGTTTCATTTTTAAGTGTGTTGGTCAGGCACCATTTGGCCATAAAAACTAGATGTATATTTCACAAAGAGCTGAAAGTTACCATTTGTGTGGTTGGACAATTTTTGTTTGCTGTAGTTTTAATTTTTCGTTTAGTCTACTTCAATACAAGAACTTTGGTTTGTACTCTGTACTAAAGAAGTTTTGCAAACAGTATTTTCGTAAGTGAAGGGGCAATAAAATCACCCTCTATCACAAAACAATCTTCTCGAATTCATTTTTTGTCTGTTTCAATATTTTAGACCAGTTCTCTTTAAGGAAAGCATTATGCGGTTCATATATTTTCTATCTCGTATACATAAATCTCAATCACACAATTTTTATTTTCTTAACTAAATGTTGATCAAGTCTGTTTTTAAAATTGAAGAAGACGAGGAGTACCAATTTGGAAAAGAGAATAATGCCAAAAAAACAAGTGATTGACTTCTTGCAGAAAAGTGTGCACCTCAACTATGCCTGGCACAAGCCTGTGTGATTCAGGTGATAAGCTCTTTGTGTGCCTTTGCCTGTGTGCCTAAGTACCTTAGTGCCTTTTTCTACCTTGAGTAAGAATATAACTTTTTCGAAAATACCTGAAATGAGCAGATGAGTAGCCTCTGTAGAAAACCTTTTTTTTCCGGTCCAGATGTTCATCTACCCAACTTGCCCAAGTCTTCAAAGCTATTCTATAAGCTTCCACTGCATCAAACTTGGGGTAAACATAGCTACCCACTTTATAGTAGTTTATACTGTAACAAAAGAAGACATATCAGATACATGCAAAGCTATTGGCTCATCTCAGAGCCTTCCATGCATAAGATTACAATGTACTAGTTTGTCAGCATATTTTGAGAAACAAAATGTTTTTAAAGTAGTTAAGATCTCCCCCGTGTGTAGCGATTCACAATTATAAGTAATTTAACATTGCATCATCTAGAACCAAATAAAATCATTGCGCAATTTGAAGACATTAAGGCTTAAGCCATACATAGACGAACATGAGAGAAGAGATTGTCTCAATTTCTATATCTTTTTGTGTGGGATTACTTTTTAGGAAAAGGCCATGTTAATGTACCCCCTAGCAGTCTTCCCGTGGGCCCACCAATGGCCAGTATTGAAAATTAGAATGTCAGCCTGCTTCCAGCGAGGAGCTGTTTTATCAATACGGTCAATTGATAAAATTGGATTCGAGTTACCATGTGCATTAATGCGCACTCCCTCTTTGACAAGAAAATGAGAACGCACAAATTCCACTGTGCAGTTGTAATCCTGTCAGACAATCAGGTTTTAATTCAATGTATTAATATTCATGCAAAATAATAAAGAGGCAATGGTCGTAATAGCAAAAAATCTGAATTTTAGTATTTATTATAGAATGAATTATATCATATACTTCGTATATCATTATTGACCTATATTTGAATGCTGGAGTATAAAATAATACTCCCTCCATCACATAAAGAAAATTAATGGTTGGACTTTCACAAAGTTAAAGAAAAGTGTTGAGAAGTGTGGTTGGAATTTTTTTTAGATGAAAGAGAAATTTTGTGAGCCACATGTTCATTTCTTTAAAGAGAAAAAAAGAAGTGTTTTTTAGGAAGCTTAAAAATGGAAAGCAGGAAGATTTTGGGGAACATATTGAATATAATATTGACCGTTGGAATTTGGAATCACCTCAAATTTGAATACGTAATATCCTCTTCCCTTTGTAATTTTATATCCATGTATCTCAGACATTTTACTCTTATTGCCAAGTCCTTCACGAAGAAGGCAAAGCAGTGACTCAAATTGGTTGCGATTCATGGAATCCCCAACAAGCATCAGCCTTTTCCCTTTCAGTCTCACCAAAAAGTCTGTTGCGTTAAATCTGCAGAGAAAATAATAAATCTAATGTCGACTGGCACATTAATATACTTGATACTTCGTACAATCGACAGCAGGTTTCCTGGAATAAGCAAGACAATCTGACTGTACAGCTCCATTGAATTACATAATAATGAATGACTAATTATTTAGTGATCTAGCATACGTGATACGATAAATTGGCACATCATGGGAACAAAAAAGACGGTAACAATGGGTCTGCTTTCTGGATTACATGGTCCAAATATACATTGTTCCAACCAGAGGAATTTTCTCCTCTAATTACGTATCTTTGCATGGAAGGAAAGCAATGCAACAGGTGGACACAAGACTTAAATGGTAGTTTTTGAAAGTACTGATTTACAACACTTTAATATCATTAAATAGAATCCTTTATTTTTGTTAATTAGTTCAGATTCCCAGATCATTAGGATGGCTTTCCTACTCTAGTTACACACACACAGTTTCTTATATATTGTAATCTTCTACCTTCTATAAATCACGGATGTTTTCATGTTAGAAAATTAAGAACTCTTGTTCTTGAGTAAAGGGTAATTCTCAAAGTTTCAAATCGCCAAATGACTGGGAGGGCTTTACTAGTTTAATTACACAATTTCTTCAATGTTGTAAACTTCTACTTTGCTTAAATTACGCAAGTTTTCAAGATCAGAAAATAAGAACTCTTGTTATTGAGTTCTAAGATTTTGGTTGCCACTGTATGAAATTCACCTTAAATGGGATTCTGGGAAGTAAGTGACCGAGCAAGGAGAAGGAGCTCCTCACCAACCTTCTTTGCAGATGCACCATGTAACTGCCTTACCCTCCTCACACTTCTTGAATTCTTTTTCTTCAGTGATCCCAAGGATTTGCCTCCTTCCTGAAGTTGTGACCATCACATCAATTTGAGAGGTCAGAACCGACCCCGTGGTAGTCTGCCACTACCCTCAATTACAAAAGGACAAAATAGAGAGGCAGTGAGAGGATTTGTTGAAGCATGTGTTATCCCTCCAACCTGGTCCGGTGCTTTGTACTTAAGGAGGATGTGTTATGGTGTTTTTGTGTCGACTCTAGGGCATTGAACACCCATATGTTGAAGGAAAAGTTCAACATTTTAGTAATTACTGAACTCCTTAAAGTTGCATGGTGGGCGGGTCTTTACCAAGCTCGACCTCTTATCTGGCTACCATCAAATTTGGATGGACAAAATAGCATTTCATACTCACGACCTACCAGTTTGTGTTGAAACAATAGACTTGGGCCCAATTCAACCCCAAAAGTTAACTCAAGAGGTTGAGGTACCCAAGCTATTAAATAGCAGCACAATATAAGGCTGCATTGCCGATGTGGGATGAACAAGTCAACACGCCCCCCTCACACGAGGCGTAGATTACTGCGGGCGCGGTCCCAACATCAATAGCTTAGCTCTGATACCATGTTGAAACAATAGACTTGGGCCCAATTCAACCCCAAAAGTTAACTCAAGAGGTTGAGGTACCCAAGCTATTAAATAGCAGCACAATATAAGGCTGCATTGCCGATGTGGGATGAACAAGTCAACAGTTTGAATATTTGGAAACGCCCTTTCCCGTTAGCTTATGCCTTATCGGCATTCAAAGCCATGATGAATGAGGTTTTGGCCTCTTATCAGCACAAATTTGTGCCTGTTATTTTTTACGAAACATTGATTTATAGAAAGACAATGGTGGAGCACCTCCAACGCCTTTGGGTGGTTTTTGAGCTCCTTTGCAACCAAATATGCTTATGAGGTGAAGAGAACAAGCCCTAAGTATGTGTTCAGGTTGAGTTTAGCTGTTGTTTCCGAGAACAAATTACCTCAAGTAACAGAGAAGAGTTCACCGGAGTTTCTTAGTCTTAAGGTAATATAGCTCAAGAAGCACAAAGAAGAAATGGAAATCACAGCCAGCTAACAATAATATGAATTGGGATATTTCATGTAAAGACAAATGCACTCTACAAAGAGAAGAAGAAAGAATCAACCTCGGAAGATCACATTCATCCGGCTTCCATCTCCACTTCAGATACTGCGAGTCTGGCCTGCCATTTCGCTGACAATCAAATGCCTCATCCACATAGGGGCAAGACCCGGGACTGTAAATTGGGTGTTCATCATCTTTCACCCAATTCCCTTTATACGGATTACACCTTTGATTCTCCTCTGAAGCTTCATTTCTCCTCCATTCCAATTCAGATGCGGACATGGACGCCACAACACTGCCCTCGTCCCCTTTAGATTCGGCCACTTCGCCTCCAAAAGCGTCGGAAGAAACGGATGAAGGCTGTTCGTCGATTTGATCGAAATCTGGGTCCGAAACGGCGGGGTTTCCTGACGGGATTGGTGAACTGTAGGCGCCATGGAATCGAGCTGGTGAGGATGGTTGAGGGGAAAGGAGAGACCCGGGGAGGTGGGTTTCTGAGAACACATCTCTGTAGACTGTGAGTTTGGGCTCTAGAGTCAGTCTGCTGAAATAGAACAAGATGATGAGGAAGAGAAGAAGCAATGCCGAGGCGTACAAATTGTAAAGGCCCTTCTGCTGCGAGGGAGGAGTGGATGAAGAAAATACTGCCATTGCAGTTAGCAAGCTCTGGAATGTCTACCTAAATAAGGAACATGGTAAGAGTTAAATAATGGGAAATGCCCAAAATAGAAATACTATTCCCTATTTTTTTAAAAAATATTGTTATATCTACTCTCATTTTGGTGAGATTCACTTCATTTATGTTAATTTGAAAAGTTTATCCTTTAGAATATAATAGAAGGAATTTAAATACTCCCTCCGTCCCTAAATAGATTACATTTTTTTTCTCTTTCCTATCGATAACTTTTTTTTGTTTACACGATTTCATTAAGTATTTGATAAAATAAAATATTCTTGTCACCTCTTGTTTTGTAGAACTTTTGACGTAGTTTTTTAATATGTAATTTTTATATCTTATTGATATATCAATTTATAAATAAAATGATTTCAAAAAGTAGGAAATTTTACTCCGTTACCCGCAATTTGTAATCAAATTGGGGACGGAGGGAGTACTATAGTAAGAATTAGGGATGGGTTCGGTTTTGACGGTTTTTATCCAAAACCAAAGACAAAATATAAGATAAGTTGGCGGTTTGGTTTGGTTTTGCATAAAAAAATATGTAAATCGTTGGTTATTTGATTTGATTTTATGCGGTTTTTTATTTCGGTTTTTTTTGAATTTTCTATTTATAAAGTGAAAAATTTATAAGCATTAAAAATTGTAAAAATATTAACTCGTTGAAGTAATAACAATATGTAGTTTCAATTTTACATAAAAAATATGTTTCGAGTGCCCAATAAACATCTACATGATTTCAAATACTCCCAAATATATCGTATGTAAATATCAATTACGGAGAATTTGTGGTTTTTAGGTATAATACTTTCATTTCCATTATAACATCAAAATTTTTTTACGTAAATATGTAAATTACTCGTATCAATTTTTAATGTTAATACAATTTTGTAATAGGATTAGTTATTGGTGTTTATATTCTTAGGTTTTTTAAAGTTTATAATATTGTTTAAAATGTTTAAATAATACGGAGTACTTAAGAAAATAACTTTAACCGATAATTTTATTTACATATCAAATATACTCATATAAATAAAGCGAAGTACCTAAGAAAGTTCGGTTTATTTGGTTCGGTTTTCCAAAGTGAAAATCAAAACGGAAACCAAACAATAATGTTTGGTTCGGTTTTTTTACATCCGCTTTCGGTTTTTTTCTAGCCCATTTCGATTGGTTTGGTTTAGTTTTCGACTTTCCCGACCCAGCCCTATTAGGAATTTGGATACAAGCCCATATTTACTGCATACACACTAATAGTGTTATCATTTTTGTAACATATAACAGTGATTTTTTTCTTCTACGCCTTTAATGTATCATTCAATTAATTTTTTGTGTTTTTCACAAACCAAAGAAATCTATAATAAAATTTATTTGGTGTAGTACATTTTAATAATTTAATTAATAATTATACAAATGATTACCATAATGTTAAACATAATAAAAGTATTGTAACAATTTTAACCTTAGTTTCAATTAGATATATTCAGACTAAATCAAATGCATTTAGATCATTTCATTTAGATCAGATTATAACTTAAAAATTCAAATAAAAATAATCAAGAATAGAACACAACCTAGTTTAAAGGTAAAATTGGATATTTGTCATAGATGCAGTAGGTTTAGAGGCGAACGTTGGCAAGCAACGACTCTGCCTCCCCAACAGTCCCAATTAAGATCATTGGGCATTATATAACTTTTTTTTATTTTTAACACAACAAATACAAGAAACAAATACACACAAAATATTCTCATTCTCTCTATAATTCCTCCAAAATATATTATATTTCTTTTAATTCTTTCTACAAAATCTTCGAAAAATGGGATCATCATCGTCTGAGGATGAAAAAAGAGCTCTTATTTTTCGTTATTTCGCGACATGTTGTTCTCAATTGTGGCAACAAAGCTAACGAGAAGAAACGAATCGTCTTGATGCCCGACCTAGCGTGAGCGTTTAAACCGTGATCGGGCGGCTGCACACGCTTAACTACTCAACGCCTACTTCAACACTTGGTGCGTTTACACACCGGAGGATTTTAGTAATCGGTTTTGGATTAGTCATTCATTTTTTTTACGCATACTCACCGATATTAACGCAAGGTGCCTTTGTTCACCCATCACTTTGATGCGAGAGGCCGACACGATTTTAGCAGTGTGTAGAAGTGCACCGCCGCGCTTCGTCAAATAGTGTACGAGCTAACATCTGATATGTTAGACAAATATTTGAAGATATCGGATCGAAGTATCAGGTCATGTGTTTATAAATTTTCTAAGCTATTATTCGACTTTATCATAAAAGATATTCACGTAAGTCGATAAACGAGTGACATTGAGCAGTTCGAGACTAGGCATGTCGCTAAATACGGCATTGTCGGCATGCTTGGGAGCATCAATTGCACGCATTGGGAATGGAAAAATTGTCCCACTGCATGACATGGTCAGTTTTCTCGGGGTGATTATCTCAAGCCTACTATCATGCTCGAAGGTGTGACTTCTAATGACTTGTAATTTTGGCATACTTTTTTTGGTACTGCGGGTTTGAACAACGATATCAATGTTCTTGATTAATCGCCTGTTTGTTACGATTGGATTAATGAGACTGCACCAACTCGTCTTTTGAGCTTAGAGGGACGCTTGACAAGCGTGAATATTATCTTGTTGATGTAATATACCCGGATTATTCCACAATTGTCAAGTCCCTTTCCGAAACAACGAGTCTTAAACGCTAGACTTACAAAAAAGCTCGTTAAGCGGTGAGAAAAGATATCAAATGAGCCTTCAGGGTGTCGAAAGATAAGTGGGACATTCTAGATCATTCGTCCAAGTGTCATTCTCAAACAAAAAATGAGGAATATCATGTTAGCATGTATTGTTCTTCATAACATGATCATAGAGGATATCAAGTTTGCAATTTGTCATTATAACCCGGACGAGGAGGTACCCACACAAGAAGAAATTAATGAAGAAAAGAAACGAAGAAACTGCCAAGAAATTTGAAGTCGAGAGATTCACAATGCACTAAAGGCAGATTTGAATTAAAATATTTTTAGCCACTCGAGTAATCACTAATTTCATCGTAATGTAATTTTTAATTTTTTTATTTATGTTGCTATTATTCAAACTTATTTTATTAATATAATTTTTTTATTAAATGTATTTTTTATTTAATAAATTATTATTGTTTAAATTTAATTAATTAATCAAATGTTATTCATTTAATTTTACAAAGAAATTTGAAGACTCAATTTGAAGTCCCAAGAGAACTCCAAACCTATTTGAATGAAATTTTAATGTAAGTATGAGAAGTTGATTATAATTAGGCCTTATTACTGGTAAAATTTATGAGATTCGGTAACACAAAAGCATAGATTCTGTTTGGACGTGGAAATTCTGATTTGGATGGACGGCTTCAAATTAATAGCATTAGAGCACTGTTTGGTCTTCTTTCTGCTACCAGAGTTCTAATAGCATTATAGTACTGCTTGATTTTAATTTCGAAGCTAGCGACAAGGAGCTTCTGGGGGCTGCAGCTTCTCATTATCGGAACAGGGAGCTGATTCCGGACGGCGGCAGGAGACATTTTTTTCGGCCGGCGGCAACTCCCATCGGAATCTGACTTGACTGAATCAGCTGCATCCGGTTCCATCCATTTTTTTAAAACACTTTTGTAGTTTATTTGTAAATCCAAACTCACTCATAGATTGCTAAACATTGTTTTTCTTTATAATTTACTCAGTAAAACTTTAGATTTGGGTGTTGCATGTTTTCAAGGGTTTGATGATCACTATGGTCTTGTTTTGTTCTAATAATCTTGTCTTCCAATTCAATTCCTTACCCAAAAAAAAGATTCACTTATGTTGTAGGTGGTGTTTAATTAACAAAGTATTTGACTCCCCTATAACTATCCCTTGCGGGAATGACAAAAATACTTGCTACTTACTAAGTTACTATAACAATACACCTAAAAAAGTAATTAATCGATCTCCTTTCTTATACTATTGTTCTTTATCACTGGCTAGTTAATCATGATTTACTTATAGTCACTAACTACTTGTGTACGTGTATTTCTAGTAATACGGTCGATGGGAGTGTGGAGAAATGGGTAATACTTTGAAGGAATTGTGGAGCAAGAAGACAATATTGAGTCTGGGTTTGGGACAAGCTCTGTCTCTTTTAATCACATCTACTGGCTTCGCATCCTCTGAACTAGCCAGAAAAGGTTTTTTGGGCTCTACATTTTGAATTATTTATGATTCTGGTCGAGTAACCGCTATTAATTTTGACTATTTAATACAGTCCCTTTATGTTTTATGCAGGAATTAACGCCCCCACTTCTCAGTCTTTCCTCAATTATGTGCTCTTGGCGTTGTTCTATGGAGGCATCATGATATACCGAAAGAAGCCTCTCAAGGTTTATCTTTCTCTCTTTTGGTGTTGTTACTTGTTAAGGTTGAGTACGTGCGGTACTATTAACTAATCTGGGTTATACATGAAAGGAAAAACCTATCATTACTGATCTTTTCCTGTCTGTTGCATTACAAAAACATTCTCTATACAGTAGCAAAGATTCTACCATTATTCTTTACCTATTAGGCTTTGTTGGTTCTTCATAACAAGCTCAAACTTGCAGAATTTTGCATATAAATATTTTGGGTCCTTTTTATTTTCATTTATACAACCTCTTCTATAGCATTCATATGGAAAAGTTAAAATGTCATAGATCTTACTAATTTCTACCAATTTTCTCCATAAGTTATATCATTTGAATTTATCATTGTCATCTCTGCAATGCATCACCATTCACATTTTTTTGCGCACCTAAGAATCTTGTGTAATATTCATTTCAAGGCTGGAGACTTTGTGATATTGAATTTTATCTATATTTGTGCAGGTGAAATGGTATTATTATATCATTCTCGGTTTGGTTGATGTAGAGGCTAATTTTCTAGGTAATGAAATCCATGTTGCCCTTTTTATTTAAAACATTTGTATGTATTCTGCATGCACCTTACTAGTTTTACATTTCAAGTCTAACTCTAATCATTATTAATGTTATCATATAAGATCTAACACAATTTCCATAATGATATGTGAGCTCTCAATTATGTGGTTGTGCTTGATACGTTTAAATGTTTATAAAAATGCCCAATAATATTTTGTTGCAACATTTGCTAAAAGTTTTAGATGCTTGTAAAAATTGATGGAAGATATTATTTGCATTGAATCCATTGACAATAAATCTTTACTATTCCCAAGTCTATGTGTCACATGGTTATTTTATGTTGGAAGTCATTTACTAAGGTAACCTTCTGCATTGATTTACAGTTGTGAAATCTTATCAGTACACGTCTCTAACAAGTGTCATGCTACTGGATTGTTGGGCAATTCCATGTGTCATGCTTTTTACTTGGATTTTCTTGAAGACGAAATACAAAATCGGAAAATTCATTGGTGTTTTTGTCTGTGTTGCTGGTCTTGTGCTGGTTGTCTTTTCAGATGTACATGCGGCAGATCGATCAAGTAAGTAATTTCAGAAGTATGAGAGTCAATGCTAATGTGATTGTGTTCCTTTTTCTGCCTAGAGTAGTTTGTTTCTGGGTGCTCCTGATGCTATTCTCTCCATGTGTACACTATATTTGTGTCCCATGATCCAGCTGTTTTTTATTCTTCTGTCTCAAATTCAGTAATTCCTTCAAGGGAATTAATATTCTTCTATATACAACAACAGGCACAGTATACTCTCATCTCCATTGGGCTTTCATTTTCTAGTGTTTCTCACTTTCTCTCTCTTTTTCTAATTATAACAAATTTTGAAAGAGTATTGTGAATACTTCATATCCTTTAGTACATTACATCTCTGCCTGATAAGCATAATCTTGGGTTAAGGATGTGCTAAACGTATTTAATTGGGTTAAGCCCGTTAGGGAATCATTAGGATTATGGAAAAGGGTTTCAATATCTAACCAATTAATTAATATCTTCTGCTTATAATTATTTGAGTTTTCAAAGCTTTGTTATCTTACTAGAAATGTTTGAAATGTGTTCCTGTTCCCTACTTCTCTCTAATACATAGTTATTAGAGGCACTCCTCCAGGTGTTAAGGTAAGATTTCAGGCTAGTCAGATGGAAGAGGCGACCCCGACTGCACACCTTTCACGCCGTAGTTTTGGGCGCAATGCGTTTGCCTCTAATGCCTATCATAGATTGGGAGTCTGGGCCAAATTTGTTTTTTAAAATGTCGGGACTGGGCTGATTATTTAAAGACTCCTTAGTGGCCAAATGCTATCACTACATTGCACCTTGAACGAGTAGAGTTAACCATAGGTGACCAGGTAAACATCTTCTCATTCGAGTCAATTAACATCTCCCCTCAGTCAGCAGCATCTTTCTGCATCTTTTGCCAGTCGTCCGTCATCTTGGTATGTGTTTGTGTACACACACACATACATTCCGTCCCATAAAAATCTTGTCTGGCTTTCATAGAGTACAAGGAAAATGTGGAAGAGTGAAAAGTTTGTGCTTGGAATTTGTTTAGATGAGAGAAACTTTTTGAGCCACATGTTCACTTCTTTAAAAGGAAATAAAGTTAACAAGAACTTTTTTTTGGATGTTTAAAAAAGAGTGTAGGAAGTTTTTTATGTGACGTAGGAAGTATATAAGTTCAGGACGCGGTCGCCTTGTCTCTTAGTCCCTCCATCTCAATGTATTCCTTCAATTTGACTTTTTTTAAGTCAAACTCGATGAATCTTATTCATCAATTAAATAAGAACTGAATTGCATATTAATACAATACAACATTGTTTTGAAAGTACTTTGCAAGATAAATTTACAATTTTGTATTAATATACAATGCCATTTTTTATTTAATTGGAGATCAAAGTTAGTTTAGTTTGAATGTAAAAAGTCAAATGGGAAGATCATTTTCGGACGGAGTAAGTATATTTTTACTACATAATAATGACATTTCTGACTTGCTTGAAAATTAAAATGCCTATTGCTCATTTGCGCCCCCCCTGCGCGCACACACACACAATATATATTTGTGCATGTGTGAATTACTTCACCCTGTTTGCCTTTTAGTCTCCTGGCTTCTTGCCTGATTAACTACCTCTCGCCCGCCTCTTGCCTTTCGTAACCATGCTCTTATGGATGTAGGTGGGAGCAACCCTATCAAGGGAGATGTACTTGTAATTGCTGGAGCAACACTGTATGCTGTGAGTAATGTGTGTGAGGTAAGAAAATTTTGAGTATAGTTCATACTTCATAGTGGCACGTGTGAATTCACACACTCACTTTTTAAACTGAAATAGTATTTCTTTGCTATAAGAAAGAATCATTCTTTGCTAGTGCTACTTGAAAAAAGAAATGCTTGCTCGAATTCATAAAAAGTATATTTGTCAATCTAAACAACAACAAACAACCCATTAATATCCCACAATAGTAGGGTCTGGGGAGGGTTGGTGTACGTATACCTTCCCAGGAAACAAGAGAACAGACAAATCAAGCAAAATTGACAGGCAGGCAAACAGAGCACATGCACAAACCAATCAATATTGGAACTCCTATTTTAGGACTGGAGATTATCCGACTAAAAAAATAAGTAAAATTAAAACCGCTTTGAGCTCTATTTTAGCATTCAAATATGGGGAATACTAAAAAAATATGTTTTTCTTAATTGTCAGATGAAACAATTTAAAAGTTTCAGAAAGCACGCTAGTGTTCTCAATCTGGAGAATTATGATGCTCCATTTTAACAACATGCTCCATAGTGAGCATGCCGGCATGCTTCATATAATTGCTTGTTATACACTAGTCTTAATATTTTCTTCACTATTCTAGGGAATCTTATTTTAGCTTTCTATCCTCATTCACTTGTAACTATTTTCTTGATTAATAATCTTTGCAGGAGTTTTATGTTAAAAGTGCTGATACAGTTGAACTCATGGCACTTTTGGGTGTCTTTGGTGCCATCTTCAGTGCTTGCCAAATGTATCCTTTTAGCCTTTTAATGAAAATATAAATTTCATGTTATTCGTCGTGATTATTTAATGGAAGTTATTCATGAGGATTACTTACTGCATGAGCTAATTCTTAAATGGTTGAAACTGATATGTATAGTTAAGGGGTATATGTTCTTATGTTGTTATCATCAATATGAATTCTTTAATCAATCCTACAGAAGCATACTTGAGCGCAATGAATTGAAGTCTATTCATTGGACATCGGGAACAGTATGTGTCTTGGCCATCCCTTGTTTTTTTTCATGTTCACTGTTCTATACAAGTGTGCATTACTCCATATGCAAAAAGATGCTACGAAAACAAGTACCATATTAGTATTTGACCTTATTAGGCTAATTTCATTCAGTTTTTATTATTTTTTCCAAGTTCACTGATACCCCCGAAATCTCAAAACTTTTCGACTGAAGATTGGACCAAAAGTATAGGGCCCTGAACCTGACCTGAAAAATCGGGACCAAACTGGACCAGATCACAAGGACCAAAATCATATACTTAATTTGTAAGAAAACCCAACATTTCATGTTCTAGAGGAGCTCACACTCACATTCTACCACAACAATCACATTCTGAATTTAGACTACACTAAAGTTGTATACTAAAAGTAAAAATTTTAAAGCGCTACTAATATTACATAGTACTAATGTTAGAATTGTTTTTTTCTTTTGAGTAGAATAACCCTGCGTGTTAGAACAAAAAGTATGATTGTTTGACACTTAATGCCCACAAGTGTTTTAAAACTGTAGGTTAATCTCTGTTTTTGTAATATTACATAGTACCTTTTGACTATTGTTTTTATTGACATGCATTTCATTATCTTGTTTCAGACATTTCCTTTCATTGGATTTTCACTGGCAATGTTTTTATTTTACTCAGGAGTTCCCATCTTACTCAAGGTATGCTCTTGGTGTTTCTCAAATCCTTAATTTTTTCTAACCAATTACAGCTTACCCATTGTTTTTTAAACCTAAATATTTAGCCTAATCTTTGTTCTCAAACTGCACTAGCTATCAAATCTATTTAACATTGATATACATGGAGGCAGACTATTTATATGTAGCTACATATTTTCTTTGTTGCTTAAATGCTGCATTATTTTTTATACAACTCTTGTCCTTAGAGTTTTCATCTATTATACTCTTGTTTTTGTGTGACATTGATTTTTATTGTCGCCATTGCCATTTCATATTGCAAAATCACGAGTATCACATATGGTGATATTGGATGACACTTGAGCTGCAAAGATTATATTTGGAATATTAAAATGAATAATTTTGCTTGTATTAGATAATAATAGATATTGGTAGAACTATGATCCTGAAAATTCATATGTGCAGATTAGTGGCTCAACCATGCTGAACCTGTCCTTGCTAACATCTGATATGTGGGCTGTCTTTATTCGCATTTTTGCATATCATGAAAAGGTTTGTTTTCTCTCAACATATGATTGTGAATGTCAGAAATGGATTGTATAAAGCTATCAGAGTTAATATGCTGCTTCAAGTAACATATTATAATGACGAAACCTGTTTTCTTCTCTAGGTTGATTGGATGTACTTTGTTTCCTTTGCTGCGGTTGTTGTTGGGCTCATTGTTTATTCTGGGTATGTGATATTGCCTCTTTGATCAATTTTGTTTCTCTTACTCACGGAGTTGTGGGGCTGAGGGTAAAATTTAATTTGTTCTTTGCTTCAAGTAATGTTTGAATGATAAATCCAATTACTCCGTATAATAAATATACATACATACATACTAACTCGTGCTCTCATTAGACATATATGACCAATTCTGTCAGACGTCTGAGCCTCTCGAGAGGTTGACCATTTTGACCACATCATAATGTAGCGGCTCAGACCATTCACGTTGAATAGAATTGGTCACATGCACGCGCACGCGCACACATACGCACAGGGTGCGGTTGAATGACTCTTATCGTGAGAAATGAGAATGATGCATTTTTGGTCCATCGCGATGCACATTACGTTTGTGCTAGTGCATATTTCGTGGTGGCGACAAAGTTTACTTATTTACAAAAATGTCAGTGTTTTCCCAGATTTTTCATAAATTTTCAATTTTTATTATCCCTTAGATCATATATCCAATGCACTATATGCGTTCTCATTTCTTTCATGAAGGACCATTCTCATTTCTCACGTTAAGACTTGTTCTCACTTGAACTGCACATTGTGTGTGTGCGTGTGTTATTTTGACACCAACCATCGGTTTCATATTATGACATTTGGCGAAATTGGGGTACCTATGGTGCATGCTTTGTTTGAAAAATTAGTGGTTCCTATTCTCTAATCCCCCAGCCCCCTCCTGTATCGGTGAACAAGAGGGGGGAGGGGCATGGGGGTTTAGGGGGGAGTACGTACCACTAATTTTGGTGTCAAAATAACCAAGGTATATACATGTGTGTGTGTGCGCACACACACACACATCAAGCTTAGGTTCCCGCAACCCATAGTCAAATTGTGTTTGTTAAGTCACTCGAGTGTTTGTCAACATATACGGTTCAGAATCTTTAGAACAGTAGAGAGAATGTATTGATCCTCTGAATTTATATATGGGTAAACGTGAGTGAATCAGATCAAAGGAGGATTTTGAAGGTGGATAACAGACACGATAGCATCTTTTGTGAACTGTGTGTTTCTGCATGAATAAATTCACGGGCGATTGTCATCCTTGGTGTCAAACTTGGTGTTATTGTAGCATGAGTGAGGGTACCAAATGAGTGAGGGTTGGGGGTTAATTACATTGAAGGGTCAAAAAGACATTTAATGCCCACGTATTGATTACTCCGTATCATTCAAGGAAATGGACAGAGAAACATAGGCCTGACTGAGGGAACTTTTATATCTTCAGATTGTAGCTTCTTGAGTGCACTAGAGTATAAACCCTTTTAGCCTGAAGTGATGAATACAAGTGGAGAGACCCTATGCTCATACAGAGTTATACTCCGTAAACTTATAATTAATCCTTATGGGGTGATAGAAAAACTAGGGCTTAAAGCTTTTGTGAATTTCTTGTGTACTAATTTTAAGAATTTCTTTTAGCACTAACACAAAAAACAATGTGTGAATTTGAATATCAGAGCGGCAGAGGTTGCTGAACAAAGGAAACAACCTGACGAGGAGGTTGGTTCGGGTCACTTCATCCAAAATGATGCTGCTGCAACTAGCAATGCATTAGGTGCTGGTGTGAGAAACGATACATTAGCAAAGAAGTGAGATTTCGAATTCTGTTTTCTTGCCTTGGCCTATGTTTTTTTTTTGTTCGTCAACCCATTCTTCTCTCGTCCATAAAGTGAGACTTTCTCTGTCTCCAAATAAAATTTTTACTCGTAGTTTTTTCTTTTGATTGTTTCTCGTAAATAAAGTCCTCATTCTTTTTTTAAGGAATAAATTGTGGTTGCCTTTGTTTCTTTAAATTCCAAATTCTCACACACAATCCCATATTATGTACCAAAAAAACACAATCCCATACTAGGGTTTCTTAGAACAATGATGTTGATATGAGCAAGGAGGTTAAGATGTAAATCCACGCATTGTATTTTATAATCCCCCCCCCCCCAAAAAAAAAAAAAATTAGAAACAGTACTCAAGGCCCTTTAGATGACACATTCTAATACGGAGTAATGTTTACTAGCTTGGAGATGCATTGGTAAAAACATTTGTTATGTTGTGAGTAAGAATGGACATGGTTTGGTTCTGGTTCTCTCGGTTTTCTGGGGTGAAACACTATTCGAAACAAAGTAGAGGCAATACCATTCTAGTTCTAGACTGATTCCGATTTTGGGTTTAAATTTTGTTTTTTGCATTGGAAAAAAATGTTATGTATTTCAATTCTTTCGTTTGTAGGTCTTTTGAATCAATGCTGGAAGTGCCTTAAAAACAAACCAAAAAAATTGAAGAAAAAAAAAATAAAACCAAAACCAACAGTTTCGGTTCCCAAAATGGAGGAATGGAACCGGAAACCTTCTCCCGATGGCTCGATTTGGTTCCCAAGAATCTCTTATCGGTTTGGTTTTGGTTTTGGAGCCCCGGAATTTGTTTCGGTTTCAGTTCAAAATTAGAACCATGTCTACCCCTAGTGAGTGAAGTAAAAATGTTGAAACTTCAGTAAATAAATGCTTTATCATATTTCACTTGATGAATTCAACCTTGGGAGTTGGGAACTATCTTAAAAGAATGCAAGCCATGTGATTTTAAGACATATGCAAGCCATGTGATTGTAAGGCATAGTTAGCCTAATGGATAACAATGGGTTTCTTCAAAGCTGAAGTAGGCAATTGTCGACATCCTTATCGTGTCGAAGATTAGGAACATATTTGGCTCCAACAAATTAAACTTTGCGCAAATTTGTTCGATATATATATGCTGTGTTCCCCATAGTTATCAAGGGGTTGTGTACTTGTGTTGGTCCCATTCTTCAGAGAACATAGTGCAACCACAATACATGCGTATGTGCAAAACAATATGGGTAATTTACCTAAAGTTTTAATATTTGTAACATAAAAATTATTTTCAAGCACTTCACTAAATTTTTTCTTGCAAAATTATATTCATTTTTTCATTTTTTGAAAGAAACTCTGCAATTCTTACTTAAATATCATATATACAATCATAAAATAATTATTATAGACGGAGTATAATAGAATAAAACTTTTAAAAATCACCTTAAATAAGACTAAAACATAGAAAAAGTATCAAAATAGGACTTCCATATTTTTATTCCCGAAATAGGAGTTCACACTCTGGTAATGTGGAGGTAACGTGGCATTGTACACGTGCACATTACTATACTTTTTGGCAATGTACATGACCACGTTTGGTAATGTAAATGCATTTTAACTCTTATTTCGGGAATAAAAACATGAAAAGCCTATTTTAGTATATTTTCAATATTTTATTCCTACTTTAGCCTTTTTTCCTAAAACTATTCATATCACAAGTACCATATGTATTAGGAGTATATGCAAATTCAACTTTAGTCTCTATAGTCTATACATGTGCGAGGCATTGAGTTAAAAATAGTTAAGCAAAAAAAAAAAAGGTCAAAGAAGCTAAGATTGGTTAATTATATTGTTTTGAGTGAGCTAAAAGAATCAATTATATATATGGTTCTCCCTAGCCTTTGAATAATTTTCACCTGCTTTTGTCACACAATTCTCAACCTCTTTTGCAATATTTTTTGGACAAGAAGAATAATTAAATTTGAATTGTTGTTATTCTTTGGTCTTTGCTGATTCTTTAACATTTTGGGCTGTCTCACTCTTTTATGTACATGGCCACAAAACCTTTATTTTTCTTTACCCACTTTATTTAGTTCACCCTTAGATTCCTTGTTATTACAACATTAACCGAAAACGAATATTATTATTCCCAATGTAGCTAACCAAATTTAGAAAATACGTACTTCCATTTTTGAGCTATATTGTTAATTAGCTTCTTGTTGTTGGGCTCATATTTAGATCAGAGTTAGTATTTTGATGTTTATTTTTCAAAAATGTCATTGGATGTGATGATAAAAATATGATGTGATGGGTAAAATCAGGATGCGATGAATAGATTAATAATGAATAGATGTGATGTGATAGGTAATTTAAGAATTAGCATGGGTAAATGTGACTTTTTAATACAAATGAGAAATATTTTTTTTTGGAACAAATGAAAAAGAAAGAAGAAAGAGTTTGTGGGGCGGAAGAGCATTTATATACTTCTTCTCTTCCAAATTCATTTATACTCATCAAATAACGTGCAAAATTCTATTTTTTAAAATAATTTTATCTATAAAGTGGTATATAAATAAAAAGTATAGATTACATAACTAAAAACTACATAAAAATTTTTATAAAATAAGATGTAACAGAAATATTTTATTTTATCAAATGATTTATAAAAACATAAGAGTAAACAAAAGTTATCGAGAGACTCAAATACTAGGGATAGAAGTGTAAATCATTATAGAACAAAATATATATAGTGAAAGAAATGAGAATACATATGATCCATTAGATTTAAGATCAACAAGCTATTAAAAATAAAAAATCTAACAAAAATTTGAAAAAAAAACGGTGGTAAATGTGTGAATAAATCAAACTTTTGTGCAAGTGCTTAAAATGCACTACTACAAAAGTAAAATGCATTGTGGTGGCCCCAAAACGTATCATTATCACCATAAGATCTAATCTCACAGTAATGTCCATTCTTACCTTGAACCACACCTACAAAATCTTTTTCCTTTCGTTTTTTTTTGAATTCCCTAAAACACTTCAACTTTTTATTAAAAACCACTTTTACCCTTACTTTTTCATACCCTACCTATCACATCATACTTTTTTACTAATAACCAAACTATCACATTTTACTTTTACCCATCACATCAGAGACAAAATTGGAAAGTCAACCAAAATTACACTTTTCTTATTTTTGTCCAAAGTCAAAAGTGGAAAGGTTTAAATGAACGAAGGGAGTATATGATTGGTTAAAGTAACAAAACATTCAATCATAATAATCAAATGGATGGAATAATGTAACCTCAGAGTAGATTATTATGAATTGCAAGGACTCCTCGAGTATATTTCAGTAATTCTTTGTTGTAAATAATAAATAAATAATTTAATTTGAGACGAAAGAAATTGAAAAATATATATCGCACTGCTGCACTATTGCAAAAATGGCAAAAAACATTATTTTTATTTTGGGTTCGTTAATAAAAACATATACTCCGATAATCAGAATTGTAAAAATAATAAAGAACGCTTTATTGATTCAATGATAGAAGAGGAATACAAAGTATGTATTTATAGGTGGAGGAATATATATTCTAGAATCCTCCACATTAATGGCTAATTATATAAGGTAATATTATATAATAATAACTCTAACTATAATAGGTAACAACCATAATTATAATATATAATATTAAATATATTAAATAATTGATATATTTAACATGCTCCCAACGTCCTAAACGGTGAAGATTGAACGCCAACTTTACTTGAATCGTAACCAGAATTGTAATAAGAAGCAAGAGCCATATCTTCAGCTAGAGTAGACTGAATGCATCCGGCCTGAAAGAGAAGAAGAAAGATTGCCAGGAAAGAGAAGTGAAGGCGCTGATGAAGAGAGGAGAAAAGCCGCTGCGAACATACTCATATTGCTGACGTCGAAAGAGGGAGAAGGTTGACGCACGCTGGAGTCGTGCGCGACTGGTTAGAGAAGAAACATAAGGAATGAGGTACTGCCGGAGATGCATGTTGACTGAAGATCTACCCACTAATTGTGCCTCATGTTACTCTCGAGTGAACAGTTGCAATCTTGGCGCCATGAGAGGAGTAGGAATTGATTTAGACCTCTTCTTTTTTTTTAAAGTCGTCGGACAACAAAAGAAACTAGAAAACTTTATAGTTTCAAGAGATGGTGAAGAATTTGGGTCAAAGGAAAACAGTGATCCGGCGGGCGGCGGTTTATGGCGGTGCCGCCCGCCAGAAGCGAAAGCGGAGAAATTTAGTTCACCAAGAACGGTGGCTCTGATACCATGTAAAAATAATAAAGAACGCTTTATTGATTCAATGATAGAAGAGGAATACAAAGTATGTATTTATAGGTGGAGGAATATATATTCTAGAATCCTCCACATTAATGGCTAATTATATAAGGTAATATTATATAATAATAACTCTAACTATAATAGGTAACAACCATAATTATAATATATAATATTAAATATATTAAATAATTGATATATTTAACAAGAATAATAAGTAACAATGGTGGTGGTGGTGGTCCATCAAGTACACATTTCATTTGCCTTGGATATCAAGCAAGCACTATTAATTGCACTAATTTGTACCCAAATATTAATTATGCCAAGAGAATGATGATCAGCATTCATTCTTAGCTCGAAATCCATGTGACTGATTATTGTCTAATTTTAATTTTAGAGTGATGTTTACATGTTCTCAAGATCTACATTTTAAATGTAAATCTTCTAATATTTTTTATGAGCTTGCATATGGATATTTTCCTTTTTGTAAAAGACTTACTCCGTACTTTTTATGCTACAAATAAACTAAGATCCATAAAATGAGAATGAACATTGGGTCTACCGAAGAATTTGCCTTTAATGTTTCCTTTCATTGCATCAAATTTCCACACTCGTATTACTCCTTACGTCCCTAAAAAATTTACCACAATTTGTTTTTTTGTCAAACTGTGGCACTCTTTGACCACGAATTATAGAAAAATATATTTAGCTATAATATAAATTTAGTAACATTGGGTATATTTAAAAATATAGTTTTGAAATACCAAATTTTATAATATTTAATAATTTAAACTATATTTAATTTATTGTAAAAAAGTGACACGGTTTAAACAAAAAAATTAAACTATGACAATCTTTTAGGGACAGTGAGAATTATTTAATCCGTATTTGTTTTATCCTATAAACAGTCTGGATTGAATTTGTTCCATCGGGTAAAATTAAAGAATGGATATGGGAATTCTTCTTAGTTAGATGCAAAACTTTGAGCCCATTTAATTTATGATGTCTAGAGATATAGAAGCGTATCCTTTTATAGTGTTTGGTAAAACTAAAAGAGATAGTATCAATTTTGATATCTCTCGTTATCATAAATCTTACAAATAGAGTGTTTCAATATATCTCGAATTCTGAAGACATCAATATGAGAGTTTGATATATCTAAATCGTTGACTATTCCTTGTGACTGGCTATCATTGTTATCACCAATCACCTCCGTTGCCGGTCAACCCCACCTATTACTCATTAAATAATTATTTTAAATTTCTCTGAACAACTTCGTTTTAGATTTTAAGACTCATACTTCCTCCATCCCTAAATAGATTACAATTTTTTCCTCTCTCATCTCGATAACTTTTGTTTGTTTACGCGATTTCATTAAGTATTTGATAAAATAAAATGTTCTTGTCACCTCTTGTTTTGTATAACTTTTGACGTAGTTTTTTAATATGTACTCCGTAATTTTTATATCTTATTGATATACCATTTTATAAATAAAATGATTTCAAAAAGTAGAAAATTTTACTCCGTAACCTGCAATTTGTAATCAAATTGAGGACGGAGGGAGTATAATTTTTCAATATTTCAAAACTTATATCTTACCATAACTTTAATTTTCTCCAAACGTACCCTTAGTAAAACCTTGAAAAGCTAAAATCCAATGCTAAAATACTTAATAAAAGAGGACAACCATGATAAATTTCATATTGAGGTCATAAATTTTAATGTTATTGTTATCATCGATCATTATTTTTAGCATTATTAAAATTATTATTATTATTAGATCCAGTCGGGCCGACCCACGGGCTTAAACATAAGTCTAAATTTGGCCTACAAGTTTTTGGGACCCCGATTATGGGCTGGGCCAACTTGTACCTAAAAAATGCAAGCTCAAGCCCATTATTTTGTGGGTTACTTTTTGCATATGGGTCGGGTGCTCGGGTCTGAACGGGTCTAGGCGTTATTTTCTAGAAAAAGAAATCAAAGAGTCGAGAAGATTGGTGGATAAAAAAGAAACAAATAAGAGAAATGCTAGATTGACAAACAAAATGGTCACAAACTTCACAAACTTACTATTTGTAAATTTTAATAAAAACTTTTAAATAGTCTAGAATAATTTTAAAATGAAAATTTAAACCATAAATGGTAAGTTTGTGAAGTTTGTGATCATTCTATTTGTGAACGTAGCATTGCTCAACAAATAAACAAAGAAGGCATTTGTATTTATAGCATTTGGAGTGTTACGAGAAAACAATCCAAATCAGGACAGAATTCCTATTTATTTATTTTCACAAGTTTTTTTGTTTAGAGAAGAAGTGAGATCAGACAAGTTTTTCCAATCTTGTTATTTCCATATGTTTTTTTTTTCATATTTTAATCTCAAAATATAATACTCCCTCAGTCCCAAAAAGAATGGGACAGTTTGACTTTTTGGGAAATTAAGTGAGAGATATTTTGGTATTGACTTTCCAAAAATACCCTTGATATGATGGGTAAAAGTAGGATGTGATGGGTAGATTATTAGAAAAAAAGGTATGATGTGATAGGTATGGTATGAAAAAGTAAGGGGTAAAAGTTGTTTTTTAATAGAAATGTAACGGACTTTACGAGACGCAGTTTTTTCTATACGTAACAAACTTTTTAGGACGGAGGGAGTATGTCTTTATATATATATATATATATATATATATATATATATATATATATATATATATATATATATATTCCCCTTTCCTGAATTTTATTTGTCGACTTTTAAATTTTTTGGGTCAAAATTAGTAAACTTGGATTTCAAATTAAATAAAAATGATACTCCGTATTAGATATTGATACAAAAATAATTTTATCAGATATATTATATAAAATATTATTTTCTCCAATTAATATATTGATGGGTGTATTCCACCTAGAACCGGTCAAGGAAGGTGCTCAAATATCCAACCGGTCAAGGTTGATTTTTAAGAATGCGAGACCTTGAACAACAGTAAAAAGGTGATTGGTTGACCAAAGGTTTGACCGGTATACTTCTGAAAGTCTACGAACAAACTACTTTACCCCTCGTTCATCCCCAATTTCAATAAACCCATCCCTAAGAAATTACCCGGTATGATTTCTAGGGTTGGTGTTCAAAATAAAGCACATAGAAATTGATTGCCACTTTTGTTCCCGACGAGATTCAACATGGGCCCGCCCTCTTTGTACTGCACACATTGCTTATGTTGATCAGCCTGCTAATATCCTTACTAAAGCTTTGGGTTCTGCTCCATTTTCTCATGTCCAAGTTGAGCACTTGGAATCCGCACCCTTCACCTTGCGGGAGGTGTTACTGTGGACCGAATGAAAGGGAACCAAAACCCAATGTGATACGGTTTGTGTTGTTTCCTTGTTTATTTTGTTTCCTAGTTGGAGTAGTTTTCTTTCTCTCCAATATTTCTTCCTTCTCCTATAAATAAAGGAGAAGCCCTTTGTATTAAACAAAATTTTGGAATAAACATATTTCTCCTCCAATATTGATTTTAACATTAGGTTTATATATATTTAACTAAAATGGTAAATCAAAATATAATTTTAGAACAGGGGATACAAATGAGAGAAGGGATAGTAGTAAGTATTTGATTTGTCCTGAATTGATCGTCACACTTTTATTTTTAGTGCGTCCGAAAATAATTATCTCACTTCTTTACTTTTCTAATAAAATAAAAAATATGTCACCCTCGATCTTCCTCTATTCTTTAATCAATTTCAACCACACAATTAGTTTTTATTTTCCATCATTTTTTCCCAAAAAGATTATACAGCCAAACTAAGACGATTAATTTGGCCGGGTGGAAGATGGCATATCTAGATCCAAAACATTATATACCCTCCAAATGGCGAGTAGGTGTGCTTTAGACAAGGTAAGGAGGCTATGTTTCCGTATCTTTTACTTTAGTCAGTCAAGAGAGAGATTATTATACTCATCTACGACTAATAATAATAATAATTAAAAATAATTACTTAAGGGATCAACTTGGGAATTGATCCCTCGCCCAAACACACACAAAGCAATCCCACCAAATCACACTAATTAAGAGAGGAAAACAAAAAAAAAACAAAACCCAGTCCAGATTTTCTTGCTTTTCTTTCCTTTTCTTTGTTTTTTCTCACGTATATCACCCTTCACAAACAAACACAGTTTAATTTTTCTCTCCTTAATTAGATTATAGGCCAAGAGGTGAATTAATAATAACCATAATACTCCCTTCGCTCCAAAATAAATTTCACAATTCACTATTCAAAAATCACGGAAACTTTGATAAAACAAATATTTTTATCTTCTTTTGTTTTGAATAACTTTTGACAAAGTGTTTAAATATGTAAATTCTGCTCCCTCATGTCTTAAAATCCTTTCTTGCTTTGACTTTTTTTATAAACAGTGACACTCTTTGAGCATAAATTAAACATAATCTAAATATAAAAATGATACAAAAAAACTGTCCTAAGATGAACCCAATTATATTGAATTTTTATGTTAATTAATTATATTTTTATCGCAATTTATGGTCAAAGATTATCAGTGTTTGATCAAAATAATCAAACATGAAAGGCTTTTAGGATCGGAGGAAGCATTTTATATTTCTGTACTAATATTTAAATAAAATAAATTTTAAAAATGAAGAAGAAGAGGATATATAGATAAAGGTCGTAGGTGAGGACACACACACTAAACACGCACACACACACAGTAGAGTCTCTGAGTCACCTTTTCCTTTATCTCTTCATATACATTTTTTTTTTCAGTTGCTTCTAATTGTACTAATTCAGCAGCTGTCCTTCATCAGTTAAAGTAAAGAGCAAATTCTGGTGTTTTTCAGGGCCCTTAAAGCCTGGTTTTATACCAATCTCTTTTTCCCCCTTCTCTCTCTTCTTCTTCTTCTTCTTCTTCTTCTTCTCATCCCCACCTCATACTTCTCATGTTTTAAATTTCTTGAAGATCAATATACACTCTCCAATGGTATTTTTCATTTTTTCCTTCTTCATATATATATTGATTAAATAAACATGAACGAATTAACGTCTTATTCGATCAGAGTAACATTTATTTCTCTCTTGCAGATATAAATACACATATATGTTTATGTATGCCTTGGAATACAAAGAAGGAGATGATATGTTAAAAGCGGGGAGATGAAGAAGAACAGCAGCAGCAGCCAGGTGGGGTCCATCAGCAGTTCAGATCTCATAGATGCAAAGCTTGAGGAGCATCAGCTGTGTGGATCCAAGTTGTGCCCCGGTTGTGGACACAAGTTCGATGCAAAGCCGGTACGTTCTACGTTTTTTTTATATTTTTAAGTAAAATTGTAACTAGGACGGATCGTCTCAACCAAAAGCTCAATTATGCAGAATAACAAAAACAATAAACGCCGTTTTATGACGTTTATTGTTTGTGTGTATATGAATAATGCATGATAAAAATATATTTTGGACTTGTTAAAATTATTAGGGAGTATGGAGTTGAATTAATTTGTTGGTGGTGCTAATTGCAGGACTGGGTAGGTCTACCAGCTGGGGTAAAGTTTGACCCAACAGACCAAGAATTGATAGAGCACCTTGAGGCTAAAGTGGCTATTGCTAAAGACTCAAAACCCCACCCTTTGATTGATGAGTTCATCCCCACCATTGAAGGGGAAGATGGGATCTGCTATACCCACCCTGAAAAACTCCCTGGTAATTTCACTCGTTTTTTCTCTCGATCTCTAGGTCAAAAATGGACTCAACAAAAATTTCAAGTTTCTGATTATATATAGATCTAGGAACAGTTTCGAGATTTTTATATTCGAACAGTTTCGATAGATAAATACTGTACTGTACTTTTGGTTGTGTTGATCTTTTCAACATATATAGTAATGTGATTATATAAATATTACTCCGTATCTTTTTTTATTATTGTCACCTAAATAAATCCACTTGACTTGTAAACATAGTAGTTCAATTTGTTGCACCTAAGTTAACCTAACTTTAACATGTGTTTTCTTCTTCTTCTTATACAATTTGAAAAAAAATGAAAAAAAATTTGTACGTTTAGGTGTGACTAGGGATGGGTTGAGCAGGCACTTCTTCCACCGGCCGTCAAAAGCGTACACGACGGGGACAAGGAAGCGGCGGAAGATCCAGACGGAGTGCGACCTGCAAGGGGGGGAGACGCGGTGGCACAAGACGGGGAAAACCCGCCCGGTGATGGCGAACGGGAGGCAGAAAGGGTGCAAGAAGATCCTGGTGCTGTACACCAACTTCGGGAAGAACCGGAAGCCGGAGAAGACGAACTGGGTGATGCACCAGTACCACCTGGGGCAGCACGAGGAGGAGAAGGAGGGGGAGCTCGTGGTGTCCAAGATTTTCTACCAGACGCAGCCCCGGCAGTGCAACTGGTCGGCGGCGGCCGCGGCGGAGAGGGGGAGCGAGGCGGCGAGCCGGAGGGACAGCGGCGGGAGCGGGAGCTGCTCGTCGTCGAAGGATAATAATAATGTGCACATTCAGTCTCGTGGGGATGAACTGTCGGTTGCAGTTGGGGCGGCCGCCATGTCTGCTTATGGAGCTATGGAAATTCAACAGCTCAAAGCTCATGACCAATATACCTTCCTCCCTTTCAGAAAAAACTTTGATGAGGTATGTACTTACTCTCTCCCAAACAAAATTTCTCATTTTAGACACTTTTATCCCTACTAATTCTTACCATACCTATCACATTATATCTATCATATTAATCTATAAATCAAATCTTAATTTTACACATCATATCCAAGGAACTACATTCTTTAAATCTTTAATAGGGTAGATTAATTTTTTTTATGGGGTAAATTAATTAACCACTTTAGATGTCAATAGATTACTTCTCAAATACTTCCTCTTTCCTAAAGTTAACAACCAAGGTTTCTCACAATTTTTAATTTAATACGATGCTTTCACTATCAATATCTATGTTTATATATAATTATATATTATAAAAATTTAATGTATTTTTTCTTAATATGCGGTCAAAATTTGAAAAATATAACTACGAAAGTCAAACTGGGAAGCTAATTTTAGAATATACAGCATTCTTTCTCTTTTGATCAAAATTACCTATTTACATCTATTAATTATTAATGTGTATATTCATTATTAATCTAATTATCACATCGCATTTTATGATACCAAAAATTCAGGGTAAAATAAGAAAATAATACCCAAATTAAACTAACCTTAAAAAACATGTTATATAAAAAGATTTTTCAGGATCCATATATAGTGTATGACTTTTAGGTGATTTCTTAAAATATACTCCGCAATAATTAAAGAAACTAATATCCAAAGTTTTGCATAGAAAGCGTCACTTGATTATATATGAGGATATATAGTATGGTAGGACTTAGATGGAATAATCCATTTATTTTATTTTTTCCTTTTTCTTGAAGACAAACATTGGTCATATACCCTTTTTTTTTTAAATTAAGTTTTGTAATCTTCATACTTATGAAAGTAAGAAAATGGGACCGAGAGGAAATTAAAGAAATAAGCTTTGCTTTTAAACTTCACATTCACATGGCTTAAAAGTGCATAATCAAAACTATGCTTAGCCAATCCTCCCTTTGAAAATACGGTACCGTTTTCCACTTTTGAGGCCTTTCTCATTTTTCCATTTTTTGCTTAAATTTAAAGAAAACTACTCCTTCCGTTCTAAAAATATTGCAACGTTATGTTAAACGATGCAAAATTTTAAATTTTTTCATTTCATTTTATTTAAAATTTAGTATAGATATAAAAAATGAAATTTATATATTTAAAAAACTATCTCAAAAGTTCTACAAAACAAAAGTTTACAAGAATATTTTTATTTTATCAAATAGTCAATATAATGAAAATACAAAAATAAACAAAAAATTCTTGTATTATTTAAATTGTGAAATGTTGCAATCTTTTTGGGACGGAGAAAGTAATTAAGATGAAAAATAAAAAGGGAGGAAATTGTTTAAAGATTATAATTTCTTCTCATTTGACTTTTCACGGTCTTCCAGGTTGCATTTTGACCACGAATATCTTTATTTATACATAAATACTCCCTCTGTCCTAAAACTATATTCCCAGTTACTATTCATACAGTCAAACTTAAATCACTTTCTTTGCCCATTTTCGTTAGTTATTTAATAAAATAATATAGTCTTGTCACCTCTTGTTTTGTAGATCTTTCGATGTAGTTTTTAAATATATAAATTTTATTTTTTAATTTTACACCTACAATCAAATAGATTGAATTGAAAATAAAGTCGGTCAAACCTCGTAAACACAAATGAGAAGATAGTTTTAGGACGGAGAGAGTATAATTTATAAAAATTTGATAATTGAAAACTAAATTTCAATAATAATATATTGATATCAAAATTATATCATAATACAATGCATTTTTTCTACATATCAGAGCTAAAATTTACAAAATTTGATCAAGAAAAATAAAATGAGAAGAATATTTTCTAAACCGATGGTGGGAGTAAAAGTGTTGACTAGAGGTCATACATACGTATAGGAGGTAATAATTGTAAATTTGCAGGCGGGGATGAATGCAATGGCGGTAGAAGGATCAATGATGGTAGTGAGGGAAGTGGCAACGACAAGCACGTGCGAAGGGCGTGACATCTCCGACCAACAACACCCGTCATCACAACATACACATCACGTGACCACTCACGATATCCACCACCACATAACCCGCCCGTCACACCCCATCTCCGCCATCATCTCTCCGGCGCCGCCACTCCACCACCACGCTTCCGTCATCCTCGACCACGACCCCTTCCACGTCCCCAGAATCTTACTGCCCAATGACAACTTCCAGGTAATTCATAATTCATCACTAGAAAAGTATATTTAATTTATTTCGTCTCAAAAACTTTTTCTCCTTTAACTTTTTTCTTTTTAAAAGAAATTAATCTAGAGAAATTTACCTAAATAGGACTAAAACATAATGACTTTCCCAATATAAGACTATATGTTTTTATTTCCCAATGTAGGACCTTTGGTCATTATCAAGTAGTCATTATTTAACTAAATGTCCACAATTATTAGACATTATTCCTTCCACTAGGTCATTATTAAATCCTATTTAGGGAATAAAAAAGTTTAAATCCTACATTAGGAAAGTTATTATGTTTTAGTCCTATTTAGTGCAAATTTCACATTAATTTAGTCTAAATGAACATAAATATTTTTGCTTTTTTTTTCTAAATTTAACTTGACATACCCCAATTTTCTTATGCGTTCTCCTCATTCTGAAATTTAACCCTACCTATTAGTTTTAAGGGTAATTTACTAAAATATGACTAAAACTTAATGACTTTCTCAAAATAGAACTATATATTTTTATTTCTCAATGTATGACCATTGGTTATTATCTATCAGACATTATTCAACTAAATATCCAGCATCACTTGGACATAAATATTCTCATTAATCATCATTATTAATTCCTATTTAGGGAATAAAAAAGTTTAAATCCTATATTTGGAAATGATTTATGTTTTAATCCTATTCAGTGTAAATTTCATTAGTTTTAATTGTCGATGTTTGTCCCATCTAAAAGTCAAAATTGAAAAATTTTTTTTAAAAAATAGGAATTACTCTTTACCATAGTAGTATAATAAAAGTGTTGCTATATGTTCATTTCCTACATTGTATTCGAAAAGTGTATATATATGGAATTTTACTTTATTTTACAACATCTAGGAGAAAAAATTTTATTCCCTTCATCCCAAATTTATGGTCATATTCCACTTTCCATAGGTAAACTTTATCTTTTCTTTATTTATTCTCTTTAATTAATTACTCCTTCCATCCCACAAAAATTTTCTTCTTTCTATTCTCATCCGTCCTAAAAAATCTCTTATTTTTATTAAAAATTTACTTTTACCCTACTAATTTTTAATCTAATTATCATATCACATCTATTAACTACTCCATATTAATTTATCCAACACATCGATCTATTTAATAAAGTGTTCGATGCAGTTTTCAATGGGCTCTCTTCGTTTCAAAATCTTTTTCCCAATTTGACTTTCATGGAATTTAAGGTAAGAATATTTGTTTTGACATTCGCAAATTAACCTTGATGTCATGAATAGATTAGTAGTGAATACTAAGTGATAGGAAGGAAATAATCAGCGGGTCTAATTTATTTTTTAATAAAAGTGGAATGACTTTTTGGAACGGGAAAAAATGAAAGGGAAGAACCTTTTAGGCACGGACTATATATATATATATATATATATTCATTTTATTTTAAAATTTTGCATCTTCAAATTATTTAAAGATATTAATGTTAAAAACAAATTCAGTCAAGATCGTAATCCAAACTAGAAAAAATATTTTTGGGACTGGATGGAGTAATTAGTACTCCCTATGAAGTTAGTTAAAAAAGAAAATTGATGCACACTCCAAGAGTAATTAACAAAATGTCAACAACAAGGAACACATGAAATGAAATGAAAGAAGTGGACTTTTGATATAGTAAAACACTATTATGGGTAAGGCAATTAGGGTTTTGTGAGTGTTGGGAACAGTGCATGATCACATGCATCATTATGTTGGTGCAGCAACAGCAACATCATCATCATCATCATCATCATAAACTAGGAGGAGGAGGAGAAGGAAGGTCTACCTCAGAATTGGAAGAACTCATAATGGGGTGCACTTCTGCTACTAGTGACATCAAAGAGGTATGTTATTTGGTCTCCCTCCCTAGCTAGCTACTTAATTTCCTACTTTTTCCACTTCTTCTTCTTCTTCTTCTTCTTCTTTACTTTCTACTCCATATATATGTGGTTCTTTTTCCTTTTCATGAGCATTATCAATAATAATATTCTTTCTCCCACTATTTCTTTTCTCACTTTTACCCATTTTTATTATTTGTTCCAAGATTTCTTCCCATGACCCATATGTCACCATGCTTTTCTCTCTTTTGACTTTTTATTTATTGCTTTTAATTCGTCGTTAAAATCTATGGTTATACCACTACAAGAGTGTTTGGGTTTTGCGACGGAAAAAAATGTCGCAAAACGCTCAGTTTGTAAGTCTTGGGAGCATGTTCTTTTGCCGTATTAATTTAATACAGTATGTAATTGGAGATTAAGATTTTCTAACTGAAAAATCCTTAAAAATGAAATTACAGATTCTGGGGTTGGAAATGATACGGAGTAATGTATCATAATATGTAACATGAAACTTAAAATGTAGTACTAAAATCGGTAATTAGAATACGAAGTCTGAAACGCTAATATTTTATTTTAGTTTATCAAATGTATGTATAACAAAAATATAAAAAAATAATAAAATTATCGAGAGACGAGAATAATAATTATGATGATAATTTCGAGACACAAGGAAGGAAGGAGTAGAAAGTAAAAGGAGGATGAGAGAGATAATGAAAGGTATGAATATCATGTGCTTCTTCTTCCTTTACACGCCCATTATGATTTGATTAAGAGGGTCTAAAGGAGATCGAAGATATATATGTGTGGGCCGGGGGCTTATAGAAGCCTTTTTCTCTTTTGCTCTTTATCTCTTTATTCCTTCTTATTTTGTGATCTTCCATGCCTTCTAATTTGTCGTCGTCGGAAAACACAAGTAATTAATTAATTAATTAATTAATGGTTTACTTTAAATAATAATATATCCAATTGAAGTTTTTCTTTTTTTCATATTTACAACTTTTTTATTCTTGAATGTGGATAATTTAATCCCACGACACGAAAGGTTTAGAAAAAAAACATTATTACTTCGATCTCTTAATTAAAACTTCACGCTTTAAATGATGTAATAAACATATAATTTATTGAAATGATTCTATTGAATCGTAGTGGTATTTTAGTTGATCATTTTTTTTAGAATATTCAAATATGGATATTTTTTATATCTATTTTGGGAATAACAAAAAGTGTGACATTTTTTGTGTTATACCATTATATAAATAAATAAGCACACACACGGAATGGGAAAATATTTAAGTGTCCCGGTCTTATCCCATTTTAAAACGGTTCAGAACGAGTTTGAGATAAAATTTTGTTATCCCTAACAAAACAGAAAATTATAGAGACGTGACCGGGATATTTCGGGTCGAGACAATGATTTCGAAATTCTTACCCACCCCAATTTGAAATCTAAGTCAAAACTTTAGACCGTAAAACTAATAGTCTAAAGTCCAGATGTAACATAGTTCAAACAAAGTATGAAGACTCAGGTTTGGAGTTTGAAAACTGAATAGAGGAGTTCAGAGTCTAATCTGGTTAACTAGAATATAATGTGAAAAAAGACTAGTCCATTAATGTAAACCTATATAAATTAGGGAGATTTTCCTATGTAGCACTATAATGTAGTTAAAATTACCTATCTAGTACTATTATGGCATTTTTGACATCTATAGGAGTCTCTAGCATGTCGTTATCTTTAATACGTCAATTCTACCCTTTTTTTCTTAATTCTTAAGATTATATTAATTTGGGTTACCGCATTGCATTCCATTGCCGCCACACTGCCTCCACATGCTGCCACCACTGCCCACCGCCACTACATTGCAACCACCAACCATCATCACACTGCCACCCTTTGCCGCCACACTGCACAACCTTCACACTCTCTCCCTGCGCTGTCACACTGCCTCCTCCTGCCGCCACACTGTCATCATTTCCACCACCACCACCACACGGCCACCACCAATGCCACCCTCGGCCGCTACACTGCCACCATCACCATGCCCGCTGCTCTCACACTACTATGAACAACATCAGCATCCCCGCCACACTATAGTCCTCCGCCACCACACTGTCTCTCCCACCACCACACTACCTCCCCGCCGCCACACTATCATCACCACCACCACCACACTGCCAGCCCCTACCATACTTCTATGCAATGACAGATTTGTGCCCCCAACCCCGATTGAGATTTTCTTATATATGCATCATTGTGTCTTTGAGTTTTTCTTATATATTTATTATTGCGTTATGAGCTATCCGTCTGTGGTTGCGGTTAAGTTGAATATAAGATATTAAGATGTCATCACTGTTTGTTGTGTGGGCTAGCTCTAAAGAGATTTAGATGCTAGATCCATTTGTCCGAGTGCTAAATAGTTCAGCCTAGCTAGTTAGCACTTGAGGGAGAGTGTTGGGAAATCTCACGTCATAAAAATAATGAAATACCACTAACATATATAGAAAAGTAAAACTGTATGGCTTAAGCTTTTGTTTGATTTAATTTATTAACACTATCGTATAACATGGGTAGAAAATCAATGATTAAGGTGGTCTATCTAGCTAGATATCCGATCCCATTAATTCTTTATCAATGTTAGGTTGTTGGAGAGGATTGACTATCTCCTCCTGTTATTTGGGATATGACTAAAATATATTTCATCGATCGAAATAGGACATTCAATATTTTTATACGAAAAAAGGACTTGTAGTTGCAAATAATGCCAAAAAGTGCTATGACATGCAACACACAATGTTAAATTATGAGTATTTTAAAGTGTTAACACTTTATATAGACTAAAAAAGTATAAGAGGTATTATTTTGATATATGTAGTAATTTTCATGTTTTATTGAATTTTTTAGTGGATCCTCCAACTTGTAATAGTCTTAAATTGTTACATTTTCCATTTCTTGCAGGGTTCATCATCCATGGCTAACCAACAAGAGGCAGAATGGATGAAGTACACCACACCCTTCTGGCATGACCCTGACAACCCAGATCATCATGTGTAGCATCAAAACCAACCCCAAACACACTTTTTTTTTGTTTTTTTAAAGAAAAGTAAAAAAAATACCATACATATAATATCTCACTAGCTAGCTAATACTACAAATATCACTAGACTTTTTTTTTCCTTCCCAAACACTTCCCAAGGACTCAACTGAACTAACTGTTCAAGACCCAAAAAATTAAAAGGGCATAGCAGACAAGAAGAAAAAAAAAAGAAAGCCATAGAAAAGCTGTTGTTGGTACCATATCTGACAGAAAACAAGGTGTGGACTGTGGGGATTTGGGAACTGAAGAAGACCCAAAAAAAGGGAAAACGCCCAACCCGGGTGCCCCTACACCCCGGCCTGACAGAATAGTGATGAGGGTTAAATCAGGACATACATAATTTTAGACGGTTCCTTAAAGATGACGCTTTGTGCTCGGTGCATAAAAGGGGCTGTCACAATAGATAAAAACTCGCACACTGGTGCTGTCAGGAAAAAAAAATATCAGCTCAACTTTGCATGGAAGTCATAACCACTATGATTACACTTGTCATCTTTATGACCAAAACTACTACTCTTGTTTATTTCTTTATTATTATTTTTGGGTTTTGTTTATTAATTACTACATATTTGTATTGTTTCATTAATTTTTTTTATAGGTTTTAGCTTTAACACAACAGGATTTCTACAAAGTGGCATGCATAGGGAAAAAAACTTTGTTTTGTTTTGTTTTCTTGAAGGGTGAACATGGATCGGACGGTCCCCACTTGTTCTTCTTATGGTCTTCTTTTTTTCCTTTTTCTTTTGAGTAGAGAGTATACTTGTTGTTGGGGTAACATATCGGTATGGAATATGTTTCCCCTTTATAGAAGAAGTGAAATGTATGTAATGTTGATTTAAATATAACACTTCATTGATTGATTGAGTTGAGGCATCACTTTCACACTAGTCTTTAGACTTATATATGGGGCTTTTTTTAAGATATATGGGGCTTATTATTATGGATTAAGCTATCTATACATCAAAATTTGTATCTCATTTTGTACCCCAAAGGCATGCACCGACATTTGTGCTAGTGTGATGTTATTCTCATGAATTACATTGACAAAAAATGTCTGTGCAAATTTTCTTAATTGAACTCATTTAACATTTTCTGCCAGTGTGAATTGTTAAAATGTCGGTGCATTTTTTTGAGGTATAACTTGTGTTACACTTTTGGTGTACCCCTAGCATGGTTGTATTATTATTCCCCCTTTAGTGTTACTCCCTCCCTCCAGATTTAACCTTCGTATTTGATTATTCTTGGTCAAAATTTGTAAATATTGACCTCGATATGTGAAAAAAATATATCGTATTTCGATATAAATGTAATATCAATAGTATCGTTTTGAAATATTAAACTTTTCTAAAATCTGTCTACGTACAAATATCTATATTAGTGATCAAAGTGTTATAATGCAAATTGCGAAAAGTAAAGTTGAAAGATTAGATTTAGAAGAAGGGATCGGAGTAATTAATGAGATTCTAATAATGGGAGTTTGCAATCTCAAGTAAATACTCATCACTCCATCCAAAAAACTTTTCTTTTTTTACTTTTATTGAATTATGAGAGAGATGTTATTTTTATTTTGACATTCCAAAATTACTCCTAATGTGATGGATTGATTAGTAGAAGTATGTAAAAGTGAAATGGGTAAAAGCGACTATTTAATAAAGGCAAAAGTAATTTTCTAACAGAAAATAAAGATTTTTTTGGAACAAAATTGAAAAAATATAAAAGGAGAAATTTTTTTAGGGACGGAAGGAGTAGTAATTTTAACTAAAATTTGGAGATTTAACGTTACTCTCATTTTCGAAGCTATAATATGAAGTTTCGAAATCTGAATAATTGAAATATAAAGTTGAAAAAAAAACACACATTATCTTCGTCCTCAAATTAAATTCTCACTTTTTCGTTCATTTATTCCAAAATAAAAATCATATTTTTCCATTTCCTTTTATGAAAAAAAGTGGCTCTCACAATTTCTCTCTTTCAAATAAGTTTTTAACACATATTTTTGACATTTCAATATTTCTTTTTTTAGTATTACTGATTTTATTGCAACGTACTCCCTCTGTTTGGTAAAACAGTTCATATTTTGACTTCTGACACATTTATTTTCGTAATTTGACTTTCGAATTATGTCTTAAGTGTCAAAGAGAAAAAGAGAGAAAACTCATTTAAATAACTTATTATATCAATGCAAAATGAATGAAGAATTTTTTTACAACTTAATTTGAATATGTTAGTCATTTTATTAAAATAGAAGTGTTTTATCGCAAATGAAAAAACGAAAGAGGAACTGTTTTGAAAAAACAGAGAGAGTAGTATTTATTTATAAACTTCAAAAAAATATATGATTTTAATTTAATGAAAAAGGGAGTAATCATGTGCTAAATTTTTTTACATCCTTCACCATTGAACTTTTCATAAAGTGTATGTTTTCCTCTGAACTTTTAAAAGCACAACATTAGTCACTAAACTTTTCATAAAGTGCGTGTTTTACTCCCCAACTCTTCATAATGTATATGTTTTATTCTGAACTTTTAAGAGTACACAATTAGTCATTATTCTTTATATAAAGTGTGTGCTTTCATCCCAAATATCAAAAGTGCACCATTTGCCGCCGGTACCGGAGTGCACACTAAGAATTTTTGTCTGTTTACTTAGCATGATTTTTTTTAAAAATAGAATTAAATCATTGTAAATGAGCCTAGTTAGTTAATACGCGTATAGTACACGTATTATATACTTACGTACGTATAATACACGCAATATACTCACGTGTCCGTATGATTTTCAAAAATACTTTAAAATACACGTATATTTGATACTATACGTATAATTACGTATAATACGTATGAATTGAATATTTTATTATAAAATATTTTTTGTACAACAACAAATATTAATTTGTTCCAAATGATATTTAAACAAAATACGAGTAATACTTCATATCAGTTATACATACAATATTCAATCAATTTGAAAAAATATATACTCCCTCCATCTCATTTTATATTGCCTGTAATGAATTTGGGGCATATTTAAGGAAGTGAAAAAATATTGTTGGTTTTTCAAAAATCCTTACATTTTTAGGAGGGTTGACGATGAATGAGAAGATAATGTGGAAAAGAGTGGCTTATTTTAGGGATAGTTTAGGTATTTTACCCTTAAAAGTTTACCATAATAAGAAACAAGCAACTTATTTTAGGACGGACAAAAGAGAAAAATAGACAATTTAAAATAGGGCGGAGGGAGTACTATCTACTCCCTCCGTTTGCAAAAAAACTTCCCATTTTGATTTGGGGCAAAAATAAGGAAGTGTTAAATTATAGTTGATTTCCAATTTTACCCCTGATGTGATGAGTAAAAGTAAGATGTGATGGATAGATTATTAGAGAAAAAGTATGATGTGATAGGTAGGGTATGAAAAAGTAAGGGTAAAAGTGATTTTTAATAGAAAGGAGAAGTGTTTTTGAGAACGGAGGAAGTACATTTTACAAAGAATTTTACACTCTTTTGTCACGTTTAAAAAAAGACTTCACTCTTTCTCTTTTTGTTTGTCTCAAAAATTCATTTTCTTTTTGGAAAAGAATAATAAGTAACTCACAACTCTTATTTTTTTTCTAAATATATTCAAATAAACTATAAATTTTTTATTTTTAACATTTTTTAAACTACGTTCGTGAAAGTTAAATAAAGATATTTTTCAAATGACGGGAGTATATATTTTTTTCAAATAGATATGTTAAATAAATAGAGATTCTATTTTGAAAAAATCTATTGTAAATATTTTATTTAAAAGATTTTTGTATTTTGTTTATATTCAATCGATAAATATGTGTAAATTTGACGTATATATGATAATATATATAAACATATAATAAGACGTATTTTAAAAATAGAAAACGTTTAAAACGCGTACGTATCCGTATCCGTATGCCGAACGTTTAATATGCATAGTAAGCCGTATTTTATAAAATCTAACGTATTATACATGAACGTACGTATTTACGTATTATACGTTTGCCGTATATTACTAACTATGTAAATGAGTTAAAAGAGAAAATATGAACCACACGACTACTTCCTTACAAGGATATAAGGAGTACATTTTTAGGGTAGATGGCATTAAAAAGAGCACACTGCTCCAACGAAATATGGTCATTTTCTACAAACAACATTTTGTTCAATGTTATAATGTTCAAAAATGCTAGAAGCCACAATGATGGACCCCACGGATAATAACCGTCTGTGCGTTTGTATGCACACAAGCTAATCGTCTGTGAACTCTGTATTATTACACGACTATCATATCGCATGTATGTGTACAAATTCACATACGACTGTCATCCGTGGACCGTAATGTCACCTCTATGGGTTTCTAGCATGGTTCTATAATGATTGTTTTTTAACATTTCGACTCAATATAGCATTTTTGACAAGTTAAAATACTTTAAATTTTCTGAGTTCATTATCATCTCCAACAAGAGATCTGAGCTAAAAGGTATCGTTCGTATATAGATGATGCTCAATCAAATATAGCGAGAAGTTTGTTTTATGGAAGTTGCATTGGAGGTGTGTTTTATGAAGAGAAGAAGTTATACCTTCTATATCAAAGCATTTGAATGTTGGGTTGGAGATGCTCTAAATGAGAATTATTGAAATAATAATCATAAAGAATGCTCACAAGATTAGCATTTTTTAAAAGGGATCGATAATTACACTTTACGTTTTGCTATTGGCACTCCAAAATGCGTTATACACCTCTCACATAAATAATACTCCATCCGTCCCACAAAACATTTCTAGTTTTGATTTTTAAAGGATTTAAGAAGAGTGTATTTTGGTATTGACTTTCCAAAAATGTCCTAAGATGTGATGTGTAGAAGTAAAATGCGTTGGGTACATTATTAATATAAAAAACTGTGATGTGATAGGTAGGTTAATAAAAATTAGTAATGGTAAAAATGATCTTTAAATATACTCCCTCCATCTCAAAAAGATTGCAACATTACGCTAAACGAAGCAATTTTTGAATTTTTTCCATTCAATTTATTTAAAGATTGGTCTAGAAATAAAAAATAAAACCTATATATTTAAAAGTTACGTCAAAAGTTCTACAAAATAAGAGGTGACAAGAATATTTTATTTTATCAAACATAATTCTTCAAAATAATCAAACTTTCTAATACAACCTACCAAGTTTATTATACCCAAATAAAATACAATAAAATAAAAAAAATAAAAACAAAAACATATGAAGTTTTATCTTCTGCTAATTGCTACCTAATGCTAAGGCTTGTTTGCTAAACACTTTTTTCTTTGGTGTTGTGATGAGATTTCCTTTAAATTGCCCCACAGTCGCTTTATATCTTTGCATTTTTATCGTCGAAAGCATTAGTGGTATAATTAAATTGAGCAAACTACTCCCTCCGTCTGGAAATATTCTTCCCATTTTCCTTTTTGGTCCGTCCGGAAATAATCTTCCCATTTCCTTTTTTAGTATGCTTTTTAAGGCTAAATATCAATAATACCCTTCTATTTTATCACAAATCTACTTTTTTAATACTTTTTTAATAATAAAAGGAGATTTAAAAGTTTATAGTATGTGCATTTTTGAAAATTTTGCATTTTTTTTACTATTCCTTAATAAGCGTGCCAAGTCAACACGGGAAGAATATTTCCGGACGGAGGGAGTATGATTTCTTGTCGTTTTAACTAAATTGGAATATTTATATTGGGGCTTTCCATTCAGTTCATTGTATAACGCAAAGGTTATGTAGACGAAGCATTTAATGTGAGATAACCAAACTACAGTAATATTTCTTTCAGCTTTGTTTGATTTGATAAAATAAGTTCAAAAGATTATTAAAATTTGTAGAAAAATAAATGATTGAAAATTCAAAAGAAAAATAAAAGTTGAAAAGCAGACTAACGAGATTTTGTGTTTTATATTGATGTTTTTAAAAATAAGATTAAATAAAAATGAATGTAAACCACATAAATATAACCAATATACTCCTTCTGTCCCAGTGTATTTGTCCAGTTTGATTTTTTTGGAAGAGTAAGTAATAGGCTAATTGAAATACCCAATAACGTAATCTTAGGCTATGTTTGGCTTTTTGCTTTTGGAATGGCTTTTGGTTGTTTTTGACCAATTTTGGCGGTTTTGATTGGTCAAACATCCAAAAGAGTGTTTGGCACTTCGTTGTTTGGGTTGATCGTTTAAATCCGAAAAGTCAAAATATGAAAAACTATGTAGAGTAGGGTTTCAATTTGGCTGTTTGACAATATTATATATTTTTTATTATTTATCCTTGTATGTAATTTTTTGAATAAATAAAAAAATTATTTATTGCATAAATAAATAAAAAGTAGTAAATTAATAAATACTCCTTCCCAAGTAAAATTCACGAAGGGATTTACAACAAAAAATATTTATTTGAACTTTTTTACTTTATAATTTGTGCGGAAATTAAAAATCAGATATTTAATAACTACATCAAAGTGTTCAAAATAAAAAATAAAATGATCGAATTATTTTATCAAATCATAGATAAAACACATAAATAAATAAAAGTTATTGTGACTTTAGAATAGTACCTTAAAATTTTATTTGAGGAAAGAAATATATAAATAAATAATATGTATATACATCATATTATATTGCAAAATATATTATATCATATAATTATATATGTGGAAATATTTTTAAATACGGAGTATAATTTAATCCATAAAAACTGTTTAGAAAAGGTTGAGTTTGCCAAGCATTTTTCATCAACCGTTAATATAATCGATCAGTCAAAACAACCAACCCAATCATCCGCTCAAACCAGCTAACACAAACAACCAATAGCCAACCGTCATCTTCCAAACAACGCCTTAGTGTCATCATTTTCAGACACCTTAACTTTGGTTAAATAAGATAAACACTGAAATCATTTATTTACCTAAAATGTATTGCCAAACACCTTAAGCTTAAAAAGGGTTAACTTAATTTGGGGTAATAAACTTGAATTGTTTTGTCATTCACATTATGTTAATTAGCTAGGTTGATCAAGTATTCTTGTTAGAGTTGCTTTGAGTAGATGTTTGCAATATCATCTCGCTATTCAAATACTCTAAAATTGCACCTCCTTGGAATGCGTCCCCTAGTGTTATGATCACAGTGTATCAATATGCTTATTTCGGTCAGGAAAGACTAGGGGGCTGTTTGTTTCAGCCTCTTAATGGTTCAGATATCTGAATGGTTCAGCACTTAATGGTTCAAATTGTTTGTTTCAGCCTCTTAATGGTTCAGATGTCTGAATGGTTAAGAGATTTGCTTCTGAATGGTTAAGTATTATACAGAGTCTGAATGGTTAAGACCTCTTATCTGAATTGATCAAACATTTGTCTCTGAATAGTTAAGCAATATACTAGCTCTTAATGGTTCAGACCTCTTACTGGTTCAGTACTTAATGGTTCACCTCTTACTGGTTAGCACTTACTGATTCAGAAGTTGCCAAACAGCCCCTAGATCTATCTGTTAGAAAATGCTATTGATGAATTGTTGTCCACGAAAATCTCGGTTGGCTTCTCTAGGGGGAGTAGTTAACTCCTCATTTAAGTTATGCAACCACATTGCATGGCAACATTTTACGCATCAACTAAGGGTATTACTAGTAGAATATAAAAACGTTTTCTGAGCCTATAATCAAAAAAAGCTTGAGCTTTTGGTTGAGTTGACCTGGTTCCTTGACAGAAGGTAATGCCTTACGTGAAGAGCACAAATCCACTAGTATTTTTTCTATCTCAAATCGAGCACAATAGTTATCACTATATATCAAACAAGATTAATATTGTTATAAAAATGGTTAAAACAAACCACATACCTCATGATGGTGTCTTTGTGATAGTAAGATTCTCTTAGTTGCTTTAAGACCAGTGCTTGAAGAGCTTCATAAAGGGCAAGCAACTCCAACGGCAGATCATCAAAAGTACAGGCCCGGTACATATATCAAAGACCAGCTTATGATTACTTCAAGTGTAGCATTCCACTTTACTACAGGCCTCATTCAAGTACATACAATCATTGAAAACTTGATATTAGTCTTAAAATGCTGTCTTGAAGAACTTAAGATAATATCTTGTATTTGATCTATAAAAAGTTGTACTTTTCAAAACATAACAAACTCAGTAGTTTCCCTCTGAAGTAGGACAAAATCGTGCACTTCCCAGTAACGAACAATTAACATGTACCCATCAAATAAGAATTCTTAAATCACCGCCAAAAACCTACAGCTCCGGCAATACTCAAAAGAGTTGGCTATAAGTGGCCGGTATCTCAGAAATTAAATCAGTACATTAATTATATATCCACAGCAAGAAACTGTTAGCTTCACTGAATCAATTCTAATTTGAGTTAGAACTGTTTATTCAAAATATTGTTTACAAATTACAATGTGGTTGTGTTGAACATATCTGTGAAGCCAACAGTAGAGAGCTAGAACATGATTTAGATGTGATGTACTAACCTTTTGTTAAACAACTTAAACTGGCCGCACATCAAGCTTGCATGGTCCTTCTCAATTCATTATCACCGTGAACGAATAATAAATTTTAGACAATGAGAATGAATGAATGACCCAAACATTTAAAAATCATATCAGAAATCATAATATGTGAAGTGCACAGTATTTGCAATTCAAACTGAAAGAAGAAAAGTAGACAGAAAATGAAATGTACTGGTATTTAATAAAAGGGCAGCAAAGCCATTACTAGTATAGAGTTTACCTTTTGCTTGAGGAAGCACAAATTCAAATTCCTGAGTGCTTCGCCAGACAAATAGAATGAAGGATTCGGAGAAAAAGAACCAAGAAGCATGTTAATCACCCATTAACAAACTTATACCCACATCTCTAAATTCTGAGAAAATAATCAAAGCACTTCTTAATTCTTATATGTGGTGTGTGATCAAAACTCCTAGCCAATGATCATATCTGTTAAGAGAAGAATGAAGTATACATAAATCTAGTACATATAACATAAACCAGTGGCCAAGGGAACAACTATCCATTTACTTCCACAGTACATCAAAACTTGGGAAAATGATATGATAGAAGTCTTTTTTTCCTTTTAAGGAATTGCCTTTGCCTCACTTGTCCAGCACTCCAGCAAAGCTTAGAGATGTCCTAATGATACAAGACATTTTCACGAATATGCCGGGGTACTATATAGCTACATTAGTCTCTCTTCTAATTACGCTCATTCCATGCTATATAACTTTCTCTTCTGATTTCTTTATCCGCTCCCTGTTATATATTTGAGTTACAATATTGTTTTCTTTGATCAAGAAATAGATGACACATATCAACAAAGATGAATTTGAGACTAATTATTTCATTGCATCTAATAAGAAGATTTCTCTTCAATAACAGTGCCTTCAAGCTCAATGGAAGGCCTTTTACAGCGGTCACTTGAATCCCGTAACAAGCATTCTACCATCCTTTTCCACATCCCCATTCTTGGTGCAAACCCATGCTTCACCATTTGCTTTAGTACCCAGTCCAGTTGTCCAGTCAGATTTTGTTCACACAGGCCACATATGACCAATTTATATGACTCGAAACTCGGATTCACTCCTCTGTCAATCATCATACTCATAAAGCCTATGGCATCAACAAACCTCTTGGCTTTAAGAAGCCCATACAGCACTTCCTGATAAGTCCCTGCATTTGGATCACAACCTCTGTGCATCAACTTCTTGAAAACCTCAATCCCCTCTTCAACTCTCCCTTGCTTCCTAAGTCCCGAAATCAATATATTAAACGTGATCGTATCCGGCTCTACTCCCTCCTTTTCCATCCTTTCCAACAACCCCAAAGCTTCCTGAATGCTACCACGGTCACATAGTGCACACATAATTGTTGAAAAGGTCCTCACATTAGGCTTACAGTTCTGCTTAGGAAATTCATCGAGCACTTGAAATGCACTGTCAAGTTTGCCACATTTGCACAATCCTTTTACGATGATATTCAAGCAGCAAGCATCTATTTCGATGCCCAATTTTGAGGCACCCAAATACACTTCATGAACAACATCAAACTGCTTCGTGTTCACCAGCAAGTTGAGCACAAAATTGAATGTTTTCACACTCGGCCAACACTTGTAATTAGGCATATCAAAGAGGGTCTCTACGGCTTTGTTTATTCTTCCTCCTACATTCCCATAGATCTTGATCACGCTGTAGAAAAAACCGTCAGAGAGCCTACAATTTCTCTCAAGTTTGATTCTTTCCATAAGGGTCTCAATTGCAGCAAAATTCTTAGACTCTCCAAGCCTGTTGATGACCACAGAGTAGAGCTCTTCATTGGGGTTGTAGTCTTTACGTTTTGAGATTTGTGTCCACAGATTAAAAGCTGAATTAGGGTCTTTCAGATTCTGGAAAATCTTGATCATTTGTGTTGGGCTGAGCCAGTCTTTGTGCTTGAGAGGGTTAAATTTTTCATAATCTTGGGTTTCAGTTGATGATAGATTCAATGTTTGTACAAGAGTTGAAGAAATAAGTAAAGATTGAGATACAGGTCTGTGGATTCTGGGTTTGTAAACAGTTAAAGAACGTAGAATCATTGTTTAGATAAGTGGATAGGATCTGGAGAGTCTGTCTTCTATGTATGATAATGCAGTGAATTTGGACTACTGGAACCAACTTTGCCAGCCTTTGAATCTGAATTGGAGCAGTGAATTTCAGCTGAATCAAAGCTAGTATGATGAGGTGCAATGCATCATGAGATTTACTGCCAAACAACAGTGAGGAAATAGATTATTTGGTAGCAAAAAAAAGTAATCTACTACTACGTATAAGGTAGTGTACTTTGCTATGCCAAATTTCATTATCAAAACTAAAAAGAACATAAGTGTCCTAAGATATAGGAAGAAAGGTTTGATTTGCTGTCAAAAGATAGGCTGTTGAAAGATCCCAACTATTGAAAACAAACCAAAAACTTGTTACAACAGTAGGAAAATATATTCGGCCATTCTTATTGAATACAAATAGAAGGCATGTGTTTTGGTTTTCCAAACCATTATCTCTAGCTTCATTTGGGGACTTTGTTTGTGATTAGGATTAGCATTTTGGATAATTTTTTTTAAATGGTGCAAATTAATATTCCAAACATTGGAACTAAAACCTACTACTGGATAGCATTTTCAAAATGCTAAAGCTAATGCCAAACAGATCCTCTATGAAAAACTAAAGCAGCACTAAGCCACTAACATTTCAAAACATTATCTTCATGGCTCAATGTTAGGGACCTTCGTCCTTCGAATCCAATAACAGCAAGGATTAGAGCTTAAGTTGGTCCTGTCATAATTCAAGTGACTTCATACTAATATTTATTCAAGCTCTTGATTGCATTCGTCAGCTATAAGGTGTTAAATTTTTCATTGCAAGACCAAATTAAAAGAACAAAACAATGGCCAACAGAAACAGAACTAACTACGTAAAGCAAATATCTATGCTTGAGATATTTGATGAAACGTTCCTTGAAACAAAGATTTCTATGTTTGGAATAGTTCAACCATCATGTGCAGATGTCTACGAAGTACATTGAATTATTAAATTTTGAAATTTCCGTTACAAAAAAAATCAGTTGCTTTAGATTAGATCTATAGGACAGATTTCCAATTAGAATCTACTGAGGCACAACATTGGAGCCACATGAGGTATGACTTTGCAGTTAGTGTAGAAAACCATATGCAGTCTCCTACAAAAGGATATGAGCTAAAAAGAAAGCTTGATTTGAATTTCTAGAATACTCGGTGAATAGAGAATATGAAAATGATAACATGGATGAAGTGTAAATTCATACTCAGTGGATAAAGTCAGTGCATCAAAACTACTGTACTTTGGAAAAGGGGGCTTTACTAAAGAACCTCACTAAAGCAAACCACCGAAATCAAAATCTAGACATTATAACCTTTCAAGAATTACACAATTTTGTTGGACAAAAATAATCCCAATAACTGAAAACCCAAACTGGAAAAGTACGTAAAGCACAGAGGAAATGTTCCGAAAGGACTAGTAATTTTGAATAATGAGATAGTGATATCATTGAGAATAGTTTCTAAATTAGGCAAAACAAAACATGCATGAGTAGATTAGACCAACAAAGATGTGATTTCATGCAAGACAATCATAGATTAATTAACATATGGTTTTCCAGAAATGAGATGCACATAATGTCACACACAAAAATCCCACGACTAGGATAGATTTATAACCCACAAGAGCCATAAATAATCTAAAAAAGAGAAAAGTATGATATAAGATCCCTAAGCAGGAATTTCTAGAACACTGGCCAGCAAACAACAATCAGGATGAAAACCTAACCCTTCCATCAGACAGTGAAGTTTTAAAGCCTTCTTTTTGTGTCCATCCCAACATAAAGTTTAGGCTTCTCCCATTCAAATGAGATTTTATGTTCTTTCAACTTTGAAACTAGAGCCATCATCCAAACCGCAAATTGGGCTCGTGCATGGGTCTAAAACCGAGAAAATTAAATGAAGTATATGTTCAATTAAGTGCAAGACAAGCTCGAATCAGCGGTAAAAACATCGACTAACTGTCATTCAAATCTGCTTAATCGAAACAAGTCATAATTTGCCTGAGACTACGGAGTATTAAATTAGGTTGCCGAATGAAGATGGAGCGCAGTGAAGAGATATACCTGAAGATGTATGAGAATGGAAGAAGGGTGAAAATGTGAAATGCCCAATACACGCCGGGGCCGAAGGGCCTAAAATTGGTTTTTCCCTTCAGTATGAAACTCGGGGAAAAAAAACCTAAATCCAATCAAAATTGATCTCAAGTTAAAAAAAATCAAATCAAAAATTCTAAATAGAATGTTAAAAAATTGAATCGAATCGTCATTATTTACGTCCCGTTTTAACTATGAAAAACTAAACCAAACCGAAATACTAAATATTTTAAATCATATTATAAACTTTAAAAAAACATAATAATATAAACACCAATAATTTTAATCCTAATACGAAGTTATGTTAACATTAAAAATTGATACGAGTAATTTACATATTTACATGAAAAATTAGACAATATAATGGAAATGAAAGTATTGTACTAATAAAACACATAGTCTCTGGTTGATATTAACATACAAAGGCTTGGATATTATTTGGGATCTCTTAGATGTTTGCTGAGCACTCAATACATTTTTTTGACGTAAAAATGAACCGAATTAAACTTTAATCTTCTGAATAAACCAAACTCAGTGTTACATATTGTTATTGTTAAATCGAGTTAGTATTGTTACAACTTTTTTAATCTTTATAAATTTTTATTGGTTATAATGCTGGATTTTTTTCTTTGAACTAAAAGAGGAAAAAAGGAAAAGAAAAAAAGGAGAACTACACTCTTCTTATGGGCTTCTACAAGTTCCTACACTCTTCTACATTTTTTTAATAAAATTGTTTTGAAAAATATTAAACCACAACACTACTGAATATCTTAAATCTGAAGTTCTTTTAAAAAAATAAGAACTAACATACTTATAAAAATGATTATTTCTACTCGAACAACACATTACGCTTTAGAGTATTCATCTATTCTGTCCATCAAATATACATTTAGAAAAATGCAAACAACACTCGCATAAATCACGAGCCCCGGAGCCCGAGCCCTAGAAAACTAGTTTAGGTCTAATTAGCAACTTTAAAGCTATGAGAGGAAATGATGAATGAAGGTAAATTTGATACAAGCTAAAACCTAAACTTGAGATTTGTTCAATAATTTAGGTGTGAGCTTAAATTTAGCTATTAAAAATGTTAAATCACCTACCGATCAACTTGAAACCAAGTTTTTGTTCCATAAATTAAATGTAGCAGCTGGGTAGAAGAAATACAAGTAGTTAATAAAAATATTGTTAAAGAACATCATGAAACACGTGTAATTAATCTAATAAAAATGTTAGGGGTACACCAATGGTTTACCCCAAATATCCCCCACCCCCTCCTTGTCCACTAAAAAGGGCAAAAAAATTCAAAAATAAATAAATAAATAAAAATCAAATAAAAATGTGTGGATGAAAAGAGAGTGGTGTACATTTGAGCTTTTTTTTTGGAATATCCCCCACCCCTCCTTGTACACCTAGCATTACTCTTAATCTAACTATAGAATATTGAGCTTTTTTTCTGACAAATGACAATTGAATATTGAGCATTTGGTTTTGTATATCTTTCAGTCTTTTGCAATCAATTAAAAGATCATTTTTTTTCAAAAAAATATACTCCTCATTGATTAATCAACCTTGACAACCACCAAATTGTCATTTAAAGCACCAAAATCCCACAAATTTTAGCAGTACAGGTTCTACTACTTGAACAGGAAAGTATGCATCTTATGATGATGATGATGATCATCATCATCATGTACCATACATAGGACACATTGTATTGAAGAATGGAAACCCCACACCATCATCAATGCCATCTATGTATGCTTCAACCACACCCACTACACTCAAGAAACCTCACCACACCACTGTCATCTCCACTGTTCACCTCAAAATGTGGCCTCTGCTTCTCCTCCTCTTCCAAGCCACCGCCTCCGCCGCCGTGACTGTCGGCGGCGGGGGCTTCGGAGTGGGAATCGGCGGCGGCGGGGGCGTCTGGATTGGCAGTGGCGGCGGCGGTGGCGGAGGTTCTGGTGGCTCTGACCCAAACCTCCAAAAGGCCTACACAGCTCTGCAAGCTTGGAAATCAGCAATTTCAAGTGACCCATTGGGGATCTTGAAGTCATGGGTTGGCCCAAATGTGTGCAGCTACAATGGAGTCTTCTGCTCCTCATCAGAAGAAGGCGATTCTTTCTCTCAGTCTAATGGGGTTGTGGTTGTTGCAGGTATAGATCTTAACCATGGTAATCTTCAAGGAACCCTAGTAAAGGAGCTGTCTTTATTGACAGATCTTTCTCTCCTTCATCTCAACACCAACAGATTCTCAGGACAAATCCCAGATTCATTTTCAGACCTGAAATCACTCACAGAGCTTGACCTGAGCAACAACCAGTTCTCAGGCCCATTCCCATCTTCCATCCTCCTTGTCCCCAATCTCATCTACTTGGACCTCAGATTCAATGCCTTCTCAGGACCCATCCCAGAGGAGCTCTTCACCAAGAATCTTGATGCCATTTTCCTCAACAACAACCGGTTTACCGGGGAACTGCCCCAGAATCTTGGGAATTCCCCTTCATCAGTCATAAACCTTGCCAACAATGGGTTCTCTGGTGAGATCCCCTTCAGTCTGGGGTATGCAGGCTCAAGGATCAAAGAAATCTTGTTCTTGAACAACCAGCTGACCGGGTGCATCCCAGAGGGGGTCGGGCTGTGGACCGATTTGCAGGTCCTCGACGTGAGCTACAACTCCCTGGGGGGCAGGCTGCCCGAATCGATGTCGTGCCTGACCGAGATCGAAGTGCTCAACTTGGGGCACAACAGGCTGATGGGCGAGCTCGACGAGCTCGTCTGCTCCCTGAGGAGCCTTGTGAACTTGACACTGGCCAGCAATTTCTTCTCTGGGTTGAGCCAAGAATGCAATCAGTTGCCTTTGCGCAATGTTGGGTTCGATTTCTCATTCAATTGTATTCCAGGGAGGCAAATGCAGAGGCCCCAACCGGATTGCTCAGGGATTCGCGGAGGTAGTTTGAGCTGTCTTAGATTCCCTTCAGTGGTGAAACCCATTGTTTGTGGGGCACTGCTTGGTGGTCAGGCCACCCTCTCCAGCCCTCCTCCTCCTCCCAGTTGAGTGAAATTCTACTGTAAGACTGACTGTGTCTTCAAGAAAGAAAGAATTGAGATTCTTGGACCTCAGAATTGTGCTGCTACAAATGTTCTTTTTTGTTGTTGTAAAGCATATCGATTCAGATGAGTTGTATTAAGGATTATGGCTAATACTGTTAATACAACTCGTCTGAATTGATTACGAGGTTGATATCAACTAGCAGATCTCCGGCCTCAATTTCAACCCATTTGAAAGCCTCATTATTATTGTAAGCTTGCGTAGCGGTCATGGCGTCTTGGCCTATTTCTTGAAGATGAAAATGCATATAAACGTAAAAGCCATTTTGGTGTTTTGTGTTACAATCTGTGTTGCCCATGTTGGTGGCGTTCAATTAAACTTGTTGTAGGCTAATTTTGACAAAGAATGGATTTCAGAAATAATTTATGTGAGATGTTGATGAACAAAACTTGTCTTTGAAATCATTATTTGGTGTGGAACTTGGTGTAAATAGTATAATTGTGATATATGTAAATGAATGTTGATGGACAAAACTTGTTTTTGAAATCATTATTAGTGTCAAACTTGGTGTAAATAAAATAATTGTGATACATGAACATAATACAAGGCAATGTATTTATAGGTGGAGATTTGGAGAAATATATTTTAGAATCTTCTACATTAATTGTAAACAATATAAGGTAGTATTGTGTAAAAGTCGGTAAAAATTCTAACAACATTTGGTATCTATTATAATTATAAGATGTAGAGTTGTGCTATCATGGTCCTAAGGTCAATGTGTGAAATATGTATCTTTTCATACTTTTTATGGCCCGACATGAAGATTTTTTAATTTTTCAAAAAACCCAATTCATTAATGGTATTTATATACTAAGGTCGATAAAATAATTGTGGAACTTAGGACCACAAAAGAATTTGCCGAAGATATAATATTAAGCATATTAAATAATTAATATATAGAGTATTTAACATGCTTCCGACGTCGTAGGTGATGAAGGTTGAATGCAAGTATAACTTGAATTAAGATTAAGATCGGAATCAGAAGCATAGAGACAGATCTTCGGCTAAAACACGAGTTGAATGCATACGGACAAGAAGAGAAAAAGGGAAATTGCCGGAAGAGGACGTGATGGTTTGAGGTTGCATAATAATTTTATGACTTGGCTATGGTTATTATGGTAGTATTTAGTTACCCTGGGTACAACTTTAAAAGAAGATTCTACATTTTTTGGGGTTTTGCATAGTTATTTTATGACTTCTCCTAAATTTATGAATATAGTTTATAAAAGACTTAATTTTATCATTCAAAAAAACTAGTGGGGCAGCTTGTTGCCAATTGATCTTTCATTTTGATGTATAAGTTTTTTTCTCATTTGGATACTAAGGGTCCGTTTGGTATACGGAATTGGCAGAATTGGAATTGAATTGGAATTGGAATTTCATGGGATTCAATTCCATAGAATTGAATTCTGTCAATTCCAATTCATTTTTTGCACAATCAATTCCAAATCTATATAATTTTTGTGCTACCAAACACCAGAATTGGAATCGAAGTCTTCAATTTCAATTCCATAGTATGAATTCCATGTAACAAACTGGACCTAAAAAAAAATTTAAAAAATATGTGTGGATCATGTTATTTTTTGTTTAAATCCACATATATTTTAGCACAATTACACACCCACCACACACGTACTTATATGGTCATCAAAATGTTTTCATTCAAAATTTTAATTGATTTTTTTTTGGACAAAAATTAAACTTGTTTCTCTAAAATGAAAGGCAAAACAGGCCCGTACCCCCTCTGTCCCAAAAAGATTGTCACACTTCACTGTTCAAAAATCACGGAAACTTTTGTTTAATTGTGCATTTTCATTGGTTATTAGATAAAATAAAATCTTCTTGTGACCAGAATTTTTGACATAGTTTTTTATTTTTTATTTTCTACACCAATCTTTACATAAAATGAATTAAAAAAGCTTAAAAATTTGTTTCCTTTAGCACAATACTGTAATCTTTTTGGGGACAGATGAAATATATCGTTCATCATGCATGTGTTAAACGTGGTTAGGTTAGCCATAACATCAAATATCGTGGGGGAAATGATCATTGAATTGATTGATATGTGGTGAATGGCATTGTCCCAATTCAACTGGTGCAAATTTCAGTTTAGAATGAACGTTGAGCCAATATGTAACAATCAATCAGAGCCTGTCAATTACCAAAAAAAGAGCTCCCACTTGTCCCCATCTTCATCACTCACTCACTCCACACCCATGTCATTTTCATGCAGTATAACATAATATACACATATATATTTCATAAAAAATAATAATTCAAAACTACATTTCAAAAGGAAATTATTGATATTATATTGGAACACGTTATTTTTTCTGCATATCGAAGTCAAAGTTTGCAAATTTTGACAAAAAAAGTCAAATACGAAGATTAAATTCAGACGGAGAGAGTACTATGAAATGTGAATACAAAATGCTACTCCGTAAACTATACCGAGTAGTTTAACATTTAATTGTGCCAACGCTCCTATTTAGAGTACAAAACATAGAATGATAATACAAAATGCAAAATTGTACTTCCTCCGTCCCCAATTTGATTACAAATTGCGGGTTACGGAGTAAAATTTCCTACTTTTTGAAATTATTTTATTTACAAATTAGTACATGAATAAGATATAAAAATTACATATTAAAAAACTACGTCAAAAGTTCTACAAAACAAGAGGTGACAAGAATATTTTATTTTATCAAATACTTAATGAAATCGCGTAAACAAACAAAAGTTATCGAGAGGAGAGAGAAAAAAAATTGTAATCTATTTAGGGACGGAGGGAGTAACTATTATTAGTTCAATTTCTTTTACTCCGTATTATTTTATAGACATTGATAAAGAATTTTAATAATGATAATCATAATAATAATTGTTACAGAGTATAATAATAATAATAATAATAATATATAAAATGGATGTAAATAATTTTCAATTCACAGTTAGAAGTAATTGGCCAGGATGTGTTTGTTAAAAAATTAGAATGAACTACTAACTACAAGAAACTGTAAACACCCAAAAAGAAAGGAAGAAACTAAAACAAGTTAGCAAAAAAACTACTTGAAGAGTTGTAAGAAATTAGAAATCAAAAAGTTACCACTAAAAATAGAGCCTCAAACTCATTTCCATGATATATGTAGGGAAACCCAAATAGATTCCATTCCTTAAAAAAAGGATATGCCACGTCCTAGGAACAAGGTGAATTTGTATGACTTGTTTTCATCAACCATTGGCTAAGTATTTGAATTTTGAACAAGGGGGCATAATTGAAGACAATACCTTTGACAAGAACACATCCAGGAATATATAAGAGAAATCTCAAAAGGATTACTCCATGTTCCAAATTCAATGTTTAGACTAATCAAATGTCAATGCAAATATTCAAAAAAATGGAAAATAGACACCTTTTTTTTCTCTTTTGCTCATAAATAGGCCAAGAGACCACATTAATTATGGCATGAAAGAAAGAAATAAAGAATGAAGATGAAATGTTGAAGAATAAGTCAAGCAATGTAGTACATGGGATTGGGGTGTTTGAAAGACCTTTTGGCTTCTGCAAATCCCATCAGGTCACTCCACTGATCTCCAGAACTTCCATGGATCCTGTAACCTTCATCTTCTTTTAACCCTTTTCTTCTCTCAGATTTGTAGAGAGTGGCCAATTTTCCTTGATCAGAGGACCCTCTTTTTCCATACCAAAAAAAATAATAATGTTATCATTCATCAATTTAATAGCCCCCTTGGTAGTCTGATAAGGTGTGTGGTGTTAGGGAAAAAATACCTAACTATGACTAAAACATTTTTAGTATAACAAAATAGGGCTTATAATGCCACAAACTAAACACATAATGCAAAAAAAAAAAGTCAAGTGACAACACACAATGTCAAATTGTGGCGCTTACAATGCCAATACTTTTATTTAGGAGATAAAAACATAGGTCCTGTGTTGGTATAAATTTCATGTTTCGGTCAAATTTTGGTAGTTTTCTTATGCTTTTATACCAAACTCTGACCTATAATGCCAAAACTCAATGGAAGAAAACATGGTGAAATGCGAACACACAATGCCATATTACGGGCATTTCATAGTGCCAACACCCCTATACGTGAGATAAAACATACTCGTATAAGATCATAGTTACTTTACTACTCCGAATAAGTTTCATGTTTTAATCTAATTTATGTAGATTTCTCTTTGTTTAAGAGGTTTGGGTTGAAAAATGATACCTCAAAATGAGCCTTTCCCAATCACTATATCCAGCATAATGCAGATTCTTTTCTGTAGAATTCCTTTGATCCTCGCTCCGGCCTGTCAACAAGAAGATTTTAAAACCCCTCTTCTTTAACTCGTTGTACAACCTCAAACTTGCAAGTATGGCAGGGGCTTTGGCCTTTTCCGCCCATTCATTGTAGGAACTTTCGTCAAAGACCTCTGTCCTGCACCCACAAAAGAGCAGTTCATGGCCAAAGCAAAACACATATTCAAACATCATAAATTCAAACCATTACCAAGAAGACAGATAAGCATAACAAATCCAGTAAGATCTCACAAAGAATAGGGTTCAGAGAGGGTATGTCTACACAGACCTTACCCCTACTTTCAAAGACATCCAGCTCAAACACAAAAACACAAAATCCTACATAGTAGGATTAGTAGCATGAACAAAGTAAGATTGCATACACAAGAACCACACACACCAACACTAGCAAGTAACAACTAAATCCAAAGCATAAGAAACACACATGCACAAGCTACAAGTTAAAGGAAAAAAAAAGTGCATGAGCATAGATTATAAACTAAGGTTCAAATGTACGTCTACTCAAGTATTATAATCTTACATCTCCAAACGTTCCAAATAAAACTATTTTTTATGTTATACTTTTGGTCAAGTTTTGCAAAACTTGACTACAACTTGTGAAACAAGTACATTTAGTTATGATGTGAATTCAATACAACTTGGTTCATTTTCAAACGTAGCTTTGATTTATCGAATTTTTAAAACATCTATCTATTTAAACTTATATTTACTACAATTGGCCAAAAAAGTCAAAAAATTAATTTTTTTTAGAGACGAAAAGAGTACTCATACAAAATGAGAGGTAATTGTATTATTTTACCAAAAAATATGTAAAGAAAAAAGAAAATAGTAAGATATCATGAATCACTAAGAGCACCACCAATTTGACATGAATGATTGACAAGCAACTTGTACAACTAAGGCCTTGTTTGGAACAGTATTTTTGATAGCTAAAAGCTATTGATTGTTAGATAGCCATTGCAAAATGTTAAAGCTCGGATTCCAAACGGAGGAGTAGAAGACGAATTTCACTCACCCAAATCCATGTTTATCATAATAAGGAATGTTTGACAGCAAAGTCTCGTCGATATCGAAGACCCAACCGTCCTTCCCGTCGCCGGCGATGTCCACCGTATCGGCGAACGCCAGAGAAGCGTTGGCGACGGCATCGGAATCCGATCGGTACCTGTCGCCGGTCATGTAATCCCGCACGAAATCCTTGCATCTCGCCGGAAGCAAGGTCCAGGCGGAGGCGTCATTAGTCTCGACGGTGAACTTCCAGCTCTCGCAGTACAGATCCACGTCTCTGAGGATCTTCCGGTGATGGAACAGCCGGTCGACGGCGAGGAAGTCCCAGATCGATTGGGCGCCTGAAGTGGAAGGCACTGAGAGGACGATGAAGATCGCAGTGACGAGGACGACGAGGTTTCGATTCATGGCCGACATTCACAGGTGAGGCCTTGAGGTGGGCAAGGCGGCTTTGAGTCCTATATAACTATGCTAATGAAATTGGTTACGGTGGACCTTTTTAGTCCACTCTAAAATTAATTTACAGAGTATCATACAACTATTTTTTTTAGGGGAACCCATAATGCCGTTCTCGCATAATTATTGTTTTTTTTAATTATAAATTATTACGGAGTAAATTATAAGCAAATCTAAGGGATGTTTCTCATCACTTGAGTGATAAGAAGCTCGCTCTTTATGAATTGATGAACAAGTTTATTCAGATTCAGTTTTCAGCAGAGGTAAAAACATAATTTTTTGTGTGTCACATATTAAGGTGAAAAGACATTTGAGGACATTTGAGCAAGGTCTAACGCATGGGAGGCTCGGAGGGTGTGCAAAGAGGCCAACCGCACAGGGCACCTTAAAATTTAGGGCACCATATTTTTAAATTTGTTGATAATTTTAAAACAAAACTATTCTAAAAATATAAAATAGGGCACAAAATGTAAATTTTAGACCAGGCGAATTTTATTTTTTTATTTTTCGGTGCCGGCCATGGTCTAATGGACATGTTCACATGAATGCCACATAACAACTACTCCGTACATGATGACAACCACATGGCCATGTTCTTTCAAGAGTGAGATGTGCATGCATCTTTTCTTTATAATGGAGCATCGTCTTCAATATGAAGGGAGCCAATCTCATTCTCTTTGATACTTAGCCTGATGGTCTTTAAGTTAAAAATTTATGTATAAAGGTCCGTGACCTTTCTGAGAGTGCCAGCAAAGGAGTTCTAACCCGTTTTAAAAAAGTTTTCTGAGGTTTCGAGCTTGGCTCCAGGCAGTGCTTGGATGTCCTTGACTTTAGTTGATTTGTACAAGTCTTAGCGGTCATAAGTTAAAAGCAATAGATAGATATGCTGGAGAGGATGAATACGGACTTTCCATGATGTTATATGAAGATGTACTCCCTCCGTCCCAAAAAGAATGGGACGGTTTGATTTTTTTGGAAATTAAGGGAGGGATATTTTGGTATTGGCTTTCCAAAAATACCCTTGATGTGATGGGTAAAAGTATGATGTGATGGGTAGATTATTAGGAAAAAGGTATGATGTGATAGGTAGAGTATGAAAAAGTAAGGGGTAAAAGTGGTTTTTTAATTGAAATGTAACGGACTTTACGGGACGCAGTTTTTTCTAAACGTAACAAACTTTTTGGGACGGAGGGAGTATCTGACTTGCATGATATTGCATGCTTGTATGCGAATGTGGAGCTACTCTCTGTGAATTAATTATGGTGTTAGATATATTTAGTTGAGTGTGTGGTCTTTGCTCTCTTTTACTACACGCAAGTAGGGGTTAGGGATTGGACAAGCAACCTAGCAGCCAGTGATGCAGCGCATTGTGGATGACCTCGCTGACCTTATTCAACTAAGTTGCATAATTTATTTATTTAATCTCTCATATTGTTTATGTTGGTTTCAAGGCTTCCGCAATACTTGGATTTATTTTACTCCTATATACTTATGAATACTTCTAAATTATTATGAATGGATGTTTTTTTAATGTTTTAAAATGAATTGTCATGTGGATGCTATTTAGTGATGTCATGTGGATGCTATTTAGTGATAACACAGGTTGTGGTGTTAAAGGATGATTGGTCTATTTATCTCTCACGTGACATGATTTATCATATGTGACTCATACTTTGGCTCAATTTATGAAGGAGCCATGAGATGAGCATTGGGACGTTGCACTAGGCATGGTGAGATGTATAAAAGGTTGTCCCGGTCGAGGCTTTCTTTTATCATCAACTAATGATTAATGGCGATTAATGGCTGACTGGTTGGTATGATTCCAATTGGATTTCTTGCCCTTTGACTACTTGATCTTTGACTGGATTACTGGTGCAACTTGAAGGTTCTCTGATTCTTGGAAGGTAAAAAAAATAAACTATCGAGACACATTCATCATCAGAGGATAAGTATTGATGTTAGCAACCAAAACATGAAAACTCAAGTGGCTAAAAGACCTTCTCCACTCACTCGGTGTTTCTCAGTTGGATCCTTTAAAAATTTCTTGTGATAGTACTATTGCATTGCATATTGTTGCAAATTCTATTTTTCATGAATTATTTTGAGGGGTCATTTGTAGTGAGCATGTCTCTACTATTTCGCAGTTGGTAGACATGCACACTAAGGCATTCAGCAAATCTCGCTTGGAGTTTTAAATTCATTGTGCATTTTGTAGTTACATACTTCAATTGAGTTGTTATCATCTAGTTTTAAAGTCTAAATGTGAAATATAAACATTATTCTAACACTTTTCATGGACTAGCAAATAGATTTTTTTTAATTTTTTGCAAAAGACTCAATTTCTTTATGATGATAGCAAAGCACTAAGATTTATAAAATGATGTGAACCTTAGAACCACATAAGAATCCATATTTTAATCATTGTTTTAATTTATTTGTGTTCGCATCAAGTGTAAGTCAGACGACCGATTATTATTGTGTTTCCTTCTACTACTACCGTTTACTATGCTACCCTAAGAACCCTTATTATTTGATTGAAAACTACTTGTGAGTCTCTACTTTCCCGTCAACTTTTCTAATTTGAAAAAAGACGCAACCTTAAATTTTAAAATGAGTAATTTTAATGTTAGTTTCTAATTTTATCTTTACATTATACTCTGTAATAGAATAGGATGAGATATGTAGGATATTTAGTTGAGTCTTAATTAAAAAATAACATCAAAATTACTTTTTTTAAATGCGTTTTTTTAAACAGGAATGAGAACAGAGGGAGTATAATGATACATTGCTTCCCTATACATGAATTATGAATATACCCAAAAGTCTTCCTCATTCTCAAAGTATTAGTTCAATTTTACTTTTACGAATTAAATTGAATAAACATAAATCATTAATTAAATACAAATTATATTATATTTATTTTTTGACGGTATATAATGTTTCTTTGATTGTAATATATATATATATATATATATATATATATATATATATATATATATATATATATATATATATAATCACTTGCATTGAATATTAGCAATATAATCCAAGCCTTTTATTTTCTTGAACCACACATGAAATTTTGATACTACTAATTAAATAGAGTGGAGGGAATATAATGGGAGGTAATTAATTGGCAAATAAAGCTGGTGTAGATATTATTATTTTTTATTATATATTGCTTCAAAAAGAATTACACAAAGTCAAAACGTATCGAATTGGATGTGTGCAACCAAATCCGTTGCACCCATTTAGTAAAAAATATATTTAAAAAAATCCCAATAATTGTGTGGAATTGAAAAAAAAAAGTACAAAAAAAGGACATAAAATAAATAAAAGCATTGAATCCAGATTCTTCAACTTGTATGTATGTATCCACCACAGCTGCTACTACATACTTGGCTCTCTCCACCAGCTCATCATTGAGAGAAACCATAATCTTGAAGGCAAGAAATAATAACCTGATGAATCACAAATTAATTAAATATATGGTAACGTAATTAATTTTATTAAATATCACATCTTTAATTTACTGTTATTATCATCACCATAAATAATACAATTACTACGTGATTTGAATAGATCAGACCCGAGATTTATGGAATTAATAAGGAAAATGCTTGGTTCACAAACAAAATTGTCATAAACTACACAAACTTACTATTTTGAACTTCAATAAATAAAATTAAATGGTCTAAACTAATTTTAAAATGAAAATTTAAACCATAAATAGTAAATTTGTAAAGTTTGTGAATATCCTGTTTGTGAACGTAGCATTACTCAATTAATAATATCATGGAAGAAATTTCATATTTTGAAATAAAACATTGAATGTTTTTATATCAAATTAAGATTATAATGCCAAATTCTCCTTTCTTTTTTCATCCGTCTCAAAAAAACACTTCTCAATTCTATTAAAAAGTCACTTTTACCCCCTTACCTTTTCATACTCTACCTATCACATCATACCTTTTTACTAATAATCTATCCATCAAATCATACTTTTATCCATCACATCAAAGAACATTTTTGGAAATTCAATACCAAAATACACTTCCCTTAAATCCCTCTTCAAAATCAAAACTCTCATGTTTTACGGGACGGAGGGAGTAATATCAAAATATTGTGTCAAATAACATTATACGGAGTAACATACAAACACACAATAACATTGCAAACATTTTACAACGTCACGCTCTGATTCAGAGGATCAGAATATATAATTCCAAACTAATATTTCACGTAAACCAAAATAAGAAAACATATATAATATTGAAAATAATTTACTTACCAATAAAGAAAAGAGAAAGATGTTGCATTGATGGATGGGATGGATGGATCAATAGCCCTGGTCAACGAGGTAATCGCCCAACCTCTCCACAACCATGTTGCATTGCCCGGGAGTCATCGGCTCATCGTATATTCCAAAGAGCAAGCATTGTGTCGTCTTCTTCACTGTCACGCCGCCCTGTCCCTGCACCGTAGTAATATGATAATAAATCATGTTAATAAAAAGATCGAATCAAATCAATTATCTAATTCAACTCAAGACCTAATACATATCCATCCTGCTCAATCTTGCCAGGGACACCACAATAATTTGACTAATTTCACACCATCCCGCTCATCATTTGTCTAACACTCCTTCCGTCCTAACGATTACTCTTTCCGAGTCAAACTCGATGAACTTTGAGTTCCAATTGAATAAAATACGTAACGTATATTTATATATATAAATGATTTTCTTAGACTTGTCTTGTTAATCTGAGTACTTTCAAAATTTTATTTCATTATACAAATATGAAATACAAATTAAGAATAACAGAAGCTCAAAATTTCGTTCAGTTTGACTCAAAAAAAGTCAAACTAGACAAAATAGTCTGTGCGGTGGTAGTACTCCATATATCCACGTATATGTACGAATAATAACACGTACCTTTTTTCCTCGGACGACAGCCCCGGGCTCGCCCTGGATCACCATGTACTTTGTGCCGCCGAGATGCAGGCCGGTCGGAGCCAGCGAACCGGGCTCATCAAAGTCCTTCATGATCGCCATTATCTCCTCCGGAGTGAACTGTGCGCACGCGTTATATGCATATATCCAAATCAAAACGTAATTTAGAAAATATTACTACATTTTTATTTATAATACACCCATTTTTAAATAAACCAAATTCTTTTTCAAAAAAAAATACAGTAATTAATTTTACTCTGCCTCAACATTCCCTGTCTATTAATTACAAAAAACGCCACCATGATTACCAGATTTTACTCAATTTGATCAAAGCCGTTATATTACAACCCTTAGATCTGAAATCCAATGCACCCACCCAATTATTTTTTAGTTTTCACATTAAAAATCCAATTAAATACAATCTTGACTTTTTATTTTTTGAAAAAAAAATCTTGACGAATTAATGTATAATACGTAAAATGCATAATATGGGCATAAGAAATGGGGATGCTATGGTTATGAATTTTTAAATTTCAAAAATAAAAAAAAAAGGGGGGNGGGGGGGGGGGGGTTAATTATGATGAAGAATATATAAATTATTATTTAGAGAAAAGAAAAGAAAATGAGTAGGAAAAGGCGGACCTTGGGGAAGTTGGGGGTCTGAGCCCAGACGCTGCCGTCGTGGCCGAGGATGGCGGCGGAGGTGAGCTTATTATTGCCTTCGATCTCGCACATGAGCTGATCGTCGATGTACGTTTGCCACGACATCTTGGGACGATTCTTTTACTAATTAAGGTAATTAATTAACGTAAGTATGGTATGTAGGGGGGAGATTAATATAATATATATAAATACGGGAGTTTATTATTTATTTATTTATTATTGATGGGGAGGGTGGGAATGAGAAATAGTAAAAGGGAGCGATGTGAGGAGGAATGGGTGGGGAGGGAGGGGTATGGTATATATAGGATTGGGGGGTTTGTGTTTTTAACGGACGTTGTAACGGGTGGTGTATAGAAGAAGATGCATCCCGGGCACACATCCGAGAGGATCACGCCCATCCCATGCATTATTCATTATTATTATTATTATTATTGTACGTTTTTATATATTTTTCTTCCTAATTTGTCATCCATTATTCATTATTATTATTATTATTATTATTATTATTATTATTGTTTGTGCATTATTATTATTACTTATTAGTTTTAGTATTATTATTATGCTGTATTATTATTATTATTAGTATTATTAGTATTATTATTATTACTATTGTTATTATTATTATTATTATTATTATTATTATTATTATTATTATTATTATTATAATATACTTCCGTCCCTGAAAATCTTTCTCATTTCTTTTTTCATCTGTTCCAAAAAACATTTCTTATTTCTATTAAAAAGTAACTTTTATCCTTTATTATTTTCATACCCTACCTATCATATTATATCTTTTTACTAATAATATATCCATCAAATCTTACTTTTACTCATCACATCAAAGAACATTTTTGGAAATTCAATACCAAAATACACTCTCCATAAATCTTTTAAAAATCAATAACTCCCATTGCATGTTTTTAGGACCAGAGGGAGTATTAAAAAGTTATCCAAACCGTAAATATATACTCCCTCCGTCCCAGAGTATTTGCCCACTTTCATTTTTAAACACCACCCAATACACTTCTTTAATTCATTTTATCTTGTAATTTGTATATTAAAAAATTATAGAAATTATATATTAATAATCTATATGTTAAGAAAAATCAAACAAGATCGCACATTACTATATTTAGGCATACACATTGAGAGAATTTGATGAGTCAAAGTGCTTAGAACAGTTCCAAAAGTAAAAAATGGACAAAAATAGCGAGACGGAGGTAGTATAATTTAAAACGATGTTCTCAAACATACAAATTGTTGTAATGGTTAAAATTATTACATATTCCATCCGTTCTAAATTAAATTACATATTTACTATTCGCAAGGTCAATATGCAATAATTGCTTTCTTTCTCTATTTTAATTTGGTTACGCATTTGATAAAACGATATAGTCATGTCATCCGTTATTTTGTAGTGCTTTTGGTGTAGTTTTTTAAAATTTCCAAATTACCTATTAAATTGTATTAAAAATATTTTCAGTCAAATATCGTAAACTGAAACAGACGATTCAAATTCGGAAGAGGGTGTAGTGTGGGGTACTTATTATTGTTGTTCTTATTGTTATTGCTATTAATGAATACGGAGTATTACTTTTTTCGTCTTATAAACCATATATTTCTTTCTTTTTTAGTAAATTCTCAAAATGGTACTCAATAATTATGTGTGTTTCCAAATTAGTTCTCAGAGCTAACTAATTTCCGAAATGGTACTCGGTAATTCAGAATAATCCTCAGTTCAGTCTCCCCGACTAACAGCCGCTAAAACAACGTTTAAAAGCCGTTAAACCATATATTACTTTCCCAAAATGGTACTTTTTAAATTCGTGTTTTTTCAAATTGGTCTATTTTCAAAACAAAAATACTTTAATTACATAAAAATATTTTAAATTTTATAGGATGACAATATAATACTTAAAACTATAAATATAATTTTATAAATTTAAAAGCAAATGTTTTCGATTGTTTATAATTATTTATAGGAATAGCATGTAAATAAAATGTTTAATAATCATTAATGAAATCACTCTAAGTAGGAGTAAAACATAAATGAAGTACCAAAATATAAGCTCTTTCTCTATATTTAAATATAAGCTCTTTCTCTATATTTTACTCCTATTTAGAATGTTTTCTTCAACGTTTATTAAATATTTTGTTTGCATGATATTCTTTTAAATAATTATAAATAATCTAAAACATTACTTTCAAATTTATAAAATTATATTTTAATATTATATTATCATCCTATAAAATTTAAAATATTTTTTCATATTTAATGTGTTTTTATTTTAAAAATGGACCAATTTGAGAAAACACACAGTTAGAAAGTGTCATTTAAGAATAGTATAAGATTTAACATTGTTTTAACGGCCGTTAGCCGGGGGAACTAAGCTGAGCATTATTCTGAATTACCGAGTACCATTTCGGGATTAGTTAGCTTTGAAGAATAATTCAAGAAAACACATAATTAATGAGTTCAATTGTAGGAATTTACTCCTTTCTTTTTTTATAAACGTAATTTCAAAGAATATTAAATTTCTATTAAAAGAAAAAAATGTGTCTCGCAAAATTTCTTTTTTTGGGTCTGTTTGGGAATAGCGTTTAAGATTAATGTTAGCATTTTGGAAAGGCTATCTACGATCAGCGTTTAGCATTAGCATTTTCAAAATAATCTACACTGTTAAAACTTTATCTAAAATGCTAACGCTAATTTCTAACGTTATTTCCAAGCAGACCCTTTATCTATTACTCTGTAAAAGTGCACGTTCACTTTACAATATACTTTTTTTAGAAATTTTATAATCAAATCATCTGTTTTTTTTATCGAAGAGTATAATTATTACAGTAATTTATCTGTCGTCCTTAAATTGTGACTTCAAAAAGTGGATAACAGAAAGTAAGTGAATACTATTTATTAGAAAGAGAAATGTTTTCAAGAAAGAGTGATGCTTATATGATCCCAAAATCCACATTTAAAATGTAGACTTTTTTACATTTTTTAGCATGTGGATATTTTTTTGTTGCAAAGGCCAAATTCTTTTATGCTACAAATATATTAAAATCCATAAAATAAGCATAGAACTTAGCATATGTTTGGATGAGAGAAGAAAATTAGAGGAAAGAAAATGAGAAGAAAGAAAATAGAGAGGAAAGAAAATGAAGAGAAATTAGAAGGAAAATAATGGGTGTTTGGATAAATAGAAAATGAAGAGAAAATAAGATGGAAAGAAAATACTCTTTTTCTTTTCTTTGTTTGTTTGAAGTGAAAAGTGGGAAGAAAAAAAGTGATGGAACAAAAAAAGACAATTTTGCCCTTCAGAAAAGTCAGGATAAAGGACAAAAAAGTAAATTTCAAAGTTTTTTCCTCTCCTTGTGTAGTTTTCTCTTCAATTCCAGGGAGAAAATTTTGAGAGAAAAAGTCACCCTCACTTTCTTTGTTTCTCCCCTTTTCTTTTCTTTCCAAACAAGAGAATTTATATTGGGATTTGTGTTTTCTCTTCCTCCATTTTCTTTCTTTCCATTTTCTCTCCTTCCAAACAAAGCATTAGATTCACAAAATAATTTGTCTTCAACAAAACATTATTTAAAAAAGGATAGTTGAATCCCATTTAGGTTATGGGAATAATATTTAGTCACATGAAAAAGTATGAAATGATTCATTAGTGCGATTCCGTTCTGGCAAGGGCTGGATCTTTTCATTATTAACTCAAATCATTACATATGTGATTATTGTTTTCCTCAAAAATCATACGAAGTACTACGTTTTAGTGTGTGCTGATACCTTCAAAAGAAAATACGGAGTACTCCGTAAAATATAAGGCCGCTGATAAAAACACCATTTTTCATTAAATTTCCAGTTTTTAGAACTTTTTTCATTCTCCCAACAATCACTTAAGAATATTATTTAGGAGTACTTTATATTTATTATTATTATTATTATTATTATTATTATTATTATTATTATTATTATTATTATTATTATTATTATTATTATTATTATTATTATTATTATTATTATTATTATTATTATTATTATTTTGCCCTTGATATGATAAGTAAGGTAAGATAAAGTTAAGATAAAAGAATTTTTTTTTATAGGAACCGAGTATTTTAGAGAAAAAAATGAAAAAGAAAATATTTTTTAAAAAATGGATGGAGTAGAATGTTAGGTAGATTTAGGAAGAAATTAGACGGTAAAACAAAGCCATGATGGAGGCCCAGATCATGCTATGACATTCAAATCGAATGTCGCATGAACCGTGGTGTTGTTATTAGTTCTACATCATCATCATCATCACTCCGTATAACACTACTTCTTTTCAACACTTTTCTAGTAAGAAAAGATCAGAATGGAAGTAACATTGTGAATAGATCTAGTCTAACTAAATGAATCTGATTTGAATGAAACATATCATATCTCAAGAATAAATTGGGGAAAATGTGGCCACAAAGTATACCTAAAACACATAAGAATACGCATTGACAACATAATCGGCGTCAAGACCATATCTCTGCAAATCAAAGTGCATGAGATAGAACAGACACGTTTTGTGCCATCTCATGGACCATACCAAATAAGTGGCTCTGTTCTTGTTAGCATAACAACTGGAAAGACTTTGAGAGTTTGAGGTACCCAAAAAAAAAAAACTCAGATTCTGTAAACGGGAGTGATACCCAGCAAGTGGAAGCACTTCCTCATGACAACTGCCGTGGCTTCGCATAGCAAGAGGCGACTCGCTTCCTCAGCTGAACCTACCACCTGAACATTCACAAATAAATAATGTAACTACTTTTCAGTGACCAACTAAATTTTGGGGTAAGTCCATATATCATCATCATTAAAGGCATAAAGAGAATCAGTAAATGAAATCGTCGCACGGAGTATTAAAATAGGAGATACTCGCCTTGATCCATTTAAAAAATGGCCTGCTGCTTTATGCAGAGTATGTGATTTTTGTTATACTAGTACTTTTATACTATAATTATTCGTAGAGAGCGTTGCGTACCTGACAATTTGTATAGAATCTTGTGAAGTCCTCAGATAGGTTATATAGATACTCGCACAGCAAGTTTGGTAAAAGATTCGAGCAAGCTTCTTCAACAACCTACAGGCAAGGAGGAAGGTAGAGCAAAATGCAACAACGAAAATAAAAGTGATCGATTATGGCAATGGATGAGATGAGGGATTTGGCAATTTACCTCAGGAAACTGGAGTAAATGGAGTCCCAACACACGCTCATCTTTATGAGCCAAATCCAGTGTCTCGTTCTGTTCAATGGCCATGGCATCACTCTTAGAAACTAGCTTGGATAACCTTCGTTACCAAGATTAAGTTGGGGTGGGTGTGGGGAGGCAAATATTGCGATACAAAAAGAATAGGAGAATGTAAGGCGAATTTCATTGGAATGACTTTTATCTTGCTTCATACCATTATCTTTACTTTGAAGTTTGAAGGGCAGAAAAGGAGGCAAATATAAATATGCTTCAACCTCTCCCTAACAATCTCCAAGACATAGTTCCATAAACTTAGGTGTCATTTGGAAATGCTATTTTTTCTATTCTGTTTCTGAAAAAGGAACTGTTATCCGAAAACAGAAACTAAAAATGCATTTTGCTAGTGTGTTTTGTTTGGTTTCTAAAATAATAAAAGAGTTTTGAAAATTATTCAACACAAGACACGTTTTCATTCCAAGTTTTCACATTTTCTACAGTAAAAACTATGTATAAAATGTGTACAGTTTCAGTATAATAATACTCTGTACACCATAAGTATATCACATATACAAACCAAACAGATCCACCAACATACTTTATAATATATAGAAAATTGAACACAAAATAAATTAAAACAAAAAAATGGAAGCAAATACGAAGTGATATACTCCCTCCGTCCAAAATTAAAGTTCTCACTTTCCTTTTCGGCCCGTCCACAAATAATGTTCCCATTTCCTTTTTTAGTAATTTTTCTCTATCAAAATGTCTAAAGTACCCTCCACATCATATTTGTTTCCTTTTCTCCTTCCTGCCGCACCCTCTCCATTTCTCTTTCTTTCTTTTCCTTTTCTTCTTATCTCCTTTCTTCTTCTTCTCTCCTTTTTTCTTCTCCTTCTGTTTTTTCTTCTCTGTTTTTTCTTCTCTTTTTTTCTTGTTCTTTTTCCTTCTTCCTCTCTGTTCTCCTCCCCCTACGATTTGTTCTAACGACTTATTTTTTCTTTCGTTTTTTTGTCTTCTTTCTTTTCTTCTCCCCCCTCCCACTCTTCTGATTTGGTCCAGCCGCCCTCCATCTTCATCTCTTCTTCTTTTTTTTCTTCTTTCGCTCATATCTTTGTCAAATCTTAGAAATTCGATCCAGATCTGTAAGGAGAACATCGGTGATGAAGGATCTTCTTCACCTTCTTCTTCAAATGTTTTTCATCTTCTTCACATCTTCTTCTATTCTTCCACCTTGGTGCCGGAATAGCTCGATTTGGCTTGAAAGGATGCCCATGATGATTCTAAAATATTAGGTTGGGAGAAATTTCTCTTTGGCCAGAAATTTCATAGTTTTGAATTGCAAGACTTTTTTTCTGGCCGGTTCTAATGGTTGGGCGGCGGTAATTTGGGCAGGAAACGCAGGATAGGAATGGGTGGGGTAGTGGCAAAGTGGGGGTATTCTGGGAAAGTCAATGTAAATTTTAACTTCTATTTAACTCCGTGCCCGGTCAAAGCGGGAACAATAATTTTGGACGGAGGGAGTAAAACACAAAACCAGACGTCTTGCCAAAGAAACCCTAATTGAGCATGAAATGAAAGATAATTCACTTTGGTAGTTAGGGCATGCTATGGTTGTGGGTTCAACATCTCAATTTCCACAATTCCACTCACACAATACAATCGCCTCACGCCTCCACAAATACAAGTCAGAACAGCACATTAAGAATAATGATATATTACCTTTATCAATTCCTCTATATCCTTTCCTGACTTCTTGATGATTGAACAGATTCGTGCATGTGCATACAGCAGATATACAGCAGTATTGCCCTGATAATAAAAAGGGACCAAGTAGATCAATGATACATCAATAGTAATTGTGGTAACATTAGGTATCAAGTCATGAGAATTCAAAATCAGCAGCATACCTTGTCGTTGAGCATCTGATCGAAATTGAAGGTGTAATTGGTCAGTCTATTGTTTTTCAAGTCAGCATATCTGTTTTAAATTTAAGAGCAGAAATATAAAGACAGGGACATTTATATTGCCAACAAACCGCTACACTGTCAATAATGTCAAATAATTGAATCCACTTAATATCAATTATCCAGATTAAACAGGTACTCAATCAAGCATGGAAACTCCATATTAGAATCAGGGGAAGGGAAATAGCTGCAGAACAGTTTGCAAAGTCAGGGAACTCACTTCACAGCGCCGTATCCAACTGCTTCAGCAGTTTGCTCAAGCTCCTCTTCAGTCCACTCATCTGCTTTGCCTGATGATACAAGTAAAAGTAACAATGTCATGTAAGCTACAAAGAATTTTAGAGCATATCCATCCCTTCACTATCAATAAACCTGCATATTCACTCTGTAAATACGAAAAAACATGTATCCACACTTTGTCAATCCAGTTTTCTACTACATTCCACAGGGAGTCTATATTATTATTAGTACAAACTAATAAAACCTTCATTTCGTTTTGAAGTTTGTATTTTTTTTAGAATGCACACTTCAATACAACAACAAAGTGAATCCCACAAGCGGGATCTATGGATAGGTGGATGCAGACCGCACCCCTACCTAAATTTTGGAAATTTTTGTATTGTTTTTTTCACAACTTACATTAATGAATTGAATCATTTTAGAAAATTGTTTGTGATCAAAACCACATCAAACTTTAGCTATACTCAAAATTGAATCGAATGACTTTGCCATGTTTGATGATTGTTCACATCACATTTGTATTCTAGCCACTTCTTACATAACTTTGGCATAAGTTGAAGATGAACTTTTTGTAAATTATTCAACTCATTTTTAAAATTTACATATATTTGAACTTCGTGTAAAAGTTGTTAACTTAAACTTGTGTATAAATGAACCGAGTAACTGAATAATTAAATTAACAATAACAACAGATTCTGTATAATGATAACTCTGCTGGGTATGGTGTCAAAATTTTTGCAATCTTAGCCCATAAAAAACAGAAGCTTCAATTTGAACATTACTTGTTACTACCCAAAACTTCGTAGAAGGTAAGAAACAAGAAAAGAAAATGTACTTAGTATTTCAAAATTAGCAAGCTTGTTAAATCTGACTCCCAACAAGTTCTGGAGCAAGTTTAGTAGCTTGCTACTCTATAGAAGTGTGATGGCTGCAGAAGGGAGTATCTTTCTTTGATGACTGCAGACGGCCACTTGCTAGCAGTCACCTACCTGTCCAGAAAATTGGGTGCATATTGGGTACGTTTTTCAACCCCAATGGTGTATATTTGCACAAATTGACTACCAAATACATGGGTTGGCTGATATATTTGGAGTAGAGTGAATATTAGGGTCCACTCACCCATCCAGCACATGGGATGGAGATGGTCTCACATTTTTACTCAGCATTATACAGACTGAAATCAAGTTAAAGAACCAAATAGGATACACAAGTAGAAACTAGGAGCAACATGTAGCCTCAAATTGTCAAACTTAAGAAGGAACAGTCATTCAATTAATGACACACCTCTTTCAACAAGAGCTGCTTTACACCGGCTCTTGGCCTCATCAAGTAAATCAATCAACTTTACAACTTCAGTACTTCGAGTACGAAACCGTTTCCCATCTTCTCCTAAAACCATACCAAACCCCACATGGCTTGCTTTTGGGTATGCATTCTCCTCAGACGGAAGCCAACCTGCACGTCTTGCGGCCTGGAAGAAGATTGGTGGAAAACATAGTGCAGTAAACTTTATTATAAATAATTTGGAGCCTGACCCTGTTTCCTGTGACAAGACATGGTATTGAAGACTTACAACAAAAACCATTTCAAAGTGATCTCGCTGGCCAGAATCAGTGACATAAATAATCCACTCTGCCTTTTCTGTATTCAGTCGATACCTAGAAATTTGCAAATATGATATAAAACAATCTTAATAGAGCCAAACAAATCCCTGCATTATACAAGTGCTTCTGTTACTATTCTAAACAAGCATAATTTGGGAACTCTCATAACATTTTCATATTTTAATCAGCAACATAAAATTCCAGGAAGTATTCACAACAACAACAACAACAAGCCCAGTATAATCCAAACTCTGTTGGGGTCCTGGGAGTCATGTAATCATGTTGTACACAGCCTTAACCTAGTAAAAAAAGTGAGGTTCTTCTGAAGACCTTTGATGCATTTTCTGTTTAGGAACTCTCGTAAACATTTTCATATTTTAATCAGCAACATACATTTCCAGGAAGTAGGCACAACTACAAGCCCAGTATAATGCCAACTCTGTTCGAGTCCTGGGATTCAAGTTGTGCCCAAACCTACCCTTGTAAAAAAAGTGAGGTTGTTCTCAAGACCTTTGATGCATTTCATGCCCATTGGCATATTCTCAAATCCGATCATCAATCCACGTACACATACACTATACATAAGATAAAAGCAAAATTCATTTCAACTGAGGGATATTTTTGCAATTCATTCATCTACAATGTAACAGACTACTTAGCCCTCAAAAAGATTTTTTACAGCCCAGTGCAGTGGTGCACAAAGCATCCCTGCGAGCGGGGATCAGGGGAAAGGTCCCACTACAAGGATGTAATGTAGGCACCCTGCATATCTGGACCAGAACCCATGATCTCACGGTCACACAGAAACAAATCAGCCATTGCGCCAAGATTTCCCTTATCAGATAAACTCAATTTACATTAAAGATATTGTCAGATAAACTCAGCTTATGTTTTGGATATTTTCAGCATAAACCATAATTCCTATTTTCAGTCAACCATTAATTTGGTTTACCTTGCATCTGATATGTAATGGAAAGGCTACTAGAAATACAAGTTTGAGATAAAGTGATCACACAGAACTAAGACATCACCAACAGATGAACAAAAAATGTCCATTTTGTTAAAGAAATAATAACGTTTTAAATTGCATCCAGAAAACAAACATCCAAATTACACTTACCATATAGCAGCAAGATCCGTTGAAGAATAGTTGTAACCGCCATCACTCTTTACAACAATGAGTGGATAGTTTTTCCCTTCTATGAAGATGACACGAGCACCATCGCTTTCTTCAGTCAAGCCCTTTTTATTTAATAGTTCTATAACCTCAGGAATAATAGGATTGTAGAAGCTTTCTCCCTGAAAAGAAAACAGGAAAACACAATCAATAAATGAGCAGCACATAGCCTTTAAGATCAATTGGTCAGTCAACAAATAATAGAATTAGAATAACAATTAACCTTCAATATAACAGAATCTGTCACCACAAATACCATGGTTAAAAGGATATGGCTATTAATAGATTTGATGACACCAAAAGGGACAGAGAAGTACCATCTCTTCCAAGCGTACTCCAAGCCGATCATATATCTTTTGAAATTCTTTCCGACTAATTTCACAGATTTGTAGCCACGCCTTTCTGTACTCCTCATCCCCACCCTACTTACAATGAAAAGGACGCACGGTAGGAAATAAGTAAAATATGATGGTATCAGGTAATCTTTTCTTACATTTAAAAAACCTAAACCCAATGTCTCATTATAATCTTAGCTATTTCTACTTTGTGCTGTCCCTATTTAATCTTCTCATTTCTTTTGAAGAAGATGGGAGGATTGTGATGATGATATTGATTATTTATTTTCTAAATAAATCTCAATTGCACAAGTTAGTTTTCTAAACCTCCATGCAACATCAGATGGGATAAATTAAATAGGGATGGAGTATTACTTTGATACTTGAACAATGTCGTTAATGAGTCCTGGAAAAAAGAATACAGATAGTCTCTCTCTAGTTAAGGAATCACATCTCTGTTTGAAGAGAGGAATACTTTTTCAGTAGGCAATGCAAGCTCCTGAATAACATTATGTATGTGTCAGTTGTGTCTAGGAAATGCGACTGTCTAAAAATATCACCTGAAGACTGACTACAGCCTTTTGTGCCCTCTCCTTGAAAGCAGGATCACTGTCAAATCTTCGTTTTGAGTCCTTATAAAATGCCTACAATGGAGAAACTGGAACCAATAAGGGAATTTACTGCAATATGATTGACCTTCCCAATCAATACCAATCACTAAAAGGAATAACAAAGTAAACAAGAATCACTACTAACCTCTAAATCACCAATGGCTTGAGCACTAGCAGCTTGCCAGTTCGGAAATTTTTCAAAAAGGTATGCAATTAGCATACCGAACTACAACAGCGAACAGCATATTAAAACTCAATTGCTCAGTTTTAGGACCATATCATTTCATTCATGGACCTGGTGAAACATATATCTACCTGTGTACCCCAGTCACCAACATGATTTCTTCGAAGAACTTCAACGTTAGAGAACTCCAGCATACGGGCCAAGGTGTCTCCAATAATAGTAGATCTTAGATGGCCAACATGCATCTCTTTAGCTATGTTTGGTGATGAGAAGTCAACAATTGTCCTTTTGACAGAAAGCTTTGGAGCCCATGTTTCAATACCATAGATTAGCATCTTTTGGATACTCTGTAGTTGAATTGATGATGATGCAATGATAAGATTGTTACATTCACAAATTATCCATAAAAAACCACTCAAAGTAAAAAAGTAACAACCTGAGCAATCCATTGCCTGGATAGTACTACATTGACAAAACCTGGCCCAGCAATACTGCATTTTTCTATTACTTCTGACTGAGGTAGATTATGCATAATGGCCTGCAAATAAAAACCATTTAGTCACCAGAAAGTCAATATCTGCTGTGATTTTAATCAGAACATGATCTACCGACCACATCACATATCAATGTCATTACCTGTCCAACAGGTTGAGGACCTTTGAATTGACTACTCCTGCTTTTAATTTTAGCCCATACGCTCATGGCATTATTACTACCAAAAAGGGCATGCTTAATCAGAAACCTTAGGAGACAAATAGCACTCCAGGCACTAATCAAACTCATAGTTCAACTAACAATTGATGCAAAACTCCAAATGCATGTAATATGAGCTAACAAAGTGATAAAGTATGTGATGCTTAGAACAAATTAGGCTTGTAAACCATACCACTGATAATCCCCAAATCTGGGATTGTTGCAAACAGCAATCTGAGGTTGTACATCCAACTCATCTGGAAATGTTGCTCTAAGTGATTCATCAAACAATCTTGCTAGTTGTTCTTTAACACTCCCCGGTGACTTCAAGATAATAATGATAATGATAATGATAATAATAATAATAATAAATTAATAATAATAATAATAATCTCATTAATAAACCCCGGCTTGGTCCAGAGGCGCTAATTGTCAATAATAAATGGAGTATTTTGCAAAGATTTCCTAAATTGAAATAGATAGTACTATGAACTTACATCTGTCATTGCTAAAATCGGATTTGTAGACGATTTCACTCCACCAGGAGATCTACAAAAGGTTAATCTGAGAGTGCCTGTCAAATTTCCAACAAAAACATCCAATGATTATGAAGGTATAAATAGACACAATCAGAGATGAAAGCGAGATGTAAAGCTTACGCGAAGCAGATAGACGAGGAAGAAATCGGAAGATAGGGAGGAACTTGGGAGTGAAAGGAGGGAAACTGGAAGTCACGGGTTGCAGTTTGAGAGCTAAGCGACTCATAAGGGTCTGTTTGGAAACCAGGAAAATAGCATCTAGAAAATGACTTCTAAAAATGACTTATTTTCTTGAAGTCATATTCCTTTTATAGTGTTTGGCTTGAAATCTGAAAACTGTCTATTCCTGTTTAGTTCATTTCTGGAAAATGAATATCCAGAATGTCACCTTCAACTATGGATAAGGATTAACGTGTTACAAATAAACTTGCACTGTAGGGGTTTCAAAATGCAATAGCATATTCATACAAGCATACATAAATTAATACAGACATTCATAATAGCAAACTCAAAGAATGCACAAATTCATACAAACGTCCATAATAATAAATTCATAAAAGTATCCATAATTTTATACAAGCCTCCATAAATTCTAATCTAATGGACTAAATAAAAAACTCTTCAAGTCATATTCTCTTCAAGCAGTCACTTTAGCATTCAATATTCAAACATTACTCAAAGCCATATCTTCTTCAAGCAGTCATTATAATGAAGCGGACATCAGACCCCAATTGGGTACTCAAAGCAAACGTACAGAATTAGAGGAAAACAATTGCTCCACTTTGTTTAAAGAAACAATTTAGAAAAAAGGTTTCATAATCTTTAATATTGACAAAAACAATATCCACTAATCCAAGAATGAAACTAAACTTTAATGATACAAAAAGAGAAATGTGAAGCTCCCAAGAAACGAAACTCTGACAATGTGCAATACTTAGCAAACTATTTTGAGATTTATCACATTCACTCCTAAGATACATTTGATCAAAATGCAACAAAAAGATCAAGACACATAGAACAAACTACCCATTTCTATCAGCAAACAAATTTACCCAAGTCTATGTGTTCGAAAAAAATTCAGAGGAAGAAACACAGAGGAATTCAATTCTAGTTCAGGATAAACTACAAGCTCAAGGCATTTCTAGTTGATTGAACTCAAACTTTCATATTCCTTCAAATCTAGTTTCTGGAAAAGCAAAAATCAATTCTGAAAAATCAACATTACATTCTGGTAACCATAAGCTAAACAATACTAAGTAAATGAAAAAAATTAAGAAATCAAAGAGGTTCATCAATCAACTGAGAAGAAAGGAAATTTCAACACTTCATACCCTGCTTTTTTCATCAAACAACATACACAACCATGATTCATATTTTTAACATAAAAAAATTAGGCTAAAAATCCTACAGAGAAAAGATATTCAAGCAAATCGCAACAAGACTCAAGCAAAATGGAAAAAAATAAGCAATTATGAAAAAGAAAAAAGGATTGGTTACCTTTACGGGCAAGAGAATGCGGCTATGGGGTTGGATAAAACTGCAGTAGCAAGCTAAGGGAGACTGGGAAGATGAGGCAAATGAACCAGCTGAGAACGATTGAGAAGAAATGTGGGATTGGACTTAGGGCTTTAGCTACAATTAATTTGTTAAAAATAATACTCATTAATTTTATCAACTAATTAAATTGACTCCTAAGCTTATGTATGCCCATATGGTCAAAAAGATAAATTTATTTCTCATTGCTTCCGTAAATTTCAAGGATTGAGAGAGCTAGGGTTGGAATTTGAACAAAAACGTGAGGGTTTCAATTGAATTCTAAAAAATTTGTAAAAAAAAATTTGAAAAAATTGTAAAAAATTTGTTAAAAAGAACACATAAAGAAACTTCAATCTGTAAAAAAATTTGAATTGTAAAACACATAAAACAACTTCAATTTGTAAAAAACTTGAGGGGTTTCAAGTGAAGGGGAGGAGAGGAAACGAAGTGTGAGGGGGGAGGGTGGAATCGCAGGGGGGAATCGCAGGGGAGGGGAATCGCAGCAAGCGGGAAGTACCTGGGCTGAGGCGGATGGAGTTGCAGCGGCGAGGTGTGTGGCGGCGGATGGAGTTGCAGCGGCGAGGTGTGTGGTGGCAAGGAAGAAATGGGGCGGCGACGAGGAAATTCAAGGGGTGGAGAAGGGGGCAGAAGGTTAGAACAAGGAATGGGAACGGTCTATATTAAAGCATGAACGAGGCAAAAATGGGGAAAATTCCAAATATGGTACTAAAACAATGCTAATTTCCAAAAGTAGGACCAGTACTACCGGAAACCTTTTTTTAATGTACTAAAATAACCCTGGCCGCTGGATTTGGAGAAACGCGCAAGCCGCAATTTCCGAAAATCGAGAGACATTTACGCGACCGAGAACGAGAAGAAATCTAGGGAAACGAGAAGAAATCAGGGCATTAAACATTCCAGGCTCACCTTCTCTCGATGCAAATCTAAATGATCGAAAATAGAGAGAGAGAGAGAGAGTGAATCTAGGAAAGCGATACCAATGGCTTCCATGAAGGTAACAATGGCGTCTAAGAAGAAAGGTGAAAGCGAAGACAGCGATTTTGTGACGAGGGAATCCGATGATATGCTTCTGACAATGCCTAACGGACTCGTAAGCTCTGAATTTCCATTTCAAATTGATGAAAATGAATTGAACTTTATGAAATTGAAGTTTATGAAATTGATTGAAGGCATGCATTCTGTTATTGTTGATTGAATTCAATAGTTATGAGTTTTCGATTGAGCATGTCTACAATGTTGTCTATTAATGAGTTTTCATTGAGATATAAGTTTTGAAGGCTTAAGAGAATCATAAATCCAGCAGATGAATTTGTGCTTTGAACAGTTCAATTGTGGTTGTGTGTAATAGGAATAATGTCTGATAATGTCTACCTGGACTATTACAAATTATGAGAATATGTGTTCTGTTAGCGTATTACTGTCTATTAATAAGAATAATGTCTGATAATGTCTACCTGGATTATTACAAATTATGAGAATATGTGTTCTGTTAGCGTATTACTGTATACTAATGTCTATTAATAAGAATAATGTCTGATAATGTCTACCTGGATTATTACAAAATATGAGACCATGTGTTCTGTTAGCGTATTACTGTCTATTAATAAGAATAATGTCTGATAATGTCTACCTGGATTATTACAAAATATGAGACTATGTGTTCTGTTAGCGTATTACTATCTACTAATGTCTATTAATAAGAATAATGTCTGATAATGTCTACCTAGATTATTACAAAATATGAGACTATGTGTTCCGTTGGCGTATTAATGCCTATTAGGCAATTGAATGAATATAATGATATTTGTGGATGATGAGACAATGTCTTTGGTTAGTTAATGAATGTCTTGTTAAGTCTTAAAATGAATATAATGACATTTTTGATTGGGCCATAAAATTTTGATTGCTTATTAGAAGCATAAAGTCAAGCGAATGTTACTGTGCATTGAAATTGGTGTATTAATGTCCTCTAAGGCATTTGAATGAAAACGTAAAATACTTTCTAATGCAATTTGTATTGTGTTTTGGAAACGAAGTGAACAGAATTTTGTTTAATGTGACAGGTCTATAAACGCCTATGTAAGCCGAACTTACTGGATACAAAAACTGAAGCTAAAATCAATTCATACTGCAATGTTGGTAATGTGGTTAAGAAGTTGAAAGAGATGCTTTCAAAAGACGAACTAAGTGAATTTCGAAAGACTGCCTTTGGATATTGGTTAGACATTGGAGATTTGAAATGTGTTAATGGCCAACTTATGATTCTTCTCACACTCAACCATGTGGAGCCGATGGACAGACTGCACGCCTCTGAAGAAATTTCATTTTCCATTTGTGGCAGACTGATCAAATTCACAAAGAAAGACTTCAAGGAGGTGAGTGGTTTTAGGTTTGGGAGCAGCAGTGAAAAAATGGAGAATTATACAGAACCAAGTGACATAAGTAAAAGATACTTCAATGGTCATATGAATGTGACAAGGGAAGATGTGAAGATTGAATTTCAGAGAGTCATGAAAAATAAAAATAGAGAAGCTACAGATGCAGTGAAGTTGGGACTCCTATACATGTTAGGGACCTGTATAATTGGTAACCAGCTAAGTATTAAACTCCCTGGACTGTATCTCCACTTGGTCGATGATTTATCCAAGTTTAATGAGTATCCATGGGGAGAAGATGTGTGGAAAGATCTGGTAGAGAATGTTCAGAAATATTGTTGTATTATGAATACAAGCAAGAAACCAAGGTTCAATTTCCCTGGATTCCATTTCGCTTTACATATATGGGCATATGAAACATTTCCAGCACTAATGCAAGAGAAGGAATGTATACTGGACGAAGGAAAGAAGACATCATGGCCAAGGGGCATTGAGATGGTCAGCGGACGGGAGGACCACCAAAGAGTTGTTGGAGAAGAAAATATTCAAAAATGAAAAGGTAAAACTTAAAAAAAAAAGAGATGTGTGGGGTACTGTTGTATATAATATTGTATTTTTTTTTATCAAAATTAAATTTGCATTGAATAATAATATGCAATTGTTTTGATTTGCAGTTTGAGTGGACAGAGATGGTAATATCTGGTGAAGGAAAAGTCATTCTCAAAAAAGCCAGGAACCGCCTATCTCTTCGGATACTAAAGATGACAATGCGTGCTAGATATGGCTGAATGGCTGGATCCTCCTCATCTAACAATTTCATATACCAATTCCGTTCACGAACAGTTGCAGCCTTTGCAGCACGAATAAACTTCCATGTAACAGCTTTTGCAGAGCCACGGAATGACGTCTTAATGTTACCAAGAATGTGATATATACAATGTCCATGCATAACGTTTGGGAAAACAGATTGCACAGCACTTATAATGCCATCATGGCGGTCAGACACAATATACTTCACTTCTTGAGCTACAAGGACCTCTTTAACCTTTTTTAAAAACCACCTCCAATTTGCAGTGTCTTCAGCATCACAAATGGCAAAGGCCAGTGGGAATATTTGTTTGTTCCCATCCTGTGCAACAGCGGTTAGAAGCGTACCTTTATAGTATGACTTCATGAATGATCCATCAATAATCAAAACTGGAATGCAGTGAGCCCATCCATCTTTCCAAACACATAGAGACATGAAGAAATACTTAAAGAACCCATTATCAAATGTGTTAAGCTCAATGGTGGAACCTGGATTTGAATTTTTTAGCATATAACACATAGATGGCAGCATTGCATATGACTCTTCATCTGATCCAAAACTTAATTTCAAAGCCTTTTCTTTCGCAAACCATGCTTTCT